TTTCTGAAAGTCTGCAGTGAAACCCCAACCTCACACTAGAAGCTGCATTCACACGAGCTCGACAGAAAGAAGCCGTGCGCAAGCAACAAGCAGTGGTCCGAGGGCACAAGCAAACAGAAGAAGAGGAGATGGTCGTCGATGTCTGATAAAAGACAAGAAAAATGGAAGGCTCCGCGAAATTCAGAGTCAAGAAATGACGCGAAAGCTCATACCCGCAGAAGATGTGGCAAGTGGGCGCACACAAACTCCGAGTGTCCTGTAATCAGTTCCAAGTGCCTAAACTGTGGCAGAAAAAGACATTGGACAAAGGTATGCAGGAGAAAGTCTATACAGGAAGTTAACTGGGGACAGACCAAGAAGAATGGCTGCTCGGAAGTGTTATATCTTCTGCTGACCTGGCTTGGAGAGTCTCACTCAATGTCAATTAAAAGTTCGTCCAGTTCAGGATTGATACAGGCGCCGACGTCAGTGCCATACCGAAAATGCGGCATCGAGCTTCGAAAACGTCCAGCCTACTGCGACCAAACTTTTCAGACCCGGAAGGCAGGTGTTAACAGTCATTGGGAAGTTCCGGGCCATGATTCAACATGGTCAACAGTTGATACATGAGGAAGTCTGTGTGGTCAAAAACCTTTATGAACCGCTTCTGGAACGCGAAGCTAGCACAGAACTTGGGCTTCTCAAATTCATGCATTCAGTCACCGACCCCACTTCTGCCGATTATCACCAGAAATATCCGGAACTTTTCAGTGGTATTAGAATATTAAATTGGGAGTACACGATCGAGCTAATTGATGATGTCACTCCAATTTCAGTAAACACGTCCCGTCCTGTACCCTTACGTTTAGGGGCACTTGAGAAAAAGAGGCCGCATCTCCACGGGGTCAATGATGTTGATTGGGTCGAGGCTGTGGTGGTGCTGATTATACTGATTTTATTGTTCATAGGCAGTGCTCATGGTGCTGATTTTTTTTATTGCTCATAGGTAGTGCTGAGTTCCGGGTTGCGTTTTGACTTCAATATCACTGCTTTATATGGTCGGTGAAATGCAGAGCCAGTGGTTCTTCTAGTGGATCAGCTTCGATCCGCTAGAAGCCGTGGGAACGCATATCCACCGCTTAAGTCAACGGTCCATATCAGAAAGAGAATGTGTGGTATGGTTCGTGGTTATATACGCAGTTCAGAATTTGACCGCAGCTCCCTCTCGTCTACAAACGTTGAGCCAATGCATGCAAAGTTTGACGCGATTACGTACGCATTTGACCGCAGCGCCCTCTCCTGTATAGACGTTGAGCGGCTACATGCAACGTTGGAGTGTAGGGTAGTGGTTAAGACGTCTTCCTTGTAAGCAAGCGGTCCTGAGTTCAAACTCCCGTGCGAGCGTACGCTTTTCTTTTTTTTTTTTCTTTTTTAAAGGGGGCCGATCCCGGAGGCAGTGCAATCGATGTGAGCACGGACGCCGGATGGATGGACAAGTCTAGACCCTAAGGAGCTTCGCCCCTAAAAAGTTAAAGGACGGGATCATAAAGCAAGTAGAACCCACCGCGTGGTGTTCTGGAATAATGGTGGTTCCTAAGTCGAATGGAGATCTCAGAATATGTGTAGATTTGACACAGCTCAACAAGAACATTGAGTGCGAGAAACTGGTCTTGCCATGAGTGGAAGAAACCCTGGGCCGTCTTTCAAATACATCTTTGTATTCAAAACTGGAATCCAAGGCAGGCTTCTGGCAAATCAAGCTGGCGGCCGAGTCAGAACTCTTGACAACTTTCATAACCCTATTTGGTCGGTTTTGCTTTCAAAGGCTTCCATATGCGATTTTATCTGCACCTGAGCACTTCCAAACGAAGATGAACCACATCTTGGAGGGCCTTCCGGGGGTGTTGTGTCATATGGACGACATCCTGGTGACGGGATGTCGTCACCATACATAACGTAAAAACTAAAACCCCTACGAGATCTTCTGAAAGGGGAGATAGAGTGGGTCTGGGATGTTCAGCAGCAGCGTGCTTGGGAAGCAATAAAGAAAGACATCCAAGACGCCACAAGCCTGACTCTGTATGATCCAAAACAACACCTCATCGTATCGGCAGACGCTTCGTCGTACGGCCTCGGAGCTGTACTCCTACAACAGGACAAACAAGAAGATGTGCGACCCGTAGCATTCGCGTCTAAAAGACTAAATGACACAGAGGTCAGGTATGCACAAATTGAAAAGGAGGCGTACGCCGTAACATGGGCGTGTGAGCGATTTGAGAACTTTCTCTTGGGAACTACACTCTTAGAAAAACGGGTATGGATAGTCCTCCCTTAGGGGAGGAACGGTCTTGTAACCTATGTCCCTTTAGAAAGAGACAAACTTTCGGCCCTGAAGCACGGGAGCAAAGTTCCTCCGTCGCTGCATCTCATAATGGCGGCCCTGAATCGAGCTCAATAAGGCTTAACGAGGACGCTATGTCTCTTGTACGGGACGAGAAGAGCAGCAAATAAAAGCGTAACACGAGCTTTCTGCGAACTGCCCTCTGATCGGACAACGGTCCTCAATATTCGGGAAAATTATACAAAGACATTGTTCCGAAGTACCAGACAACCCATGTAACAAGCAGCCCGTATCACGCGCAGGGTAATGGAGAAGCTTAGAGAACGGTAAAGTTAGTCAAAGACATTCTCAAAAATTATGATTGCCCCAACTTTGGCATTCTATCTTACCGGACACCACCGGGAAGCTGCGGCTACAGTAATGCAGAGTTGCTAATGGGCCGCCAATTAAGGACAACGGTACCAACTCTTGATGATAAAGCTAGTAAACAGGCGAGCTGGTTTAGGTACACATGTCTCAAATTCAGCTAACAAATTTTATTGAAACGATCGGATGTGATACCAACTCTTCCCTGAATGTTAATTCCGAGACTTCCCAATCACGAGGAATTTAGAAAAAAAGACAAGGAAGGAAAACAAAAACAAGTGAGAAACTGTAATAGCTGACATGCAGTGTGTGAACGCTTGAACCGACCTCTCGATAGCACGGTCTGGGTGAGAAAAGAGGCGACAACTGGTAAAGTCGTCGAAAAGAGGGCAGAACCAAGGTCGTACGTCGTACAGAAGCCGCAAGAACTTCTGGTCAGAAACAAATGTCATCGCGCGCTCTGCTGCCGACAGACATAAGTGAGCAGACGTCACCTCACTCACTGGTCCCGAAGTCAAGAACAACGCTGCGAGACCCGGATTCCAAGGGCGCCGAAGTACGAACAAGGTCCGGTCGGACTATCAAAAAGCCAATGAGGTTCACAGTGTGACTCTTTTCAGTGCTTGTGTGTATTCAAATGTATATATGTGTGTCCTCGTGCGCATGCCCCTTGTGTTCATAGTTTGTTGGCGTACCGATGTGTTGGCAACTTGCTATATCCTCAGTTGTAGCCTATATCGGGGGGGGGGGGGGGGGGGGGGGGGAGGAGAGACGTGGCAAACGGCATTGAATAAAGAAGAACGAAGCGCCGGGAAAACACGCGCTTCATGTCTAGAGCCCAGCGGACATGGCCTCGTCTCGTCCTTCCTAGATATTGCTACAGTAAACACGCCTGTCGGAGACGCGTTCCAGGCAGAGTACTTCAAACGCTGCTTGGATTACTTCTTTATAAAGGACGCAACGAAGCGTCCTCTATAAAGAAGACGCTTCGTTGCCATAATGACGCTGACCATAGCAGACGGACTTTATGGTGCGGAAGCAGACTGTGGAGTGTCGAACTCGAACAAAAAAGTTTGAAATAAGGACTTGACACAGATGTCTGATTACCTCCAGCGCCTAATTTATTTTGACGATTCTTATACGAGAAGTATGTTTTCAATACCCAATTGGACGAAGTTCGTTGTACTGTAATATGAGGCTAAGCTAGTGACGTGCCAAAGCTTCTTTATAATCAGCAGTGACGTAAGGAGTAATTACAATAACAACATATAAACACATTCCGTTCAATCAGGTGCGAGCTACTCTGTTTCACACTTAGTGTACAATGCTGTAAGAGCTGCTGGCGCGATCAAGGGGCCTGATCTCGCAGATAATTAGCGCGCGTTCTGGCACACACGAAACCATAGATTAAGTCACGCTCTCGCGCAGCAGCTTTCACAACATTTTATGGAAAGACGTTTTGCAGCAGCTGTGCATGGGCGACCCTATAACCGAACTTCCCTTTTTGTTTCTTATAATTACGTTTACTTCACATCATTATTACCACAGTAGGGCAGGTCACTGCCATTTTAGATTTTACTGTATCTTCCCCAGCACTGGCCTTTGTGGAGGCACGTCAACGCCCGCTTCAGTGGCTTGGCATCTGGGTAAGACGAAATAAGGTTAGCAATGGCGGCTGTAATCCGTGACGTGTGCAAAGCTTCTATACCAAGTATGAAACATAGTACAGTGTCAACCGTTACATAAAACAAAGCCAAGCAAGAACCTTGTGAACAAACGCTAAAAATTATCCGTAAAACAAAAGAAAAAAACAACGCCGATTCATATAGCCAGTTGTAGCGCAAGCAGTTTGGCGCGATTAGTTCCTTCCGAGTTAGCCCAGTCCGCGGAACTTGCACAAACTTCGCCGGATCAGGAAAAAGCGAAAATAGAATGTCGGTAATCGTGGTACGACATGCCCGCGTACCCTGTGCGTAGCGATTCTATGATGTTTGCCCACGTGATGTACTGCATTCCTCAAGTCCCGGGACTTGCCTCCGGACACGCTCCTGTGGTCCGCGTACCAGCTCCTGAGTTTTGCATCATTTTATCGCCTGGAATAGGGCGGATTTAAAACCGCAGGAAAGATGGTGTCACCGATTTTGTAGGAACTTCTCCAGGTACAAGTCAGCCGTGTGAATACCAGCTTCACTAACCATATAAAACTCGTTTCTCTGGTGTCGTTCATGTCGGCACACGACGGAAGTGCACTTTTCAAGGTTGCGCTGAGAGTAAACATAGAAAAAGGTCGCGTCACATGAGCCGACACGTCTTGTGGCGTACCCCAGGAAGTTTATTTTACTTTGGGTGGTACCCTCAACCACTTTCTATCAGGTAAAACAGCGAGATTCTTCGTTTGAGAATTCCCTGATGAACCACGTCACGAGGTCTCGTGTCTGTTTGTCCCGCGTGGCCTTCGGGAACACCACGGCAGCGGTGTCCATGATGTAAAGCGGCCTGGAGAAGGGAAGAAAGAAGCGAGACAGAATGGTTAGGTCGACGAAAACATTGGCACGTAAATTCTTCCGCTTTAACTTTCATCCTCAACTCAAGGCGAATTGAAGAATCACGCGGTCGTCATGTGTTATTTGGGCACTGGATACGTTGACTCCAAGCTTCCACTGTGCTTTTTAAGCACACCCTAGAACTTGTCATTCCCAAGTGACGAGTCAAGTCTCATGTAATGCATTTCATTTGAAATGCTTTTGAGGTACAATAAACTGAACTGATAAGTTCCGCCAGGGCACTCATTGGCCACGAACGCGAATCGAAATACTCGTCGACGGATTGATTGTTGACGAGAGCATACGTCCGTGTGACGCAGTTCTTGTGTCCACTGCATGAGCTGGGGTCCGCTGATGTGCTTTGTGTACTGCTGACCTGCTGTGGGTATCGGGGATGTATCATAATGGAAAGGCGGAGAGCTTTCGAAGGAAAGGAGGTACGAAATAGTCCGCTATATCTTTAAATGTTCGTACCGAAAAGCTGCCTTTTGACCTGCTACCCTCTATCTTTTGCCCACTAAACAATATGCGATTATTGAAGTCCCACTTTAAAATTATTGATCCCAGCCCAAAATTAGTTTCATGGCCCCTTTAAACATTTATTACGTCGTAAAATATTTGTTTACGCACACTATGTGCGAACACAAATATTTTGCTAGCCTGCAGACGGCGTCGTTTCTTAGTCGCATTTATCCGCGCATAATCTCGAGGTATGCATAATTCCGCGAGCGAAAAGCTGAGTCAAAAGCGTGCTGGACTCTCACGCCGCTGGACAAAGTTGGATCCCCGCCAGCGCTTGTCCTTTTTATCTTTCTTTTATTTTCATGACCGGAATGTTCAAGATAACTCAAGAATATTGTTGTTTGTTCGAGGTTGGAATGAACTACAAGATTCTCGAGTCATCTGGAGCATTCCAGTGAGGCAAACAAAAGGAAGAAAAAGAGGACATGCGCTGGGAGATCAAACCCCAGCCAGTGGCATGGGAGTCGAGCACGCTAGTGACTCAGCTATTCGCACATGGCATTGCTCCGCCAGTAGCCTGGTGGAGTAATGCGGCGCGCGAACAGCTGAGTTGGCAGCGTGCTTTTTATCTGGCCTCTTCTACTTTGTTTCGAGTACAAGTCCGCCTCATGAAACGTTTAGTTTACTTCAGTTCTTCGCCTTCTTCTTCTTCCATATGCGTTAAAAATAATAAATGAAGATGTTAGTCATTCTAAGGCGTGACCGGCTACTTCATTACCATTGAAGAAGATATTTCCGACATAGAAATTAAACACTTCAAACGTATAGATGCAGCTATACACCTCAATGCCTCACCCCCTCCCCACTTTTACCCTGCCTATAACGGAACATAATGAAAAACCGTCTAAAGCTGAAGTCACACCGCCTACAGACCCCACAACACGCAGCCCGCAGACACCGCCCAATCATCGCCCGCCCCGCATACGACGGCGCCGCCACTCTACCTATACAAGACATAACCTCCGGAAGCATAATTTTGCTTGAGCGATGCGAATGGACCGTCATGCAGAAAGTCAGAACGTCCCTAGCGTCACCCGTGGGCCGCGCACCGTACGATACGTACGGGGTGCGACTCCAACTTCACACTGACAATGAATGATCCTTGAATAATAACACGCACTGGTTCTGCACACCAACACGTGCACACATACATAGACACATACGATGAAAACACTTAATGAACAGCACTTATGTTCTTGGTAGGAAATGCCACTTCGAGTCTTACCACTTGTCCTTAGATTGTTCACACATACACACATTGCTATTCACTCATTTTACAAGGTTCAATATTATCAACTCAAAAGCTAGTATTTTGTCGATGATATCAATGTCTTCCAGAAAACGTTTTATTGCCTGGAGTGCCTGTTTCTGTATAATTTGATTAGGCCATGGCCCTAGTAATTTACTTACGGTGAAAGGTCTTTTCTCCAGGATATCAAGCCGTACTTTTAGTTGGGACCGATTGCGATCGAAGCGAGGACAGTTAAAAAAATGTGTTCAATAGTTTCAACATCCTGGACGCAAGAACATTTTGGGTCTTCGATTTCATTAATTTTGTAGCGAAATTCTCTTATAAAAGCAACATTCAGTCGCAGGCGGTGAAGCATTGTTTCAAATTTTCTCGGTATATCGCTTGGGATATAAAACCGTAATTCTGGATCCACCACGAAGAGAGTAAACTGCCGTCCTGCCTCATTAAACCATATGTCGACTGCCATACATTTGGAGTCGTGTGCAATTAAATACTTTATGTCTGTTTTGGAAAAAGGAATTCCTCGAGTTCTTTTTAAAGTATGTGCACTTGTTACTAGTGTGTCTGCCTTCATGTTTCCTGAGATTCCGCTATGTCCGGGAATCCACTGCAGCTTTAGTGAATGATCATCACTTATGGCCCGATGGATCAAATCAGCTAGCTGGTAGACCATTTGATATGCCGGACTTCTAGAGTTTATCGACGAAAGAGCACCGAGGTTTGCTTTGGAGTCCGTACAGATAACCCACTGGTTTTGAGGTTCTACGTCCTTTATATACTCCACTGACGCAAAAATTGCATGAAGTTATGTAGCAGTAGAGGATGTTCTGTGGGACAAACGAAAACCTTTCCTTACTTGCATTAATGGAATTACGAAAGCTGAGGTTGGAGCCATCATTTGTCGTAGAGCCATCCAAGTATACATGAATGTAATCTCTGCGGTAATCATGCTTGTATGACAGCGCCGACTGATTAATCACAAAATGAGATGTGCTCAGGCTTTTGTTAAGGTTTGGGCAGTTCTGTGTTAACATCTGGGACGCAAAACATCCAGAGTGCTCGATCTATAGTCTGAACCCACGGTGTATAATCCGGCACGACGACACTCGACGATATCAGTGTCGAGAAAATATGTGAGCCCGTCCTAGTTATCAAATTCTCCGCAGGTGGGTGACAATTCTTCATGGACAAGCGTATCGCCGCCTTATCATTTGTCCTTCATGACATTTTAGTGGAAGTAGAGGTGCGGCGCACCGCATTCTGCGCCCGCGAAACGTATGCCTCAGAGGATCTGCCCGCTCGATCATTTCCATGTCCAGGAAATCTACTCCCAGTCGACGAACCCGAAAGTTGAGCTAGCCGCCACGCCCAAGGACAGCCCCCTGAGCTTGGCAGCAGCAGCGGCGCAAGTGGCACAAGACTCACGCTCTGCTACAATCGTTTCAGACATTACGTTCAAGCCGCTCAAGACGCTGCGTCATCGACGAAGGGCACGCGCCAGAGACCGGCCGATCCACGCCGCAACCACCGCAGGCCCGTGATTGGACAAGCGGCTACAGACGCAACAAGCCACTAGGGAACAGTGGCACAAGAAGCGACCGGCCGCGAGCATGACTGTATTGGCAGCAGCAACGGCACCAGTGGAGCAAGACTCACGCTTCTCTAAAATCGTTTCAGGTTGGAAAGTCATATCATTACTTTTATAAGTTAAACTTAGCCAGTTGCTTTTTGTTGCTGCTGGTGCTGCTGTTGCCGTTCTGTGCCTTTATGTCAGTAAAGTGATTGCTTGATTTTGCATGTTTTTTCAGTATGAATACGTATCGATGCTTTTGTGCCATGGCTGATACCTGTATATGTTGCAATCAGGAACTCCGAGATGAAGATGGTTCAATTCAATGTACAGAATGTGACTATTTGTATCACTTTGGAACTTGTCCTGGCGTATCGGAGTCAACGTTCAAGTTTAAAGGTGGAGCGTGGCGAAAAGCATGGTGTTGCCCGACATGTAGGACGAGAAAGTCCAGGGGAAGTCAGAGCGAGAAGGATGCAACTTGACAGCTGTAATCCTAAGAATAATCCGCAGACTAGGTTCTCCGAGGGAATTAAAAGGCACTGTTTAGGCGATCGAACTCTCGGTGTACACGATGTCGACACAGTACGAGGAAATCCTAAAGCATGTGCTTCAACATGACAGCGAACAAAGGATTTAAGGAAAAGGGTGACAAGCCTTGAAGGCCACCAGAAAGAAGTAAATGTATAACACATGGTACAATGCATAACCGCGCTCGAGAGGCACTAAATCTCGAAACACATAGAATATTGGTCACTGAGCATGAACACCTTAACACCCAACTGACCCGATTTGCAGAAAAACGATGTGCATATGCTCTCCGAGAATGAGATTGTGTCTTTGCACCGATTGTCAGCTCGACCAGATAAAATACCCGGCATCATTGTTCGTTTTTCACAAAACTCAACTCGTGATATGTGGTTTGATAAAATGAAAAGACTCCACCGAAAGGAAAGGAATGGTTACATTCTTGAGAATATGACGTGGGAAAACCGGGCCCTCCTCTGGACAACTAAGGAATGGGCGAAGGATAATGACTTTCTCTACTCGTGGCGCAGGAACAGAAAGATCTTCTTGAGGCGAAAAGAAGGCGACCAGTTATTATCAAATGCGAGGCAGACCTGCAACATTTGACCAGAGAAATTTTGAGTTTTTTCTTGTGGCATCTTTCGAAATAGCAGAACGAACCTATTTTATTGAATCTGAACAAAAGTCTTATTTAGGGAATGAGCATTTGGCTTCTTCGAAGTGCATTCATTTAAATACTCAGTTCGCCCGATATAAAACAGTTCAGCTTGATTTGCTTTCTGCTGAGTTTTCATTTTTGTTCGATGTTATTATGTTATCAGAGACGTGGTATACTGATGAAAGTGATGTTTTTGGGTTGCCGATGTACAAAAACTATTTTTAGAACAGGTCAACAGGCCGTGGACGTGGCGTGTCGCTGATGGTTGGGAAAAATGTTTCCAGCAAAATGTTAGAAGAATTATGTGTTAATAAAGACTTCTGAAGTGATATCCCTGCTTATAGATGGTAACATTATCTCGGCCTTGGGAAGAGGTATAGGCATCGAAGGGGGGGGGGGGGGGGGGGGAGGGGGGGGTAACTGAACTTCAGGATTGACGCACTGTAGTCCTCTTGACGAACTTCCGACAGGAAACGCAATACCTCATGAAAGGGCCGATGTGGGCCACGTCGAGGAACTCCGGAACTCCGCTGATATCACCGCGATTGCGGAAGAATCCTTACCAGCTCAGCAAGAGAGTACGTCGCTTGCGCTGCTCGATATTGGCCCCAAGCTACCCGGCCCAGAACGGCGACAGCTGATTAACCTCCTCGTTCAATACAGTGACAGCTTTGCGACGTCGCCGAAGGTGCGCCGAACTACGGTTGCGAAGCACCGCATTCTTACCGAGGATGACGCGTTCCCCGTGCATCGATCGACCAACAGGGTTTCCGTACAAGAAAGGGAGATCATTAAGGAACACGTTCAAGAGACGCTGAACGATGACCTAATCCAGCCTACAACCAGTCCGAGGGCCTCTCCAGACGTGTTGGCTAAAAAGAAGGATGGAACGCTTAGGTTCTACGTGGACTACCGACAGCTGAACACGGTGACGAAGAAAGACGTCTATCCACTTCTCCGCATCGGTGACACGCTATACCGGCTGCTCCACTCTCGATACTTATCATCTATGGACCTGAAGAGCGGTTACTGGCAGATCGAAGTCAACAAACGGCACCGAAAGAAGACGGCTTTTGTCACGCTGGATGGACTTTACGAGTTCAATGTGACGCCCTTCAGACTACGCACGGCGCCAGCAACTTTCCAGCATGTCATGTACTATCGGGGAAAAATGAAATGCGAACAGAGGAGCGCGTGGCTCGCGGTACAGGCTGCGCCGCCTGGAAGTGAGCCTAGGAGCGAGGGTGCGTGGCCTACTGCGATGTGTTTACGCCCCTCCCTCTGCGCTCCCCAAGCTTCAGCAGTGCGCCTCTTAGTGCGCTGAAAGCTATCACCGCTATCTTTGCTGGCTCAGCGCGTGCAGTGCAAAGAAGCTCGCCGCACTCGCCGAGCAGGCAAAGATAGCGGTGACAGCTTTCGGCGCACTGAGAGGCGCTCTGCCGAAGCTGGCGGAGCGCCAATCGAGGGGCGTGAACACATCGCAGTAGGCCACGCACCCTCGCTCCTAGGCTCACTTCCAGGTGGCGCAGCCTGTACCGCGAGCCACGCGCTCGTCTGTTCGCATTTCATTTTTCCCCGATAGTACACTGTACTGGCAGGACTGAAATGGCGGAGCTGTCTCGTCTACCTTGACGACGTCGTAGTGTTGTCAAGCGACATCGACGAGCACTTATAACGACTCTGTGCTGTTCTCCAAGCGATATGGACCTCCGAACTCACACTCAAGTCATCGAAGTGTAGGTTCACCTATGGCGAACTGAAGATCCTAGGCCATGTGGTTTGCTACGAAGGCGTTCGACCAGACCCAAAAAAGACTCGCGCCGTCGCGCCATTTCCAGCGCCGACAGACAATAAAGTCATGCGAAGATTCCTTGGGCTCTGCCTATTCTCGGCGCTTCGTTCGTGATTTCGCAAGACTTTCCGCATCACTCACAAACCTCATGAAGGACACCATGAAGCTCAAACTGGCCGAGGAGCAGCAGCAGGCATTCGACGAGCTAAAGAAAAGATTCCAGTCTCCCCTTATTCTTCAGCATTTCGATCACGATGCAGAAACCGAGGTCTACACGGACGCCAGTTACGCAGGACCTGGCGCGGTACTGGCTTAAGTGCAAGAAGGCACCGAGCAGGTCATCGCCTACGCCAGTCGGACACTGTCAAAGGCGGAGGTAAATTACTCCACGACTGAAAAATAATATTTTGCGGCGTTCTTGGCAATCTGATAGTTTCGCTCGTACAGGTACGAGAACCCGTTCCGCGTAGTCACAGACCACCACGCGCTCTGCTGGTTTGCCAACCTCAAGGACACTTCAGGACGCCTCACTCGATGGAGACTCCGACTACAAGAGCTCAGCATGACTGCGGACTACAAGTCAGGCCGCAAGCACAGCGACGACAACTGCCAGTCGTAATCCCAAATTCAAAACTATTGACCGGAGTTGCCCTTAAAGGGCCACTCCGGCCAATAGTTTGCATTTGGGATTACGACCGTTTTCTGCTAAAGAAGCGTCCCTGAATTACAACGTCTATTTTTTTTTCTATATATGTGTAATGTCACGGGTCGAAATTTGAATTCGGGAGTCAAAGGAAAAGCCCAAACTATCTGCTAGAGGGATGGCAACACTGATTATCAGCCATACGGCCTCGACGTGTCGTCAACATGGTGTTGCGGTACGCGGTATAACTATGGCGCCTGAAGCGCGTCTTCGACTGGTGGGTTTAGCGCCCAATGCTGCCCATATATTAACAGTGGTCCCGAAGTGTCAACAAATGACGTCACAGAGTGTCATGTCGTCAGATGTCGCCATCCTGGCCGCTCGTCGTAGAAATACTAAGGAGAAGCTCCGAGTAGCACATTCGAACGCGAGTGTCACTGTCCTCCCAGCGTCCCAACTTCTGGCTGCCGAAACTTCCGTGGGCTGCGACACTGGAGAGCGACCTGCAGCAGAACACGCGTCTGCCATATGCATTACAGCTGTTAGGACGCCGCAGGATTACGACCGGCGACATCATGACACTTGTATATCATCAGGCGGAAATCGAGGGACCACTTTTTGGGACGCGGTAAACACATCAGTCGGAGGCCCATTCCAGGCACCATAGTACAACCAATCAACTGCAGCTCTACCGCGACGTGACGTCACGAGGGTGCTGCGCCAGTGCTCCCTGACTAAAAGCTAGCTCGCTTGCCGCCCGCTAAGAGCGGCTGTTGGCATCTTTATACTCGGTTTTAGTAGAGTACGCGTCTTCGGTTTGACATAATATTTCGGCTTTTGTCATATTGCGGGCTTCCAAATTGATACCACACATTTATTATGGTTTCGGTTTTGACCGGAGTTGCCCTTTACGAATGACAGCGTCCGCCTCTCCATCACTCTGTCCCGCTCATCGTTGAGCTCGCACCACATTGCCATCTCTGGCGAGACGAGCTCTCGCCCCCCTCCACCCTTTTCCTTGTCACCAACGCCATGGTATCCTATAAACACCCTTTACTTTGTCGACACTTATTTCTCACGAATTTGGCACCGGGGTCGTATTCGCGACCATTATAGGGTTCGCGAATTCTAAAGGCAGGAATTCGCCTCTACGGACAATAGAATTATTCGAACCCACTAAAGTTCGTGAATTTTACGAGTCAAGAAATTCGTGAAAATTCTTCGTGCGTCTAGAAGGGGTCAAAGTGAATGCGTCAACGGCGGGCCGCTGCCGACGAACTACGGTTGCACTCGGTGGACGCAAAGCGACGGAGGCGGCGGGACCTACACCAAGTCGTTCCCTCCGCTGCGGCCACCGCCGAATTCGAGTTAGCATCCCTAAACAATCCCTTTAGGTAGTCGCGCGAAGTCTGCAACCGATTGTGCTTTCTAAAAAACTCCGCGCCCGCGCAATCCAAGCAGTTCTCTGTTCTGGTCCAATAGTTCCCCGGCCAAGACTCGCGTAGTTTCAAAGTCTGCGCGACACGCGAGTCCGCCTTGAAAAGTAGTAGAGTGCCGAGGCTGTCGACTAAAGGCAAATATCCTAAAGCACATCTTTCAACAACGCAACCACTACTGCTGTCAAGCGCACTTTGTGTAGTGGCTTGCTTTCTTCGTCAACTACACTGAACGAAGAACTCACGGCCTATATGTCGCTTGCTGCCTCAAAAGAGAAGTGCCCACTGGGACGGAGCTTGGTTGCATTAAGGTGCCTGGAGCGCGTGTCTGCCAGGTTTGTTTAGCGCCCTATATCGCTCATAGATCAAAAGCGGTCCCGAGTGGCAGCAAATGACGTCACAGAAGCCAGAGTGCCATGCTGTTGGATGTCGCGTTCCAGGTGGTTGGTGGTGGAAATGCTAGCGGAAAGCGCGAGTGAACGCCAGTGTTGCTGTCGTCGCAGCGTCCCAACTTCTGACTGCCGAAGCTTCCGCGGACTGCCCCACTGAGAGCGACCTGCAGCGGAACAAGTCACATCCAGCACCGCTGCAGGGACACTGCCTGTATCGCCACCGGCCCGAGCATGGCACTTCTATGACATCAGCGGGCGCAACTCGAGGGACCAGTTGCTTGGAAGCGGTAAACACCCCAGTTACAGGCAGCATAGCAGCATACGTGATCACTCCCTCTCTCCTCTTCGCGCCTCCTTTTTTAGGCGCAGGGAGACTCCATGCTTTTTTGTCCCTCTCCCCAACCGCGGAGGGACGCTTTGAGGTAGGCTTGCTCGAAGTATATGGCGCGACACGCGAGAGCGACATCTTTGGAAAGGGTGCACTTTGCTTACTGGACCAGTCCGTGCTCCACGTGCTCCTGGTACTCAGAGTCCAGCCCCATGACGACGTATTCTTTGCTCAGCTCGAGGTTGAAGCTGGCGCACCGCTCACGAGCCTTGATGTGCCGAGCCTTGCCCTTCAGGTCCTCTTCAGCTTCGCGACCTGAGCACCGGTGTATTCACATCGAAGGGGCCCATCGACTCCGTCGCGTAACTGTACTTTCTTTCAGCTCAAAGGAAAACTAAAGTGGTTCTTTATTTGAGGAAATACACTTAAATCGTCTTCATTTGGCCTCTAGGATCGGGAATCTCGAGATTATTACTAATAATTTTTTATTTAATTTGGTGCGCGGAGGTTGCAGAAAGTCAGTTTCAAAGTATCGCTGAAGCCCTCCTTTCCTGAGCGTCACGTCATAAATGGAGTTTTGGAATCGCCGCTCCCGCGCATCTTCAGCGCCTATCAAAGCTATGCACGCGCACCCTCGCTATTTTCAAAAAGGTCCAAAAAAAACGTCGCGTCTAGTGTCAGTGCCGAGGAATATACCTGGCAAGCTTACAATTGGACACGCTACTCACTCGAGTGAAACGCGCTTGGCGGTTGAAACATTCTTTCGACACGAAAGCGCTAAGGAGCTCGTGTCGCAGAAAAGCCAACCTAGGTGGCGTGACAGAAAAGCCGGCTTTGGTGGCGTAACGCGAAAATCCTGATTGTTCGATAGGGTAAAGACGTCACAGCCACATGACCTTGCGCTGGAAAAAAAAAAAAGGTTATTTGGCCTTAAAAAAATAAACTTTAAACAATTTCAGGCGGGATTTGGACCCACGAACCTCCGATTGCGAGCCAGACACGCTGCTGACTATACCATGTCCACCACGCCTCGTTTTCATTCATAGGGAGAGCATGAGAAGCGCATGAGAAGGCGATGCGAAGGCGATGCGAACACGGTCCGATAACGCTATCACGTTTCACCCTTAAAGGCGAAGCTTAAGCGCCCTCCAAGTTTTATGACGTGACGACTCATCGGAGGCTTTTCTTGTTTTCTCGCGTTTTCCCAAGTAGCACAGATTTGGCCAATCATTGGTCAATGGCTGGAATTGGCCTTTTGGCCAGTGCCCAGCCATTGGCTGATAACTGGCCTTTCTCTGGCCATTGGGCAATGGCCATTGGCCATCAGCCATCGGCCAAGCATTGGCCGATGAATGGCCACGCTTTAGCCATTGGCCAATGGTTTGCATAATTCCGTGCTGCTTGGGTAGTTACATCTTCTGGGAAGACGAACGGGATATTTTTATTTTTTCGGGATAAAAACACTCTAGAATTCACCTCAGAGTTTCTTTTTGTTTTTTTCAAGAACCTTTTTAGCTTTCCTTTATGTTCACACACAGCCGACAATACGATCTAATAGCTAATCAAGCAGCGACAGAAGCGCGAGTCACTGAATCTTTTCTGTTTATGATTGGTCAGCGATGATAGAACACGTACAATAACATGACGAACACCACGATGATGCGCTTTTGACGCTGTTTGATTGGTCCCATCAGCTCGCAGCATCGGCTGCGTCTTGACTTGAGAGGACGTGAAGTATAGCAGCGTCCCACAAGGGAATTTGTCTTACTCAGTTAAAGTGTATGCAATGCAATAAACACTCGTCTCACGACACAAGGTGTTCCACAAAATGTTGCTAAAATAGCTTGAAAGGGTACCAGATCCCCTTCACGCCGTCATATTTTCAGCAGCAACCAGTGCAGGCGATTCAAAAGCTGCAGGCACAGTGCAAACACAGACATAAAATTGATCAAACAAGGACTAGCGCCGTAAAGGAAGATCAACCGGAACTCACTCGCCCCACCAAAGGAGTGGCCAACATGTTCCGTCTTTCCGCTACCCTCACCACTAACTACTACTACTACTAAAGAAGACCAAATAGAGGTCCCCTTTTCAGATTGTTAGCATTGGTAACTCGTTTTGATTTGCGGGGGTTTTCGCGAAGCGACTCGGAGAATGGGCTGGAGATCGTGCCAGTTATATTTTCTGCAAAATCGAGGAATTGGCGATCTCCCTGCGAGGCAGTTGCCGATGTTACTTTATACGTTATATTGTATACGGATAAACAGGTGTTCGAATGCCAAAGGCAATAAATTATTAAAATTAGTCAACCCATACTCGTAGTATTTAAATTGTTTAAATGTACAAAAAAAAACAACAGAAGTCCTGTCAGGTAACTGTATCGGAACAGCTGCAACAGCCTAAGATGTTTTCCACAAGGAGGGGGGAAACATCTGTTTCGACAATGCTATAATGCTTGAGTCTTCACATCGACACAGCAATGATTGCTGTTCGGGAGGTTCAAGTGAGCCCGGAATAATTTTCAACTAAAAAAATAGAGTTGCATCGCATGAAGCAAAGCCGTGATATAACTATTCTCTAAATTTCAGTATAAATTAATGCCTAAATCGGACACATTCTAAGTTTCACGAAAACTTATCAAAACTATCAAAATTTGAGGCAAAATTTCCAAATTAATCTGTAAGAATAGATTACCAAAGCTGTTATTCTGTACCGGCTAAATTAAGGTGAAGATGACAATAAAATATTAAGGCCGAATGTTTTCGACTGTAATTTATGAAAGAAAAAATAACAGTTTGCATTGCGCCTATCTAAACCAACGGCTCATCTGATTGATTTCATTATTCAACCGAGACAAAGCGATTGTTTTATAAGCTAGCATATTTTAAGGATGTATATGCAAAAGTAGCAATAGTTAGCAACATTAAGGTACATATTGTTGTTCAGCAGAAATACCTGGCCACGGTGTGAACCAAACCTCCCATAAAGAAACAGAGAAAGCCGTTTAACACTCCCTGTAACGCCGAATTGGAGCGCAACTCTTGAGGAGGAGGAGGGAAGGGTACTGAGGGGAGGGTAGACCCCTCCTCCTCCTCCTTCTCCTCCTCCTCCCCTCATTCTTTAATACGCTCCGGGGGGGTCACCTGACCTCGGGGGGAGGAGGTCACGTGACCTCGGAAGGGGGGTCACCTTGAGAGGGATCACGTGACCCCAAGGTCACGTCATCCCTCTCAAGGTCACCTTGGGGTGACCTTAAAAGGGATCACGTGACCTTGGGGTGACCTTGGCTACACCGACGGCGACGCCGACGCCGACGCCGCTCAAGCCGGAAATGGGCGCCTGAGAGCTGCGCTCTAAAATAATTATGCGGTTCTCATATTGCTTAAAAGGCTATTATTGGTGAACTTCTTACCTGGTTTGAGAACTTCCTTGATCAAGAATTTCACGAACTTGAAGCCGTCCTTCGTGTAGTTCTCTTGCGCCGTCCCTAGCCAGACTGAAATCATTGAAATTGCATGAGGTAGGGAAGTATCTGAGCCTGATTCTAAACTGACGAGCACATTGCCATAATTGGCCTAATGGATATTCAAAAAGTAACTCGCTGGTGGGTGAGATCATAATTTCGGAGCCTCGAAGGGTTTCTTAGCGAGACCTGGGTCGAACAAGGGAGTTCTGGCCAGTTGCTCGGCGTAGTCTTTCCTTTGGACTGCCCACATTATCACCGCGATTTACGAGATCAAAGAGTTCACACGCTTAAATCTAAGGAGGGGTTTATGGTGGTCTTGCAGAAACAAGAAACGTAGGTGCCCCCCTCACTCACCACGACTCGCTTCCCATCCCTTGATGCGGCGGACGGTTGCTATTGTAACTGCAGTATATTCTATGGAATACATACGTTTCGAAGCACAGCGTCTAGATGGCGTTCAAGCTCTGCTTTATGTAACACACAGTTATGTAACGAAAACCTAGATGGCGCTTCAAACGACGGGAGGCGGACTGAAGTGAGTGAGGGGGGGGGGGGGGGAGGGGGTTACCCTCTACCGCAGGAGTTCCACAATTGAGGCAATCTAGTAACGTTGGTTCCAGGCGAGACAGGCATTGCCATTACCTATAGCAACATTCCAAAACAGATATTACAGACGAGGCTTTAGCGACATCCACCGGGTTCAATTCAGTAATGGTTTAAATCATTTCAAAGCTCTTTTTCGTGCCTTTTATAAAAAGAAATTGGGGTGTTTGATGTGATACTGCTCTCCTGAACACGCATAGACAAACAAATAGGCGCTGAAAATTTCGTTGCAGTAGCTCTTTAAGGGTGAACGGAGCATGGATGGGCAAAATTAGTTGGCCAGGCCTAGTTGGTTGAACATCATATACGTGTTAGCGCGAAAAAAAAAAAAGGACAAGGGAGGACAGGAAAGGACAAGGGCCTCTTTCGACTGACGTTGTAATGAAAAGCTAAAGGAAGGAAAGAAGGGATATAAGAGTTTATGCAGCACGCAAGTTCGTCTCCTTCTTGCACAGCGGTTGCGATGATGTCAAAACGCCGAGCTCTTATTGTCTGATTAAAAAAAAATAGTGGTTAGACGTTGAGGCAGCCAGCATTGAGGCCTACCCCCTATCCTTTCAAAGAAAGCCAATCAAAGCTCGGCGTCGTTCTGACGTCACCGCCACTCCTGCGCGAGGAGCAGACGACTTGCTCTCCGCATTATATAAAAGGATAGAGAAAGAAATTGGAAAAACAAAAAGGATTTAGAAGAGGACTGAAGTGATAAAAAATTAATCGAAAGAACAGTGCAAATATTAAAAGAAACGAAAAAAAAATAATTAAAAATTGAAAACAAAAGTTTGAGCAGAAAAATAGCTTAGGAAATAAGGGAGTTTCGTCGTTCCTTGGGTGACAAGTTCACTGATAGCGCGCTTATGCAGGATGCGCTTCTTGCCGCGATGGCCAGGGCTTCGCAAATTTCTTTAGTTTTTTTGTCGTGAAAGCGCCTCAGAATCCCTGCGCTATTGAACAACGGGGCGCACCCACAGTCCCTTAGATGTAAGGCTAGGTGACCTTAAAGTTCAAACGTTACTCGGGCCCGGAAGTCACTGTTGTTTCACCCTCCTTCCGGGGGCTTCCTCTTGTCCTGGACGAAGCCGAAGGCAAGGCGTCGGGTCACTGCAACCTACGTCTGCAAGTCCTGGGAACTTTCAAGTCTACCTTGGAGAGGCGTGGGAAGTTTATGGTTCAGCGTCTCTACGTCATGAAAATTCAGCACATCTCACTGCTGGGACTGCCTGCCACTCGAGATCTGACGGGGAAAGCTTCCCCTGAAATCCTCCCTGCCAGATACCCTGTTACTAAGTGACCTGACAAGGAGTGCTTCAGGGAATGCTCATGCTCCCTAAGCTGGATGTTGACGCATCGTCCGGTCTCACTCCCATATACTAATCTCATACACAACTCTGTTTTTATGCACTGTGGGCATGTATCACGCTGCATTTGTCCGTCTTGTTGCGCTGTGAGTTTATTGTGGGGCAGGGCCTGGTTAGCTTGTCTGCAACAGATAGCACCACCCGGACATCATGCTTGGATGTGACTCTCTTGAATCTGTGTGAGCTGCGAGGCATGTATGGGACGACCGCAGGTCGGTGTCGTTTCTCTCTACTCTTTCTTGTTCGATTGGATGTTATCATGCATTCAGCGACATCTGAGAGAGGAAGCCGGAAGCTTTGAGGACGTAATACTTGAGCATCAAAGCTGAACGCTGCTGAATAAAAACAGGACTCGTTTAGGGCCGCGCTAAGACACTGCAAACAATTCGTCTTTTTTGCAAGTTTTGTTTTGAGCCGAATCATACTAGGGCAGTCTGACTTGCGATCTTTGCGAGTACATCCGGCATAGATGGTTATTTTTGAAGGTGAGCCGAAGGTCCTTCTCTTCAGGTTACCTAGCCTTTCACGTGAAGGACAGTGGGCGCACTACACCCACTATCCTTCACTTGTTTACAAGTGCCGGGGTTCTGAGGCGCTTCTACGACAAAAGAAAGAAGTTTATGAAGCCAAGGCCCTCGCAGCAAGAAACAAATCTTACATAAGCTCGCCAGCAGTAAACTTGTCATTCAGGGAAATACGGTACCTCCTTAAGTTCTAAAATGTGTTTTTGCTCTCCTCCTTTTGTTTTCCTTTTTTAATTATTTTTTCTTATTTTGTAATTTCTTTCGATTAACTTCTTTTTATTATTTTATTGCTCTTCTAAATTCTTTGTGTTTTTTATTTTTGTTATTCAATATCAATTTAGTTTCGTCCTTTTTCGTGCTTTATCGTTTCATTAAAACGTGAATTGAAAGTAGTGTTTGACCTCTCCTGTCCTTCCTTGTCCTTTTTTTTTTGCGCTAATATTTTTATAATAAGCAGGGAGTCCGAAAAAAATTTCCAGTTTTTTTTGTTTTTTCTTACCGCAAAAATAAACTAGGCATCGCGCTCATTCTCCGCCCAAAGGTGGCACTAGTGGTCACAACTAGATGCCAAAGTTTCAGCCCGATCCGATATCTTATTCAAAGGTTAAAAGCGATTTTCTGAAACTTTCAATGGGAAAATAGAGCCCAGTTTTGCCCTAGATAACAGAAAGTATAAAACAGAGAGAGGACGAAACACAGACGAGTACATTCTTTGAAAGAAAGAATGTACTGTCTGTGTTTCGTCCTCTCTCTGTTTTATACTTTCTGTTATCTAGTACATCGTAACAACACGCTCGTTAGGAACATAACAGTGTTGCCCGTTTTCGGTTTGTGGTGCCCATAGAGCCCCATGTATTCGAAAACGCCGTTGGCCGCCATTTTCCCATTGCAATTTTCAGGAAATCACCTATAAATTTTGAATAAGGTACCGGAACGGGCTGAAACATTGGCATCTGGTTGTGACCTCTTGCGCTACCTTTGGGGGGGGGGGGGGGGGGGAGGGGGGGGCGAATGAGTGTTGGGCAATGCCTAGTTTATTGTTGCAACAAAAAAAAAAAAACGTGTAATTTTTTTTTTTTTTGTTTTTTGTTTTTTGTGACACCCTGTAGACTGGCGGCAAACGGCACGTAGCCCGAGCCCTCCTTCACGCGCTGCTTCGAACAACTGGTTTTTTACGTAAAACATTCTGCGCCATCTAAAAGGAAGAGCATCCCCGTGTCAATACAACACCACCTAGACAGAAGGCCTCCGCATGGTTTCCTCTTCTTCTATGAAACGTCATCACAGTCGGATCGCGCTCGGTCGGCTATTGGACCCGAGCCCGACCTTCGACGCGCTGAATGGCCACGAGCCGCAGCCGAACACTGACGCAGCACTCGTGCCCAATCTCTCGCCTCAATCGATCTGACTATGATGACGCGTGTGGAGGCCTTCTGTCTAGGTGGTGTTGGTCAATAGGGGTATTCACACGGGGGTTATTTTTGAGATAAGCTCTTCGCCCTTTTGATAAAAACAAAACATCCGGATTATCTGGCTCGCTCTGCTGCGCCCCCCCCCCCCCCCCCCCCTTCCCCCTCAAACAAAGGAGGGAAAAATATTGCACATTATTTACGTAACACGACTCATTTTGTCTCTGGCGACATACATCTACACTGGTCAACGTGTCGAATGAAAAGCACATTCGGAATTACCCGTCACTCCGAATGGGTCTCGCACGAAAATATTGCGCTGAAATTTCCTTCTCGAGGTAAAGCTCCTTTCCTTGCCTACATCGGCGGTCCCGGCACCTAAATATGTATTTGAAGGGAGTTCGGTGTCTACAGGAGGGATTCAGATTCATTCGTCTTTTCCCGAGGACGTGTTATAAAATCGATCCTAACTCAAAGTGAGTCTCGCGACGTTGAAATTGCGGGAAAAAAATGTTTGTTCGGCAGAACGTTTTTGTGAGGCACAAACGTCCTATACTGGCATTAACCAGAAACTTTTTTTTAAGGAGGTCGGTGCCGTTTCAATTACCTTCCTGATAGCTTTAAACCGCTCGGAAACCAGTGCGTACGGGATACTCGGCAGACAACATCGGAAGAGGCATACACCAATTAAAACGCATTTGCTGGCCCAGGGAGATCCGATGGAAGTCTCATTAGAGGAAGCATTTCCGCAGCGAGGATTGGTAACGCTTTTAATAGTCGCTAATATGTCTTCCTGCGCAACATTTATCGGGACTTTGGAAGGCAGTCTTGAGGCAACTGATATGCGGATCTAAAGTCGAGTGTAATAAGCTCCACCAGGTTCGTGACACACAGTACGGGTCATTCCCTGTAATACGTTACGTAAGCAGAATTTAAAGGTCTCGTTTAGGGGCACAGATTGCCCAAGACTTCGATAATATCTATTTATTTTGAGGGTCACGGTGAAAGTTTCGGGCCATACCGGGACACTGAGATGAACTGCGGCTCACTCACCGTAGTCCACCTTATCGCAGACAAACTCTCTCAGGCTCTCCCGACGCTCGTTAACGTCGTCGATTTCCTTGACGAAAGGTGCCAAAGGTTTCTCGGGTAGACAGCCCCCTAAAAGGCAGAATAGAGCGGCACTTTACCCATGGGACGCGGACTGACGGTCACGTGGTTGCTGGCAGTGGTCGCGTGACACCTCGACCTGACACAACACCGTGACGTTCGGTGACATCACGGTTGATGCCGTGACTAGACGTGACAACCTAGTGCAAAGTGATCTCGCATCACGTCACCCCGTATTAGTACCAGCCACTAGACCGACCTGAGAGCAGCCAGTGACCACGTGTTCCATAGGAGTGTCCGTTCAGTGTAGCGGCACATAGACACGCTAAATTTATGCGACGGCATCGTTTCATTATACCTTTTTGTAACTATTTAATATGACGGTATTTTCCTACTTACCCGAGGTTTCGTTCTTTAGGGATCAAATGCGGGAGTGCTTTTTCGAGGTTTACTTCTTTTTCACAGATTCGACGTATTTCCGTGTCAATTTTTTATTATGTCCGACGAAGATCGGCCTTTATTCGAGTTCAAGAAAAGAGGGCCTGGGATTCTCGAAACAAAAAAACAAAAAAAACAAAAAAAAATTCGCTTCCCGAATACTTGGAAGATGTTCACACAAGAAAAGGAAACTACAAATGCCCCCCCCCCCCCCCCCCCCCCAAAAAAAAAAAAAAGTCTTTTTGCTGGTTTACTTGGGGTCGCGTTTCGCGTATAAGCAAAATAAAGCTTTAGACAAGTTTACTCTCTTCTAAGATCGTTTGCTATTACGTAGGGACAGCTAAAATTCGGGGTTTATCGATTTCCCTATTTTGATCAAACCGACACGGGGATTATTTTTCAGGGTTGTCCGTCCACACTGGAAACACAAAATCCTTCCTTTATTACAGGGTGTTTTCTTTAAGCGTAATTTATTTGTTTTAAGAAAAGCGACGAAAGCTACACTAAAGTGGTTTGTGCAAGTTAGTTATGCGGTCTGGGGGACATAATATAGAAGGCTAGTCGTAACGAGCAATCGAATAATTAAATAAAATGTGTTTTGAAACTAAACATATGGTTCTAATTAGAAATGTGACGATCATCACCGAAAACCACTGAGTGAATAAATATTAAAAAAACTTGGAGCTGGTGGGAAGCATGGTGGAGAGCAAAATATTTACCACTCGTGCGTCAGGAGCAAGGCAACGGATGCGATAACACTACCTAAGAACAAATTGCGCTGCTTTTACGTTTAGAGAGCCTCGAAGTTGGTTTGCCTCGACGGGTGGCCTGTCTCTCAGCTGTAGATGAGACATTTAGACAGTACAGTACTGCCGGTAGCCTGGGGTCTTTAACGAGCACCACGCAGTGGTGATCACACACACGCGTGCTAGTACGATGCTCACCCAGATCCAAACGGGCCGGGGGTGGGGATCGAACGCAGAGAGTTCTGCAGCGTGAGCTTTCGCTCCACGCTCCGAACTGAGACGCTTTGATCCAGTCGGCCACCGATTCCCTCTGAACGCCCCAAGCGCTGTTTTTGCACCTTATCGTAGCTTAAATCAGTCCGATAATGACCGATTTAGTGCTGTTTCATGATGCTCAGCAAGGTCCTAATTAAAACTATGCGCTTATTTTCATTAATAAAAAGTTGATTAGCATGTTTCAGTTATTGATTTGACAGATAGTGACGATTACTCCTCTGTATTATATTCCCCAGGCCGTATAACTCACCTGCACAAACCGCTTTCGTGGCTTCTCCTTAACAAATCTGCTGAACATTAAAGGAAAACGTATATTTTTTTTATTTAAGGAAGCAGGCGGTTCATTTCCTTTCTTGCTGCCCGTTCTGGCGCTCTCACCTTCGGCACACGCGCAGACTTCGGTGTCGTCGCAGTGCAGCTTCAGCAGGGGGCTCGAGTTGTCGGGGGCGTAGAACTCCGTGCAGGAAGTATCTGCGAAATGGCAGCGTGAAAAAAGAGCAGACTGCGTTAATCTCTAACAGATAAAATGCTGCCGCCTGGTGTAAAGACGGTTGTCATACTTTCTGTTAGTATTGCTGGTGCCGCGGCAGGTTATATATTGAGCAATTTTACCGCAGTTTTACCGCAGGCTTCCGTACGGAGAAGAATTGCTATTGTAAGCTCGCGTCATGACTCCGAGGAAGTTACTCGGAGCGCGCCAGGAGCCCTACCGTGCCCAAGCTAGCCTGCGTTGGCGTTCAGCCAGCGTTTCTTTTGGTTCGCGACTTGCCGCAGTTCCCGCGATGACTCTGGCACATTTGAAAGAAATCGCGGAGAAGTGACATTGCTTCACTTTGAAGGAAGTTCTGTATGTTCTCTTCGTGAAAAACTCGGAAACGACCAATTACTTGAAGCAATAGAAGGATCGCAGCCAATAACGAAGCTCTGAATATGATTCGAACTGAAACCGTGTATGAACGGAGATGGTGGAACGCCATTGAACCTGCGCACCAACGTTATGAGATTACCTCAGCCACGGAACAGCTCATAGACGCTGCTTGCACGAGCAGTACCCTCGCCTGCCGCGATTGGCCGGCTCCGCACCGCTGAACAATCGTAGCATGCGGTAATGTCCCGGTCTCTTGGTCCCGCCGTGTACGTGAGGGCCACTTGGAATTTTTCGATCTCGAACAGCGAAAGGAAAAAAGAAAGGGAAGAAAAAAAGCCGCCTTGGGTGTGCACGTGATAATGCACAGTCACAGCGATCTTGGCTCGTCAAGGTGAAGTCGTTGGGCATCGGTGTTGCGTTCACGCACCCTATTGTTACCATAATGCACGTTAGAGGTTCAGCTGCCGTTAGTGTGCCGTTGCAAATTGACCCCGTAAGTGAGGGTGTCACAACATGGGGCTCCACTCCAAACAAGCAGTTGCTCGGACCGTTGTTATGAGCAAATGCATGGAAGCTCGATTTAGGTTACAGATTGTCTGATAATAAAAAATAATTGTTTGTAAGCATTGTGTCTTCTCAACATCAAATCGAAGACTGCACTGCACTGTACTGTACATTTCTTCAGTTGAAGTGGCCGGTCCCATGATATAGGAACAAATGCTCCACTTCATCAAATTAACATTGATTTGAACGTCGTTGACCGATGAAAGAAAATAATGCAACTATGAACACCTTCTACGGTGTTCATAAAGGTACGTACTGTTTGGTACTACCCAAATAACAAAACTGATCCCCGTCTATCATTATGTTAAAACACCTAAGACTGGGTGTGAAAAAAACCTTGAAACAACCACAAGTAGAAGAGACAGAGACAGAACTCAATCAGACGACGTCTCAGACTCAGCTAATGAGTTTGTTCGGTGTTGGTTGGTGACGACCTTGGTTTCAAGGGTGTATATAAACCAGTACCAACGTTATTAGATTACCTCAGTTGTATAACCCCCTCACTCACTTCAATCCGCCAAGCGTCGTTCGAAGCGCCCTCTATATTTTGTTTCATAACTATGCGTTCCAAAAAGCCCAGCTGAAGCGCCAAATGGCGATCACAACGCCGCCATTTACCCTGCAGCGGTCACTCGAGGAACTGCACCTAACATCTATTTTGGCTTCAATTGGCCATTTTGGAGCCGAAACAGATACAGTGGAAAGGGTTACAGGTATGCCACCCCCGTCTCCCCAGCGGACGCGCTGCGAATTCACCGGGAAGTAAAGATGAGCCTAGGTCGGGACGCGCCATAGAGTTATTACAATAAACGCTAGAGGCTCAGCTGGCGCTAGTGTCTATGGGACTTCCGGTTGCAAATTGAAGCAGACAGCATGCAGTCTACTTTTCCAGTCTTCCTGTGTATTCCTATGGGAAAACGCGCGTGAATTTTGTCTCGTCGCCGGAAAATAACACGAATAACGCTTGTTATTTCGGTTGTACCGGATAGTATGCACCTTAATTACTATTGTGAAAGTGTAATTGCTTTAGTTACAGCATTGTTCTTCTACCACTGAACGATGTTAAACTTCGCTATATTCCAGGCCCAAACCTCTGTTCCATGGCAGGTATGTAGAAACGACCGACGATTCTAGGCAAAATAACGATCGAAAGGAATGTAGAGTGTGTTAAAAGTCCGCCAGCATTCCGTTGGTGCTTATATATTGCTAATATGCCTGTCCTCTCACTATAAGAAAATGACCCGGTCGTGCATCTTTACGAGTGGCTGAAAAAACGTTCGAAACGTAAAGAATAAAGTACGTGGGCTGCGAAATGTGCGTTTTCTTATTATTTCCTATGTCGGGCAGTTTTTATCCCGCACCTGTTCTCTGGCTTCCCCCTATTTGCAAAAATTTGGAGCGCGTGGTGATGATTTGAGCAAAGAACAATCATCTTCGCATGTATTCATGAGCAGAAAGAATAAAGCAGTACTTATTTATTGCAAATCGGACTATATTACGTGACTTTCAATTTATTTTGATCGTCTGCAAGCACAAGGAGTTACTTATCCAGTGTTTTAGTTACTTATCCAGTGTTACTGCGTAGTTTTTGCCGTCTCTCTTGGTTTTCCACATGTCCTTTCCCATGCTGGAAAGCGTTGACGCTGTGTTCGCGCTAACAGTGTCCGACAGTGCACATAAGTACATGTACCAAACAGTTTTAGCACCGTTTTTCATGCCACGATTTGAAAATAAAAACGCCGTAACTGACCAATTATTTCATCTGCGTGACTGGGAAATGTTCTAATGTGCCTAGTACGTACGATTTGTTCGTGATATTTGCTCTTATAATCGAGCGCAGATAGAAAATGCACTCGCTTTTGTCCATAGAAATACATTACCGGAAGTCAATTTCGGACTGCTTGCTGTCTGCTTTAATTTGCAACAGCACACTAGCGCCAGTTGAACCTCTAGCGTACATTATAATAACTCTATGGGACGCGCTACCTGAAATTACCGCTGAGGCATGGTTGTATGAAAAATATATTATTGTGCCGCAAAACCTAGCAAACTAAAGATTTTAGAAAACATCACGCGCCCCCCATTTCGTACTAAACTCCAATAAAAGTTACTACATAAAGAGTTTTTTTCCGTTGGTTTTTACGTTTCTAGTAACGTTGTAACGTACGTCTCCTGATTCAGTTACCAAAGCAGCCGTCTGGCGGCGCGTCGAGCGACGCTTGGCGAGTCGTGGGGAGTGAGGGGGGGTACTGTTCGTGCATGCGGCGTCTATGAGCAGTTCCGTAACTGAGCTAATCTTATAAAGTTGACCAGCACACGGCTCTGACGTCACGCCTCTGCGGTGGCGCTGTTGTCGCCAAGGCGCCTTCGCAGAAGCTTCACCTCACGCGAATCTGCGTTCTGCGCTCGCGCATTACCCACACCTGGTATGGGAAAATGCGGGCTTATTTGGAAACAGTTTGTCGGTCTATAAGAGGTTTACTCAAGAAACTTATTAGCTGAGTTTGAGACGTCGTCTGGCTAAATTCTTTTCCCGTCTCTTCTACTTTTGGTTGTTTCAAAATTTTCTTTACATCCAGTATCGGATAACATTATTGGAACCTTACACCAGCTCGCCTTCGCCCTCACTGTGTTTCGGTTGATCCATGTCATTTTCGAGCTACGAGACAAAATGCACGCGCGTTTTCCCATTGGAATGCGCAGAAGCACCGTAAAAGTAAACTCGTGGCTGGCTGCCTCTACGGGCCTCCCGGAAGTCGCGTAGACACTAGCTGCTGTTGATCCTCTCATATGCATTATAGTAACTTTATGTCACCCACCTTGACGGCGAAGTTTCAATTGGTTTCGTTCTCAAGCTAACGAGGTAGAGTTTTTTAGAGCTATAAACTGATATCCCGTTCACCAGGCAAAAGTGACTCCCACTTGGCTGCCGCCATGTTGTACAATTGGGACCACAGGACACGTGAACGCACCAACTCCTGAGGCTTTTACCCAAAATTGAGCCGAGATTTGCGTGGCGATCGCTGTAAAACAACATGATGAATTATTTTTTCGCGCAAGGTATACCATGGCTACCAATTGGCCACCGTTTCGGCTTCGATTTTCCAACCTCACTCCACGACAGCCCGTCACCACCAAGTACAGTTCACGCATTTTCAAATAGGTGACAATTTCCTTTAATTTATATATCTGTAGGTGGGACCTACCAACACGGATAGCATGCTGGAGCACGCTTTGAGGGGCTTCCGACGTACCAGAGTGTGTGGGCGGTTAAACAAAGAAAAAAAAGAGACGTCTACAATTCCATGTGAAACCGAATTAGAGCGCAGCTCTTCAGAAGGAGGGGGGAAAGGTATTAAGGGGAGGGCACCCTCTCATCCTCCTCCCCATACCCTCTCCCCCTCCCCTTCTCCTCCTCCTTTCCTCCTGCATCTTCTGCCCTTCTCCCATCCTCGTCCTCCCCTTTTTCTTCCTCCTCCTCCAACCCTCCTCCTCCCTCCCTCGTCCTCCCCTCCCTCCCTCCTTAGTCGTGGCCCTCATGACATCACTCGTGACCCTCGTGACGTCACTCGTGACCTTCGTCGAGGCCTTCACGAGTGACCGTGACGTCACTCATGATGTCATATGAGGGCCTCGTGAAGGTCACTGTGAGGGTCGAAACGTTCACAAATGACCTTCGCGACTTCACTCGTGACCCTAGTGACCCTCGTGACGTCACTTGTGACGTCAATATGGGAAACATTCCATAATGCAAAGCGCGGTTCCGCCGACAGCGACGCCGCTCAAGCCGGAGACGGGCACATAAGAGCTGTGCTCTAAAAGTGTAGTACTGGGCAGATCATCCTGCTTTATCGTCTCTATGTCCGAGGCTTTATGAATAATCTGTGACTCGGGAAATTTATGCTACACTCAGGAGTGGTAGCCAGACTGGCAAAAGGTACAGGAGGCTGCACGGCCAACTCCTCCTCACTATGTCTAGCCAGATACTTACGGCCTCTTGAGGCCCGTGTTTCAACAAGCCCCCTGGCGAGGATGAATGGGTGCAATACAAGCGAGGGCTGACTTCCTTACCATGCAGAACTGAGAGGCACCACTTCGTCAAAGGGGCATTCGAAATCAAAAACAGGCCACTCCTCTCCATGGCCAAAGAAGTCCCATAATGCAACGCGCGCAATGGAGCATTCAGGGATTTATTGGAGTAGTTTATTGGATGAGTTGAAATTTGGCAGGTAGCAAATATATTGCCTATACTGTCGAATTCAAACGAGCACGGACGTAAGGGATAATTACCCCGGTAGTTTGACCAACCCACCTGAGAAAATTATGTTGTCAAAATGTATCATGTTTTTTTTTTTAGTTCAGCATGTTTTTGTTTGTATTTTGAGATAAATTGTATATGCCCTCTCCAATCATAATCTCATGAGGAAGTGGTAGCATCTTGACATCCATAAAAAAATTACACTTTGTATTTATCGTTATCCTTCATTAGCTAAAGAAGGCAGGTTAGATCTGTTTTGTACCACGTCAAAAAATTAGGGGGCTTCAGGTGTAGCAATTTTGTCCTTACGATCGCCAGAAAAACGAACGCGTTGGAAAGTGACTTCTGAGATGGTGCATCTCATTCCGCATCGATATCAAATGCCCTGGCCGTAGCTGAAAGTCTCCGCGTTCAATTTCCTGCAGGACGCGCAGGCATCCAGTCGCTGAGAACGAGGGAAGCGAGTGACATCGCTCGGAACGGGATCGGACGTGCCATGTGTGGACTGACAATAGGCGAGTCAAACGTCATTGTTTCCGCGCTCGTTGCATCATTCCAAATCAATCGTATTCCGAGCTTCGTCATTCGCACGGATTTGCAGTGATCGGGTTCATGCGTGTTCTGCGAAAAAGTGAACGCGCAAACGTTTTTTAGAGCGCGCCTATGACTTACCTGGATCGTAATAGGAGTACACCTTGACGTAGCTGGACTGGATCTGCCCGACCTCGAACTCCTTGTCGAGCCCAAACTCCAGGCACACCTCAGCATTCGTGGGAATAGATTCAACGTAAAAGTTGACGCTACGACGTGTCAGTTCGTAGAATTGAACTACTCCGTCAGTGACAAGCTGCACGAAAGGGAAAGGCGCAGTTTCGGGTAAGTTGTGAATTGACGCGTGGGATATGCTGTCTGGTACTTTTCCTTAGAGGCTCGAATTTCCGAGCAAAGTTAGTCCTGACCGATTGAGAAGCTACAAGACGACGAGGCTGCAAGGTACGTTTCCTTATTAATACATCTCAACTTCACCCCATTACTACCGCCTTCTTTATGGAAAAACTCCCACACAGGTTGCCGTTATTTCTCCGAGAGATGTATTCGTCAACATTACATTCCTTTGGTCTGCATATCCAGCAGTGAATGAAAAGCATAAACAAACAGTTACACCTGTAAAAGTAGAATAAAAACAAAGCGTAGGGTAAATACCTTCTTGAGGTCTTCGACAATAGGCTTGAAACCTGTCAAAAGACCAACGTCCAGGATGGCCATTCCCGTAGCATTCCGCTCCAGGTATCTTTTGGGAAAAACAAACAGTTCTTAAAATCGTGATAACCTGGGGAGAAATATACGAAGCTCCTGGGGTGTTCAAATACTTTTCAAGGGTCGGCTACCCGAAACAAAGGTAAATAATGTGCGATGTGAACAATTTCGTCGCCAATGCACAAAGTACTAGATGGTACTAGATTACTAGAGCATCCAGGTATCTACCAAGGGATAAGTGAAATTGATTATTGAGTCGTCTGAAAAGGAATGCAAGGAATGGAAGAACACTTTTAATGCTTTCAGCTATTTCATTTGAAGTAAACAAAAAATATTCCGCGCTTAAATGCTGCAAAAGTGTGTAGCATTAAAAAAAAAATTTCAGCAAGATCTCAAATAAACTCTCCATAATCAGTTATAATTATATTTTATTTTAACATGTTCCCAATCTGCAGTTGTTAATTAGGAAATCCCAAATATAGAACTTCGTCAAACGTGTCACATCATAACACAAAGTACCATGCCATGGTAAAAATTCACAAAAATGTATTAAACAATAATATTAATTATTATTATTTATTAATACTATTATTTTCTGGGTTTTTTTTAATTTCGAAACAGCAATTTACAATCAGCATGACTTTATAAGCAGCCGATCAACGGCTACAAACCTTGTTAGCTTTATGTCTACCGCATCTCGTGTGATATGTACCAGAGGTCAGTAAGACGTTGTCTACTTTTACTTAAGCAAAGCCTTCGGCTCAGTCAATCACACGATTCTTTTATCCAAACTTTTCTCCTATGGAGTATGTGGCACAGTGCACGACTGGTTGAAGAGCTACTTCTCAGAGAGAGAGGCGTACGTCCGAGTTAACCACATGAATTCTTCGTTGTACAGGGCACTCTCTGGCGTTGCTCAGGGATCTGTTTTAGGACCTCTTCTGTTTAGAATTCTCGTAAATGACGTCTCTCTTGCTGTTCTCAATTCTTCGTTCATTAAATATGCTGACAATATAAAAATAAAAAAAAATAGTTACTGAACATGATTGTGCTAGGCTCCAAGAAGATGCATGTTCTTTCTACTGATAATGCTCCTACAATGACCTTCTTCCGAAGCCTTTTAAAACCAAGGTCATAACACACTTTCAGAAACCTCACAATATCTCTGTCGCATATAATATTCATGGGAGGCTTTGTCTCGGTAAGTGTAATGAAAGACCTCGGAGTCATCGTTGATCCTAGCTCGCGTTTGTAGGATCACGTTTGTAAGCTGGTTAACACGTCATTGGGAATGTTGGGCGTGGCGTCTCACTTAACTAGGGAGTTCAGAAACCGAACTGCTTTCATTACGTTGTACAGTTCGTTATCCAGGTCATAGTTAGAGTAGACCTCGGTTGTTTGGAATGAAATCTCTAAAACTCACTCCTTGAAAATGGAACGTGTGCAAAAAAAAAATGTTTGTTTCTATCTTTAAACATTGGTACATAAAGGGGGATGTTCACTGTTTAACATATGAAGCTACGTTAGCCTGCGTTGGTTTACCTAGCCTGCACCGGCGTCAGGAGAACGCGGACTTACTATTTTTGTTTAAAACACTGCATGACCTCATAAATTATTGGAGCCTATTATCTAAACTCTGCTTTAGGGGTGCCCGACGTGCGCCTGCTCGGCTTCAGACATCTCTTTATGTTTCCGGAACTTTTAGTCCGATAAACCCAATTGTTGGAATGTTGGAGCGTTTGAATCATCACTCTGACAAACTTGATATTTTCCACCTATGCTACAGGACGTTTTCCCTTTCTAATAAATACTTGCCCGTGCAAGTTTAGTATTGCTGAATGACTCTGGTATATTTGAATTTCGTCATCTACATGGCGTGGATCTTGGTGGTGCACTCGTTTTCCTACGCTCTTCTGTTTCGTGTCTGCTGTTACTGCCTCGTATTTTTATTATAATACTTACTCCTGTACTGCCTTGTACTATGCTTAAAAACTGATTTGGTTTTTCTTTTATTCTCACGAAGCACATCATGTCTCAATTTTTGGGCCATGTATAGTGTGTAGTGGATTATCTTTCTGTATTTTCGTGTATCACGTTTTTTTTATCCCCCAGTGTACCAGCACCAAGACCTCCGGGTTGTTCCTGGGAACTGTACAATAAACGTCGATTGATTGATTGGTTGATTGATTCTTATTATTATTTTTTATTTGCCATTGCATGGGATGGTGAGGTTGCGAAAAAAAACGCGCGAGACGGCTTGACGAGCTTCAACCCCAGTACATTCTGTAGCAGTTAGGAATAAAAAAATAATAATAAAACACACAAATATATCGCGCATGGAGAAGTGAGGGCAACATTGTAATGTCTGTTTAACATCAATACACTGATAATAAAAGTACCACAAGATCAAATAGGTAAATTAGACGTAATGGAACGTAATTCCTTGAAAGTTGATTTGTCAATAAAGACACACAGAGAATACAACAAATTAAGAGGTTGTGGAATTTGGTAGGTTCAATTTCTCTTCCAGTGTTTAATCGACATGCCGATACATGCGAGCGATCCAGATTACGGATTTCGTATGTTACGACGTGCTGTGGTAGACTGGACGATTCCATCAATAACCAAATGCCATACCAAAGCTCTGTTTTAAGTCTTCTCGATAGCTTATAAGCTATAAATGATGAGTATTTTATGAATTGTGACTAGGTTTTCCGTGTGTGAAAGATAAGGTGCATTTGAAATTATATGTATCAATCTTTTTGCATCAGGTGCACTTTTTGTATAGCAATATTTTAACAATATTGTTATAACAATGTATTAACAAATTAACAATAATATATTGTTAATCTGTTATATTAACAATATAACAATATTTTAACAAATTTTGGGAGCATACAAAGAAGCTTGGAAAAGTACCTAGAACATTGGTGCCGATTTAATTTTTTTTTTATTTAAATATCTAAAATATGATAATCCCAGGACATGTTATAAAAAAACACAAGTCCTAGTGTCCTGAAATTTTGAATGAATTCAACGTTAACTGAGTTTAAAGTGTTATTTATTTTAAGGATGAGGCAATTTTATATTAATGTCTAAACATTATGGCCTTAGTTTTGTTTGTATTTATTTTTTTCGAGTTCATGCTAGTCCACAATGGCATTTGATCCAACATTAAATTAGCTTTTTACACCAGTTTCTCGCCATCATCAAAAGCATAAGGGGTGTTGAATCAACCGCATATATTCTAAATTTAGTGTTTCGGTTAAAATTTACAACATCGTTTACACACGCATCAAAAAGTAATTAAAACACTTTCTCCTGGTACATCTAAATATACAAATTTCACACTATATAAATGATTCTTACAACATACATATTGTTTCCGCTTTTTTTATAGATAGGAGCTTAGTAGAACTTAGAAGTAAGGCTTCACCACGAACACCATATTTTTCAAGTTTTCGCAGTAAAAGTTTGTGGTTTAAAGAGTCAAAAGCTTTCGCTTTCGTTAAATCATTATAAAATCCCAACAACAATTCTTAATTTATAGATTATATAAAATAAATTCCTCATAAATATCGCAATGAACACTTAGTAGTACATTTAATCGACCATAATTTTCAGTCTTTAATGTTTTGAGATTATGATTTCTGGCAAGCTTGACGTGGTAGATCATGCCACTTTCCACAGTACTACTTTTGAATTGCAGAGGAGGCTCATCCTCTATGAAAGGGGGAGGACCGTGTAACAGGTCTGGTCACGTTCGACATCTGAGGCTGCATTCGCCTACACCGTTGGAACGGTTTATCGAGATAACCTTTACTTTTACCTTCACATATTTTCCTCATGCAATCGCCTGATGGTATGCCATCGATATAAGAGAGAATTCCAATTTCCGAAAGAAAATAGAAGCTCACAAGACGCACCTTGCGCACACCTTAATCTTGTACATGCTACTGAGCTTGGACTTCATTCGCCGTTGCTTACTGGCATCTGAAAAAAAAAAAAAAAAATAAGGATTCAGCAAATGCACTTTCCACGGGTCACTAATTAATCACAACTAATTCTGAGAACTCTTTGTGACAAGTACGTTGCGTCGTTACAATCAAAGTGCTCCAACTCGACAAACCATTATTGTCCAGTTTTATATAGTAAAAAAACAAACATATATTCGTATTTATATTCATCGTTTTTTGTTTGTTGTGTAGAACACACTTGTATTTTGTAGTTATTAAACAGTAAAAATAGTTTGAGTAAGGCTTATATGTTACAGATGAGATATACAGGGTGCACCGGTAAGGAGCGGTACGTTTCGAATGCCTAAGAAAATTAAATTCCAAACGTACATACCTGGAACTGTTCACGCGAACCTCGTTTCGCAAAAAGTTTTGTCATCTTTAGATCTCAACTCGGAGATGGCAGAATGAAAACGAAAATAGAGCGAAAGCGGCAGTCGTGCATTTGTTATGTCCAATAGAACGTTTTAGCATAACCGCATGCTAGAGCACAACTGACGCACCGCCGATCCGGAACGTATATGGATTGCCCGCGGACACAGGACATGCCACCGCCATGGGCGAGGGTTAACCTGCTTAAAGACGGACCTCATGGCCGAGTTATTTCAGAGCGTTTCTTTTTGTCGTATTACAATTTCCGAGAATCTACGGTTGTCTGGATACTACTGTACTGCGCGCCATCATCGGGTACACAAATAATTTTAATAGGCATAAAAACAGTCGTGGAAAGTGTGTGATGAGCACAAGACGCGCTGCAGCGCGAGTATGGCTGCAATCGTATTGAGTTTCAGAAGTTCCCCAAAGATTCTTATATATGAAGTCAATCGATTGCCAGCGTGAATCGCGAGAGCTTTGTGTAAAACTCATCGTCCATTTACGCTCACAACTAATTCGTCTAAGGCGCTTGGACAGATTCCAAAACAGTGCCAGTGCTCCGATTCGGTTACCACTGCCAGGTATACTATTACTCCATGACAAGACAAGAGAATGAAAACGTCTACGTGCCACCACTCAACATGCAGCTATCGAATCCCGATAGCTTACCTGGATAAACAACATTAAAACTCTCATACTATACTTCCTTGTGGAAACAAAATCAAAACTCTCCACCGTTTCCGTCCTCATTCTTTCGTGGATGCAAGGTGATGGCCTGCTATTAGCCAGCTCGATTCAATCGCCCAAGCTCCAGTCAAGGTATTGTAGTCCAACATATACGACTCTAGTGAAGTTCCCTCATACCCACACCGCTGCCAAGCCAGACAGGTACGGTGCCACAACCAGCCACTATTTCAAGTTTTCAGCCACTACACGGCGTCGTCTACGCCGCAATTCCCAAACCACACCATACAAAAAAAAATATTATATATACCGTTTCTTTTTTTTTTTTTTTGCCTGCTTGGCCAACTGGTTTGTAAGCTCGTACCCAGGTGGCGTGGTAAACGAAAACCCGCTGATAATGTCATAGCAGAGGCTGGTGATGAGCAGGGTAAAAGGGATACACAACAGTTTTACAAAACGTACGAACAGTGATGCAGTTTTAATGCGCGTTTAGGAACACACATATTTTTCCTCTTGATCAAAGAATTAATTTCAAAGCGGTCGAAATACTGTTTTATAATGTTTTCTGTTTGAGTCGTTCGCTCCTCCCTGCGCGCCTTCCGTGCCTAACAGGAATGCGCAAACGGATAGCAGACAACAAAAGAAAAGGAACACTCGTCCACTTTAAAATTTATTTCGTTTATTAAACAGGAACTTCTGCTTGTTTCTAGAAATGTGAACTGAACCTCCATCATCGTTTTGTAATGATCCTGCTCGCCGCCAGCCTCTGCTAGGACTTGCTGAGCGTCTTTTCGCTGACCACGTCACATGTGAGCGAGCTTGCAAACCAGTATGCAGACGAAAAGGAGTCCGGCATTGAAATCGAGCGACAAGACAGCAGCGCCACGGTGCGCCCAGTGAGCGTAGATATTCTATGTAACAGCAAACCTTCCTAATCAATACCAGCTTAATTGAGCAGAGCGCTACACAGAACGTTGGGGGCAACAGTCGATCTAACATCTCTTGCGCAAGACTTGGAAATGGAGAACACAGACCCTCTTCACGTGCCTACGGAAAGTGCCGCGATCGTCTCAGTCCCAGTACGTCTACTCAATCCGCCAGCGAGTGAAGAGCGATCTTACATAAAGAGAAGCGAAAAATTCTCCCGACGTCGATTTTATCAATACTGGCACTGTCGAATGTCGTTCCTTAGTGATTTCCAAGCAGTCGAACACACACACACACGCGCTTTGTAGAGCCGTCTTCCGGTGTAGATAGACAACGAAGATGGCGCTCTTCTGCCATTGTTCCCGCTCATAACTGAGGGACACAGGAATGAACCCGAGTTACGAGCAACTGGTGTTGGACCCATGACAGAAAACAAACACGAAGCAACGCTGGATATGGGTAGATTTTGAATGTCGAGGAGCCAAATCTTTATCAGATGTACTTCGAAGCGAGGAACACGGCCACCGGAAGCGCCCATGCGGCCAGGAGGATGTTTTGTACTTCAGAGCGCATAAGCGTCTCACAAGCAAGCCCTCACTCAAGCACAGACAGAAAGACATACACACAGCGCTGACTCACAACACGTTGTATTTGTCTTTGTTTTTGTCTACTTCGCATTAAAAACGATTTGGTAATTGTCTTGTCAATTTTTTCTTGTACATCTATTCAAACGAATTTGTAAAATAGTCCGCGGTTATCATCTTAAGGTTAGATAAGTCAATTGTTTTGCCGATAAGGCGAGAGATGGGCTGCTCACACATCCATCATCAAGCCTGGCAATATGCTTTGTTTCAATAATCTCTCTTGTTAGCTTGTTGTTGCTTCGGTCAAGCACGGTACAGCAACGTAGTTGTGCCGTATACCCGCAATCCCTGCAGTGCAGACCTAAATGTCCTGAATTGGCTCTTGTGATGTTATTCTGGTGTTCGCGAAGTCGATCATTCAGCACCGTCCAGTCTGGCCGATGTAGTTTTTCCCACAGGAGAGAGGAATGGAGCACACGACCTTTTCGGAGCACTGGACAAAGCTGGCCTCGTGCTTCTTAGCGCATTCTCTGATCGGCTCGAAAAAGCTTTCACTTTCTTGCACAAGCTGGAGAGCTTGTTCGGAGCTGCAAATACCACCTCAACATTGACTTTTTAGAGCGCAGCTCTTAGGCGCCTGTTTACGGCTTGAGCGGCGTCGGCGTCGGCGTCGGCGTAACTGCGCGGTGCATTATGGGAAATGTCCCATAATGCACCGCGCGAGCCCCCCCGCCGGGGTCACGTGACCTCGGGGGGGGGGGCACTTGACCCCCACGAGGTCACATGACTCCCCCTGACCCCCGAAAGTCACGTCACTCCCCTGAGGTCACGTGACCCCGGACGCCATCGGGGGGGGGGGGGGGGGGGGGGTCACGTGACCCCCCCGATCACGTCATCGTCACTGATGACGTCACCGGCATCCGCATCGTCATCGTCATCATCACTGATGACGTCATCAGTGACGTCACTAATGACGTCACCGACATCCGCATCGTCATCATCACTGATGACGTCATCAGTCACGTCACTAATGAGGTCATCGGTACCCGCATCGTCATCGTCACTGATGACGTCATTAGTGACGTCACTGATTGCATCATCGGAATTGTAGGTCACGTGACCCCCCAAGGTCACGTGACCCCCCTCCCGGTCAGTTGACCCCCCCCCCCCACTACCCTTCCCTCCTCCTCCTCAAGCTCAAGGGCTACACTCTAATTCGGCGTTACAGGGAGTTGTAAACGGTTTTCACTTTTTTGCTACTTTTTTCAGTCCATGGGAGAAGTTGTGAACATAAGGCACAACAATGGGCCTCGTTGAACTGTCTCTTGGTGGAGGTGGAGTGACCTCCCGTCCTTTTATATGTTTTAGGAGGTTTTCGGGAATTGACGCTAATAAGACACAGGGGTATCCTGCTGCTATTAACCGAGAGATTTGCGCATCAAAGCTTGTTTTGATCAAGGGTTCGCTTGATTTGTTAAGAGAGTTTTTGAGACAAAGATTCACGATGCCACTTTTGACCAGTTTTGAGTGAGCGGAGTTGAAGTGAAGTAGCGACTTTTTTCCCCGCGGCTCATATGACCAGCATACGTAATCACTCAATGAAAATAGTCTAAAATCCAGGAATCTGATGGTTTTCATGACTTGAAGCTCGTGGGTAAGCTTCAACGGATTCATGCCGCCTTTAAATATGGATAGAGCGTTGGCCAACGTCGTTGGGATCTTGCAAGTCTACACTGCTAGGAAGATCAAATAATCATCTACGTATATAAATATTTTCACTATGTTTGAGGTGCCTAAGCTTCTTTACAATAATCTATCGTGGTAGGCAAGATAAAGGTCGCTGGGTATCGGGGCGATACACGACCCTATGCATACGCCCTTTGCAGGTATGTATTTCTTTCCCACGTCGCAAAAGCGGATTGCAGATAAAGGGATATTAAGTCGATGACCTTGTCGTGGGCGATACCCGCAGCGTTCTGGAAGGCGATGGTACCAAAGGGGTTTACGCTCTCTTCAATGCACTGTAAAAGGCGGTCTTGTGGCAGCGAGTAGTAAAGGTCTTTGATGTCAATTGAAAACGCGTTCATTTTGTTGTCACCATTCTCTATTAAGAACCTTTTTACTTCGTTTGAGCTTCTAATTAAATAAGGACCGTCGATCGTGAGAAGGTTTAGCCTTTCTTGGAGGAAGAATGCTTTTTTCTGTCTGTGCTTGCTTGTGAGACGTTTATGCGCTGTGAAGTACAAATTATGCACAACCAACTAGCCCAAGCTGCGGTGTTGACAGGACGACACGGGCGCCCTAAAGTAGCTACTTCAGTACGCAACGTAACCTGGACGCGGTCACTGGTTCTGTTGCCAACCATCTGCCATACGCGTCGCGCGCTCCCAATAGAACATGGAAAATGCCCGGGCGCCATTTTTTCTTTATTTTTCTACTTTTGCCAGCTCCACGTTGAACTCTAGAAAATATAGACAAACCGTTTTTGCGAAACGACGTTCCCGTGCCTGGTTTCATGTGTGCACCTTTGAAATTTGAATTTGGCAATGCGTGCCGACTGTGCACGTGTTCACGGCCCCAATTTGTACGTATTTTTCGTACAGATTTAGATAGAACTTGGTGCCTTTTCGCTGTCCAAATAATGTAGCTCGGTAACAAAACCACCATTGTACTTTGCGTCTGTCCGAAACCTTTGCGGACACAGTTGTGTGATAACGATGACGTTTGGAAGTTTCAAATTAATATACATGCGAGGCTACCTGGAGTAGCGAGGAAGGGGGCGAGCATGGGTCTTATGGGTCTGTAGTTTCTTTCTGCCCCCCCCCCCTCCCCCCCCCCCCAAAAAAAAGAGGCTTACCTTATAATATACACATGCTTTCTGCGCCCCCCACCTTAAAAAAAAAACTATTTTCTATGCCACTGGCTAAGACTGTGTAAACTTAAAAGCGACATCGTATTGTTTTCGACATTTAGAAGTCATTGGCAAGAGGACGAAGAACGGACTGCGAAGTTCATTACTGACTGAGCAAAAACCAGCCAAACGATGGCTTGAAGGCAGTCTGCCGTCGTATGCAAAGCGTGGTGGAAACATGAAGGACGTTTACTATCCCCTGTAACGCCGAACTAGAGTGCAGCTCTTGAGGAGGAGGAGGGAAAGTACGGAGGGGAGGGTATGCCCCTCCTCCTCACCCAAATCTCCCCTCCTCCTCACCTCTCATTTAGGGAAACATTTTCCCGCTAAATCTAGCGGGGAATTTTCTCCGCTAAATTTAGCGGGGAAATTTTACCGCTACATTTAGTGGGGAGTTTTTTTCGCTAAATGTAGCGGGGTAATTTATTCAATGAATGTAACGGGGAAGTTTTTCCGCCAAATTTAGAGGGGAATCGTTTCCGCAAAATTTAGCAAGGAATATACCCATAAGGCAATGCGCGGTGACGTCACTGGTGACTTTTTTGACGTCACGTGTGAGGTCATCTATAACGTCACTGGTAACCCTCGTGATGTCACGTGTGATGTCATCATGGGAAACGTCCCATAATGCACCGTGCGGTAACGCCGACGGCGACGCCGCTCAGGCCAGAAACGGGCACCTAAGAGCTGCGCTCTAGAAAAGCAAAAACTGAATGTAGCATGAGAATGCATTTCCATAGAAGTACATGAGCGTCGACTAGGTGTTTTTTTCTTTGATGGCAATCAATAGCAGCTGGACGGCTCTCCTATTCAACGCTGACCAACTTACACGCTCGCGTTTGAGTAGCCATCTCCCGAACACAGTACCTGTACACTCTGGTTTTTTCCTTACAACGAGCACTTAACTACGCGGAGAATTGCTCGGCCAGGCACTACTTACCTCTTGCAATGCGTGTTAAAAGATGTTGAATGTCTGGTTTCTTTTCCTCAAAGTTGACAGCGATGTGGAACTGTAAACGATGAAAGACAATTCAACAAGGTGCCGTAGAATTAAGGAGCAAGAAGCAGTCGACATTGAGTGTAGCATGAGAACGTCATACTTAAGCAACATTTGAACCTGCAATGAGTTATGGACTTACATTGTAGAGAGGGAAGAGATGTCTAAAAATTATCAGACGTTCGAGTAATTGTCGCTCTCACGTAGTTATCCAGAACACTGTCCATTAACTAGGGAGGGTTACTTCTTCCAGGCTTCTTTTGCGTGTCAGAAAAATATTTATGACAGGTTTTTCGTTCTGCCAGCGTTGAATGTATTAAGCGCAGTTGTAGGAGTACTTGGTTCTGTTCAGCTCGGTCCACAACAAAGTTGTCAAATTACAAAAATTGGTGAATGGCAATTTGTTTTGACGTGATTTAGGGAACGACGGAAGCAATAAACGATACATTGCTCCATCAAAAACTGACGCTTTTCTAGCTTCAGTTTCAAAAAAAGGCTTGGGACGGGGCATACACAGGGTGTCCAGAAAGTCTCTATACTTATTTTTGCGTTTATTAACTTCGCCTTGCACAGGGATTTCACAAGTTGCACAAGGACTTCACAACTTGCCCAGTGCAAGTTGCCAAGGTGGTTGTTCTTTTTAAAAGCGAGTGCAAAGCATAATTTAAATTCATTGTCTCTATCTATTGTAGCCGCGTCTTCTAAGTGTCTCAAAATATCATTCTTAACATATCAACTTTTTTGCAATCAATTCCTTATTCTTACCCCCTCACAATATGGTTTTTGTAAGGGAAGATTTATATAACTTGACTTTTAAACACAAAAAGAAATAATCTTAAAATCACTTCAAGAAAAGTGTCTGCCGTCATTAAATTAGTAGAGATGCAACTTTCGGAAATTATTCCAACACTAGTTTTTTTGTTTTTTTTCTGCACCCTAAAAGGGAACCCTGGCTCATGTCGTAAATTGCTGATTAGACTCAGTTGGCAGATAGAGTGATGTGAATGAACACCTCTAAAATCAAGCAAGTGCCTTTTTAAACCCCAAAATAGATCTATAAATTTCAACCATAACATTGTACTAGGGCCCTCTGTCATCGAGGGCCCTAGTAATATTAAACGTATTGAACAATTAAAATGAATCGTTATCAAACCAAAAAGAAAATCAACTTCAGTTTGTGCTCTTAAGTTGTTTTTTTCGCAACCAGACTTGTCTATTTTAGTGTATCCATATTAAATGTGCAAAGTGTTAAAGAAACTTTGGTACTACACTTCCTTCTGCGGCGACCACATTTTTAACAATATGAATTACTGAGAAAGTTGGGCGCCTAAAACAAGCGAGAGCAATATCAATTAAAACTTTAATGTTTTCAGTTCAATATAAAACAAACGCCATAAACTTACATACTGCAGGATGCACGTCATAAACGTGCAACATTGTAAAAAACCTATGGGCAGCCACGCTAGAGCAGCGAGATTACTGAAAATCCTTTTATCAGGATTGCAATGATAAAAGTGCTGATGATTTAAGAAATAATCATGCTTATGACAAAAGCAGAAAATTATCAAAATTTTTGTTTCATGAATTAGAATAAAGATTCTGCAACTAGTTTTGCGGGATTAGGTGCTGATCGGTAAGAGGACTGATTTGATCGTCTGCTAGGTATTCTAAACCCTGTAATGCGCATGTCGGCAAAAAAAAAAAGAAGCTTAGACTGTGATGTTACTTTTTTTTCTATGCTCATGCGACTAAAAGGAAGAGCACATTCCGGTTGCTTCCACATATCAATCACAATTTTTTTGCAGTGTGTACCTCGCACCAATTTTAACACTGTCGCGCGCTCTGCACTGAAAAGGACTAAATTCAAATAGCGATATGTTGCTTTACGGGTGTCTGAGCAGGTAACGAAGTTCACCTTGCATATGTCTTCGCGTTCAACGGGAGCGTTGTACTTGTAGAGGAAATACATGTGAGCAGAGCCCGAGCCTCTCACGTCGACGAAGATCTTATCCCCCTCGCTTGGAATCTGTAGGTAAAGGATGGAAACAGGAGTTGAATAAAGCACGTGTAGCGCACCTTTTGAGACACAACAGCAGTGGGGGTCCAGACTCCAGAGATACAGTGTATACACAAGCCCGTCTTATTCACCTTAGATGGTTTCCAGAAGACGGTTTCTCAAGCTATCGCGCTGCGTTTTACTACAGAGGTGCAGCTAGGTGGTGGAAGCTTGGAGTAAAACTATCAACAAATACAATTACCTTGCAAAAAAAAAAAAACTGTTTGGGGCTATTTGCGGCGGCATTCACAACGACATCATGACAGTGCTCACCTGGTTGTGTTTGCTGCCGAAAGATGACGCGACGTGAGTCACAATCGAGAGTATCATGCGACGACTCGACCAACCATCTAAAAATCATCAATATGATCATCACAAAAATCATTATTAAAAAGCTCATCATAATGAACAGTCATCAGGAATTTACATCCCTGTTTTCTTATTCAGTTTAAAATTATCTCATTTCTAGATTTGTCGATTAGAAATAATCGCCTCGGCATAGCGAAAAACTTCCGAAGGTCGTCTGCTGAGCTAAGCGACGGCGCGCCCTCGAGGCTTCTGAATTATATAGAAGGTAGATGCAACTAGACGAGCACATTCATGACATCGTCTGCGGATGCCACCGCAGATAGCCAAACATATATTTTCTCCTCTTTACTTTAACACTGTACGTTTATTTGTTGATATTTTCACTAAAAACTTCCGCCACCTATCCGCAGCTCCGTAGTAAATCCAAGCTTGGTAAGTTGAGAAATTGAGCTTTGCTTGCCACCTAAAAAGGGGTTGAGGCGTTAGTGTACAGGGCGCGGCCGTAAGGACCAGCACATTGTCACCCTTTGAGAATATTCGAATTCCAAACGTACATACCTGAAATTGGGCACGCAAAAGTAGTTTTCTAACAAGTTTTACGTGTTTTTTTCCAGTACTCATGCCAGAGGTGCACAAATACTTAAAAAGACGGTTGTCATGCATTTCTTTTGCCCGATACAGAATGTTTGTCGCCAGCACACTGGTTAGTGAGCTTGCTCTCATGTGGTCCTCGATGATATATTGCGTTAAATCGCGATCATCTTGCTCATCGCCAGGCTCTACTATTGGTTCTTACCTTCATTGCATCAAGCAAGCCTCCCCGGAGCAAGTTCAGAAGCCAGTGCGCAAAGGACAAGCAGGCTGGTATAGGACATAGAAAATACACGGCCTCCGATTTTGCATTATTTGTGATAATTAAAAACCTCTGAGTTGAAGTCTTTTAAAGATAGTCCTTAATCTTGTTGTGAAACATGGTTCGCGTGCCAACTTTAGGTATGCACATTTGTAATTCAAATTTTGCAAGCAGTGCCAAATCTGTCGGTGCGTGCTGCCACACCCTCGCATATGATAGAATGAGGATAGGTCGTTGCGGCAATAAGAATACCAGGTGATATTTTAAACGTGCAACACTAACACGACTGAACGCTCATATATTTGCTTAAATAACACTCCTTGTAGATTCAAGACTGTAGTATCATATAGGTTCCCATTTGGCAGTTGTAAACTATATTTGTTACGAAATTCAATGTCAAAGGGCCCCCACATAATTTTGAAGAATAAGACATTTGAGCGATCACTCTCTAAGTTTAAATATTTTTTACGATAGTTATTGGAATGTACACCGCGCCACTGGCAGCACAAAAAAAAAAGCAATGCCATCATGTTTGCATTTGGCCGAGTCGGTACATAGTCAAATAAAAAGCGAAACAGCGCGAAAGAGACAGGGACAAGTGGACGAAGGGAATGAACACAGCGATTACTTATGACTCACTTTTTCCTTTCGAAAATATTGCTATTTTGGTAAAACATCCTTAGCGAACAGCAAGAGAGATCCACGAGGCTTACTGCATTATGAGGCAAGGTCCATACAGATGTGTCAGTGTTGACTTGGTGACAAGTTCCAGTGGTGAGTGCCAGTTCATCGAGCGCTTTCGCCAGTTTGTTTAAGGTCACATATCTGCGCGGGAAGGGGGGAGGGGGGGGGGGGGGTCTTTGCATGGACTAGTTCTGGTTTTGTCTTTTTTTATGTTTTCCCTTTTTTATTGAGATTTGGAATGACAAAGAAAGTCGTAAGTAAGCGCTGTGTCCGTGCCCCACTTGTCCCTTTTTTTGCGCTGTTTCGCTTTGTATTTAGCAATGATATCATCTGTTGCAGAAGTGCTGTAAGTTGAGCGAGTTGGTATGATGACATGATGAACAGAACAGCGCACACAAAGACAAGGACAGAGAAATCGTGCACGTTCCTTTTCTCTGTCCTTGTCTTTGTGTGCGCTGCTCTGTTCATCATGATATCATCTGTTTTCTTTTCTTTTGTGTATTTCAACTATAATCGAAAGCAGTGATTAAAAGTAACTCGTGTTTTCAAGAGTAAATTTTGTGCATGTCTAATAAAAATTGAGAAAAATAAAATGCCGTGTTCGTGCTATGCTGGGCAGTGTACTCGAAACCTGGAGGCTGTAGCAAACGTTGCTTCGCTACATGAAGTGTCCTCGGTGCACTTCTTTACTATACAACCGTAACGCGTTCGCCACGGGGCTTCCAGCGCAGCAGTTGACATTCACCGGAATCCTAGTGAGCTGATGGGCGTTGTCTCGCTTGATTCGGACGACCTCCTTGAACTCGCTCGGTTTGCTCACGGTCACTTGGCACGTGAGGTCGATGTTGTCGTCCTTGCTGACGGTGGCGTACTTGGCGAGCGCCTGAAGCGCCACCACAGTGTCCTGTGTGGAATATCGACGCCGTTCTCATAGACTGTCCTCAATAGTCACTTTGCACGACATAGCAACACCTATATGAAAGGGTGCGCTCTCTTCCCTCTGAACAGCACCAAAAGTCAGACTGGCTGTTCCGACAAGGCATGCTTCTGGCCGTGTCAACAAGATCACGCGGATATGATAACAAGTGCGATAGAGGGGGCGCATCAACAGTGCTGCCTAAAGTCCCCAGATGGGAGCTTTCTACAAGTAACGACATTCTTTGAAGCGCCGACTGCGTGACGGTGCAGGTTTTAGGAAGCCAATGGCGGCGCACAGCAGAGGTTTGAACTAAATGCCACCATTTCGTTTCAGGGGAATGTGCTTTGTCATTTGTATTGGTTGTCGTTACTTGTAAAAGAAGTATCAAGGCCCTTTAGTGCTGCCTGCTGCACCTGTTATCGAACCATTAGTGCGATGTCCGTGCACTTATTAACATTATGTCATGGAGAATACATGCCTTACCAGTATCTTGGTGGTGTTGACTAAAGTCATCAAACCCTGGGAAAATAAGGCCATTGCATTCCTAGCCTGCTAGCCGGACACAGACCGATACTAGCATGCAGATGAACAAACCTCTCAATGTCATTGGCTGGTCGGTCTCGATTGCTATGGCCAATCGTCATTTCGATCTATTCAAATTTTCGAGGCTTCGAAAGGGTTGTCCTGAATCAGTCGCACCAAGATCGCTACGGAGCATCATCGGACTGAAAGTGTTTCTCAACAATGTGAACTCATCTGGCCCTGTGCAATCAACTTATCAGTCATTGTTATCTCTACCAATATTTTCCAAAAGTATTGTTGTTCTTGCGTATTTCAAGACAGGATTGTTTTTAATGGAACCAACTACAAACGCCGCATGTGGTGGCGGTGCCAAGACCTCGGCATTTAATCAATTACTATATAAAGCAAGCTGTCTTTGGAAATTTGAAACAGCCCACCAAGAATGAAGATGTCAAGAAAAAAAGCTCATTCTATGAACCGATATGTCGATTATACGGAGAGCTTGGCCTTAACTTTCCAGGACCCAGTGAATTTAGGGTTGACTTAAGACACAAGAAACTTCAGTTTCTGGCAACTCTATTTGTTACAGTATAATTTGATCCTCTTTTTAACTATGAAAAGGACCTTCTAACGGGCGCACTTTTACGCTTACTTCCAAGGGTTAACATCTGGGGAGGAAACATTAGCTTCCCCTTCGTTAAACTAGAGGCAGTATCTACTTCAGATCCGGCAATGGTGGTGCGGCTCATCTTTTTTTATATGTATATAAAAACAAGTATGTGAAAGCGCTGTTCCTAGGAAGAGCATTCATCTATCGTTGAATGTTGTAGCTAATTGTTTTCTGGAGAGATGCAATTTCGAAGCTCGGGTAGTGTAGACTGCCAAGGTTTCACTATGATACTTCACACAGCCTTCAACGTTACACCGAAATATGAATGCAGTAATAATTTTTCTTACTTATTTTATAGAAGGTTTCCAACATGTGCTCAAAATAATAAAAATTGCAATGAAAAACGTATAGAAAAAAAAACTACAAAACACGTAAGCTAAGCAAGGTTTAGGAACATATGAAAAAATTAGGTACCAAGAGATTATCCTACATTGCTCAAAATGTACCAAAATAAGCATCTTCACACAGATTTTACGAATATATGAAAACTATTCTTAGCCGTTATTTAGCTTGTGCTAAATAACGGCTAAGAATAGTTTTCACGAAACTGAAATGTTGACACCAAATGGAGTCTCATTTCGAACGCTTGATGTCAATTAATTGGCCGAGTACGCAAATTAAGCTGGGCAAAGTTGCACAAGCGTGTTGAACGCAGCGGTCTGCTGTCACGCCATTTGAGATAATTTATTTTGTACAGGTGCACATCGACGACATCAACAACGGACGTCATTTCCAGTGGCGGGAAGAGCCGATATCAGCTATCGGTGTAATAGGACCTCGTCGTCCTAGAATCTTTGTAGAAGCCTCCTTTAGAAAATTGGTCTACGGATATGCATTGCCCTTGTATCAGCATTCTACGAAATTTAGGTGTTTGTCGTCCTAGAATCTTCCTGGAAGCCTCCTATTAAAAACTGGCCTACGGTCATTCGATTACCCTGACATTAGCACCTTATATAAGTTAGGACCTGGTCGTCCTAAGGTCTTCCTAGAAGATTTTCTTATGAAAATTGACCTACGGATATTCTATTACCCATGCATCAGCATCCTATCAAGTTTAGACCTTGTTCGTACTAGAACCTTCCTACAGGTCTCCTATAGTAACTGGCCTACATACATTCTATTACCCTTGAATCAGCATCCTATGTAAATTAGGCCCTGGCCGTTCTAGAATCACTTTAAGAAACTCCCATAGAAAACTAGCCTGCGGACGTTCTATTGTCATTGTATCAGCATGCTCTAAATTTTAGGTACTCGTCCTTCTTGATCCTTCCTAGAAGCCCCTATAGAAAATTGGCCTACGGACATACAGTACACTTGAAGCGCAATCCTATGGAATTTTCGCTGCAGTCGGCCTAATTAGCCTACGGACATTCTATTACCCTTAAAGTAGCATTTTACAGTTATCGCACTTACAACTGAACTCCACCTGGAAATACAGCTAACATAGGCCTAGGATGACCCTAAGCTCTCTTTCCATGGGATGTCCTTAGCAGGCTGTACAAGATAAGTAAACCCTCGACGTTCGTGGGCAAAAGTGTTACGGGGCACTCCAAGGACGTTTTAAGGAAGGTACTGTATTATAGTTCGTGTCCTTCCTAGTTACACCCTCTGCTTCTTCTAGGTACACATTGCAACGGAGAGTCGTTAGAGTGCGAGTAAATTGTTTTGCAAGGAGGCTAGGAGAAAATGCACCTCCACGGCCGTGTATGGTGCAAAACTGTCGACAGTACTATCATTACAATCGATAGTGGAAACCAAGTCTATTCATAGACAGTAAAAAACGACTATCCACGTACTGTCGATAGTCAACTATGGGAAAATATTGATAGTATTGTCGGTAGCATATGATTGATAGTCGACTATCGTGAAACTATCGATTGTATACTATGCATAATCGACTATCGACAGCAAACTTTCGTAAAGCTATCGACAGTATCCATTTACATGTCGAAGGATGTGTAGTCCATTTAGGAAATTACGTGAAGCTCCACAAAAGACCAACTGCAATAAGGGACTTTGGTATAATTATCTAAGAATAATCTAAAATTTATTTATAGATAAACAAAACGGTAGAATTTTTCCTTAACAAATATTCGAAATATGCTATAAGAAACTGTCAATTGTATTTTATGGAAAGATTACAAATAAACCAGCGATATTGAAATTTGCAGATTTTTCTTTCGTTTTAGAATAATTCTTGAGAGTTTGAATCTTGTTTCTTTTCTTTTTCTTTCTTTTTTAGAAAGATTTCGATTTGGAAAAGAAAATTCCCTGTGCCACTCGTGCTAAGGAAACTAGGCATCGGAGAAATTCGATATTCTGCTTGAATATGATGCTCGCGATAATGATCGAATGCGAAAATTTAGGGATGTTAATGAAAATATAACTACGTTTCTTTCGCCTAAACATGTTTAATAAATGAATAAAACAATATTGTCTTTTTTTATTCACAAAGCTTCTTTCAATGACATACTGTGTTTTTTTTTTTTAAATATCCTTACTTGGATCGATCGAAACTTTCGTTTTTTCATTTATTTTTGTGCTATTAACGTTGTGTTTTCAAAATTATTGTATTCAAACAACAGAGAAAATGAAAGCACCAGTAACTAATCACGTGGTCTAGTACAAGCTTTTTTAATTGTTAGTGTTCAATTTGAAGTGTTCACACGACATTTGTGCTAAATTTATTTACTGAAAACATTTACTTCTACACTATGTGACATGCCATATTTGGATTATGTGTTTTACGCCAGTAAATAAATCATTCAAACACTGTCATTACATAATCTATCAAAAGAAAAAAAAAACGAGCAAAAAGTTAAAAAGTCTGATCTTCTGAAATTAGCTAAGAATTGTTAGCTGTAGAAACAAATAGTGATCCCCAGCAGAGTGCCCAGTCACATATGTAACTGGTAAATACAAAAAATGTAATGTGTATATTTAATAATAAAATTAATACAATCATATAACAAACATGTAAAAACCTTCATACTAAATAACTCCACCGAATGTTTTCACTACCTACTAACCAAGGAAAACTAAATTAACCCTTTATTTTTACAATTAACGTGCAAAGCTTGATATCTAAACCCCCGGAATATATAAAAATATATGCACAGGAGAGGTAGAAAAAATACATTTTTGCCTTATCTCAAAATAATTGTATACGAATGCAACTTTATGCTTTGATTCCTTTCTATTTCATGTTTTGCCCAGAGCCCGCCTTGTTTGCCCGTGCGTATCCGTCGTAATCTTCTTTTGGAACGTGCTTTCGCTTTCGCAAAACTCGATAGTTTCTTAAAAGTTGACATTCGATGGTATCGGCAGTCAATGGCGATTGCACTATCGATAGCACTGTCGATAGTTCTTTACCTATAGCAGTATCGATGATCCATCATCGATAGTTTTCGACACCGTTTATACTTGTGGAAAAAGTATCGATACTACCGATAGTGAACTTTTAGACAGTTTTGATCGCGACGGCTCTGTCACCTTTTAGTTTTCGCAACACTTTAGCTTGGGCGAGTTGGTGAATCATGCTAACACTTCACAGAGTGTTGTTTTTGTGCGCCGTAATGTGTTAGTTTTTTCACTTCACGCTCCCGCAGCTATTGGCGAGGAGATCGATCTGATACCTTGTTCAACTTCTTTCCCTCAGAACTTGGATTTGAAAGAACCAAAAGCTTCTGCACTGCGTTATTTATGTCATATTTCGTCGATCCAGCACTGATTGGATTCAAGTGATGCGTCAAAGTCGTTTGGCTGCGACTCTAGTTCAATCGTTGCTTCACTGTTGGAACAAGAGCCGGGCGATGACGCCCGGCTGTGGCTCTTGGCAGGCTACATACGTAGAGCGCTGCGTCAGATACACCAACAAATAATCTATCTGGTTGTTGTTGCCAAGCCTGATGCTTTAAGCTTAGCCGCTAAGGGCGTGCCGGTTGGATCTCCTCCACGATTCCGCCCTCGTGCGCGGCCTCTGACCGTGCACGCAGACCGAGAGCCGGGCTGTCCCATGCGCGGTTCTCACCTGGGTGGACGACAAGGCTCCCGTGGGCTGCATCTTGCCGTTGAGCCAGCGGACGTATCCGTCGACGTAGTCCCGGTTCTCTCTCTCGGAGAGGAAGGCCATCAGGGCGTAGGCTGTTCCCTGGATCGTCAGCGGTAGCGTGGTCGACGGCACATGCCGAGTATCCGCCACTGGCATGCGGGGAAACAAATACCGGTCCCGAATTTGGAACTGGGCACTCGACAGTTGGGAAGTGCAAGACGAGCACTGGACTAAAATGTGTCTACAAGCATGACATTCTTACTTATAACCCTGTCAGACGGGCACGTTAAATGACATTTAAGCAAAATGACATTACAGCTCGGCCAATCCGCGTGTTTAATACGACGCGCTGCGCCTGCCCGCGCCACGTGCAGAACCAGGATCACGAGCTGATTCGCCGAGCGGTGAATGACATTCGATTAAAATGACATTTACTTTCCCTTCTGACAGGGTATTATTGTAATCGACACAACGTCCAGCGTCAAAAAATTGTTAGTGAAATGTTTTCACAACATTTACATCCCCTAAGTGTTCCTAAAAGGATAGCTACCAGTACGAAGCTAGTTATAATCGCGTGAAGCTCGTACTCGGTAGGAGATGGTCGGCGTTACTCGCTGCAGCGATGGGCGGCATAGTCAAGGCGGCGCACCCCGTAAACAGCTTTGCTTTTCGTTAGCCCAGTCAAACACGCGGTGTTAGGGTTGGCATCAGACATTTTGGAAAGGCTATTTCGCTATTGGCTGCTCTACTTCGCTGACAGCTGCTGACGAAACTGTGGACACCACGCGCTCATTGGACGAGCCTCGCACCACGTGATCACGCATCTTTGTGCTTTGTACAACCGCAAAGAGACAACACAAGCCGAAATATTCGTAGCCTGCGAATAGCCTCCTGGACCTCCACGAAACGCCCTCAGATTCGGATAGCGCCAACTCAACGATGACGCAGCACTCGTGTGCACTCCGTGTCTGCAATATGTCTCACTGTGCTGATGTGGAAGTGCTTGTGCACCGGCCTTGCTTATCCTATCTGGTGTTGGCAGAGCGAAGGATCGAGCGATAAAGCGGTTGATTGGGTCGCCGAGCACTTACCTTTCTTTACCGTGTCAACTTGCAATGGAATTTGAGGAAAGATGAGTTATGTACGAGTTGCTAAGCCTCGAGCGTAAGAATTCCTATTCTCCCCAAACATTTTCCCTAAGGCCTGTCCAAATTCCTTCCATACGGCCGAACCAATCCTTCAGACTCCCTGTCTTCAGGTTCATTACCCAATGACTGGAAGATTGGTAAAGTTGTGCCTGTTTTGAAGTCTGGTAAAGCTACCTCCGTTAACAATTACAGACCAATCTCACTAACATCAACATGTGGGAAACTTTTAGAGCATATACTTTCGAGCCATATTCACTCCTTCTTAAGTCATTACAACTTATTAAACAGCTCTCAGCACGGCTTTCGTAAAGGGGTATCTACTATTACTCAGCTGGATGAAGTCACGCATGATTTTTCTGAAGTACTGAACCGTAAAGGCCAAGTTGATGTTATTTTTTTAGATTTAAAAAAAATCATTTGATAAGGTTAACCACAGGAAATTATTACTCAAATTAAAATATATTCTGAAAAACCCAGGTCTCATCAGATGGATAGAGATGTTTTTGTACGGAAAAAGACAATTTGTAGAAATTAAAGATAGACATTCCGATTTGATTGATGTAAAATCAGGTGTACCTCAAGGAAAAGTGCTCGGTCCTTTGTTCTTTTTAATATTTATTAATGATGTACTGTCCAATTTAACGGTTAAGGCTAGGCTCTTTGCCGACGACTGTATCTTGTATACAGAGGTTAGGGAGCCCACCGATAAAATTAATCTTAACACATGTTTAGCACGCGTTGGTGAGTGGTGCAATACTTGGCAAATGTCACTAAACTTAGATAAAAACGTTTGTATGACTATTACTCATAAAACAAAGCCCATTGAATTCGCGTACGCCACCGAAGGGTATCCACTAGCAAGGGTAAGCAGTTACAAATATCTGGGTGTCATTATTTCTCACGATCTCCGTTGGAGTGCTCATATTGATAGTATTGTAAAAGAAGCGAATTATAAACTGTGGTATTTAAGGCGGTCTTTGAAACTGAGTTCAATGAACACAAAACTTTTGGCTTATAAAACACTCATTCGTCCGTTGATGGAATACGCATGCGAAATTTGGGACTCTCATATTGTTAAAGATGTGCTAAAGCTAGAAAAGGTGCAACGACTTGCTTTACGTTTTATTTTTTCCAAATATCGTCGACTGGATTCACCTACGGCACTGTATTCAAAAGCCAACATTCCATTACTTAAGATGAGGCGTAAAGAAAAAAGATTGAAATTTTTATATATGATTATTAATGGCTTATTGCAGATAGATAAAACAGCTTACCTAGTTCCTGACGAGTCGAGAGTAACTCGGAACAAACACAGTCGCGCACTTCATCAGCCCCGGTTCTTCAAAGACTGTTTCAGATACTCATTCTTCCCACATACCATAAGTGACTGGAATCTTCTTTCGGAGCAAGCTGTGGTATGCCAATCACTCGAAGCTTTTTCTTCTTATATAGCATCTTGCGAAATGTAAATAAACATTGTTTGCCGTTTGTATTGTTTTTCGCCGACGCATCATAGCCCATGACGGATCTATATTGTTATCTTTCATTGTCAAAGCATTTTTTGCGATTATTTGGCGATATCTTTCATAGTACCTTTTCAAGTGTGTGCTGCTCTTGATGCTGTTGTTTTTTGTATTTTTTTGTACGCTTGTATACCCACCCTATCATAGTCTCAATAGAGACTGATAGTATTTTGAAATAAATAAATAAAAAAATGTAAGCATTAAAAACAGGAGTTTTGCGTTTGTAGTATTCACCTGTAAACAAAAGGAGCCGGAAATCGCCAGCTGATGCGGCGCTATCATAATCACATAATCTAGACCGCTCTTCAGAAACAAGTCCGCGTTTGCCCACACTGTTCAGGAACCAGATTCGAGTCAAACGTCACAGCAGCTCCACCATAGAGATCTGATGTCAAAGACGCGTGTTGATATAGAACAACAAATCTCCGTCCTGCTCGCTTAAAATCTGTCAAATGTGCGATGGAAAAACTCCTCTTGGCGAAATTGTTTCGTCGCACCGTAAGGGTTGCGAGAGAGGCTCCTCCCCGACATGTGAGAAGTGAAGTCAATTCGACTGCGTCGAGTGCGAACGCGGCATTTTTCGGCTAAAACTCAAAGTGCGCTGGCGAGCTGGTGGTAGGTAATTATGTTGTTTAACACTCGAGACTGCGGTGCGTAAAAGGAAAACACTTTTGTCGAAGGAACAGACAACGAAGGGAACGTTCCTTTCCGTGTCTGTTCCTTCAACTAAAAGTGTCTTCCTGACGCCGCAGAGGAGTCCCATCTGGCACCAGTCACCGACTAACGCCCGATGCGTCTCGGCGCCTCGGGCACCGTGCCGATCACTGCGTGGGCGGTCGGCCTCTCCCGCGGCTGCACACGTACCCTGGTCGTGGACAACGACGTTCCTGAGCCACTCGAGCGCCGTGAGTCTGTTGGGGCTGTCGCTCAGGGCGAGAGCGTACGCTGCAAGCGCCAGGGTGTACGGCGGCGAACCAGACTCCAGGTTGTTCTCCACGAAGTTGGTCGCTCGGGCCCTGGACACGTCCAGGTCGTCCACCTGCGTCGCACATTCAAGGTTTCTTTGTGGCTCGCAGTCTGTCTGATATGAGGTGGTATCGACCGGTCACGTGAGGTAACGTGACAATTTGACATAAACTGTCCCGTGACGGAAAATGACGTGAAGTCACATTCTCGCGTGACGTCATCCGACACGATGACGAGACCTCGTGACATCAAGTCGCGTGGCACTTTGACCGTTTTATGCAGTCACACAAGCTTCGCAATGTGTCCTTCGGAGGCCTCCTTTGCGCCCCTGACGACCCGATGTCTTCAATTGGGCTTCTTTTATAAAAAAAAAACCGAGTTGCACAGCTTGTCTTCACCAGTGAAATATGCGCAACTGGGTAACTTCAGTCTCTTGACTTAAAAGTTTTTCAGACCCAAGGATTGTGTCGGAGCTACAGCAAAGTCCCACTCAAACCGGTCTTGCCCTTCGACAGTTGCCACGCGGAAGCAGTCAAAAGAGGACTAGTACGTCCTTTCCTCAAAAGTGTCTTAAACGGTGCGTACATGAAAAGAAGGCAGGAACGAAACGTATTTTCCTTCTAATGGCAGAAAGAAAAAAAATTCTACCCTCCTCCCTCATCTTCAGTTTCGTTTTGCGGCCACCTCGCACGCGGTGTATACCAAACACTCTTGAGCTGAATTAGCAGCAGCAAACGCTGGCCGTAGTTCAGGTTCCTAGTACAAACTCGCGGAGCACCTCGATTCCACTGGCCTTCTCACCACTACTTTGTTTTCAAAACGAAGAAACTAGTGCGTTACAAACAGCCAAGTTCCGGAGCAGTGAGTACCCTGTACTGCGCTAAGATGACCGTTTCCGCTGCACCGAGTGTCAACCAACCAACGATCGCCGTGGTTTTGTGTTTCCGCGTGACTCCAACATCGCCATGGAAGTGTGCGTTGGGAACGAAGACTGGAATCTTTGACTCGCCGATGTCACCATGTGTTTCGCGTACCAGCGGCATCACAGCAAGATGAGGCGACGTCGCAGGTTTACATCTTGCTTTACATGAAAGAGTTTAGGAAGACCGCTTGACCGATGACATACGATCGATCCACATGCGGTTCATGTCGGAACGCTGGTCTGAACCGTAGCTCTGATCGTATGCGCCAATATAACTCTCGCCTGCAATGGACTATTCTCCTTTGCTAGATAACTATGGCGCTTTTGGGGAAGTGCTGAACAGGCTCGAAATGTGAAGGAGAGCACGTATATGTACAGTCTCGTATATGTTAGCTTAAAATGAGAAAAAAACAGAAAGACCGACGTGGTCCTAGGAAAATTTCTTTTGCGTTATATCTGGATCTTTTCGACTTGTGGCGAAGACGCTTGTTTTTGAACTCACCACAGCGTAACTAGCCCTTCCCAACACCTGCAGCAAATTGCGGCTTTGACAGCATTAATGTTGACCAAAAAGCGATTTTTCTGCACTTGAAGCACCGTCCCACCCTGAGTGAATACGTCTTTTGCAGAGGTAAATTTAAGAGGACGATTGCATGCAGCCGCAAACAAATAGCGTATAAGCAAAAAGTGCTCCAGACATCATTTTGTATTTTGTACTTGGTGATGTCAAATAAACTTAAATTTAAAATACTACAATAAAAAAAACAAAAAAAAAAAAACTGCCGTTTCTCGCATGATTTTACGACGTGCTTTGCGTGGAAACGAACAGGTGCTAGGAACCGTAGTCGAGCGGTTTTCTTATCGGCAGACCGAAATAATTACGGCATGAACGTTTCCTGTTTTCTAAGATATGCATTGCTTGGGCCGTTAAAAACACCTGATGCATGACATTATTGAGAAAAAATCAACATACTGGGAGCATTATGTATTGCTTAAGTGATCATTCATAAAATAAGTACCTTCAAAGCAACGAGCATAAAAAGGATCGCAGTGTTCGCAAGTAGTAATCGGGTTAGTGCGCGTTCATGTTGATGTTTTGTATGTGCTGTGTATCCGTATGCGCTCGTTGTATATGCGTATATGTTCAGCTGTTGTTTCTGGTATGCGTAATGTATGTACATGTGTCTATGATAAAGATGCCCAAAGCGCGACTGTGGAGTGATTTGGCAGAATATTTTTTTGTAGTCTATGAGTTGAACGGTACCTAGCGCCACCTAGCCTAGCAACTTGCAATTACTCTGCTTGGCCCATGGCTTCCGCTACTCCGATGCGCGCGAACGCTTCTGATTATCGGAGGGGTGTAAGCGGCAAAAGAGGAAGAGGCGGCGTCTCTCCGCGGGGAGGCGCTCTCAACCCAGGAACCCAATTTGCCGTTTCAGTACTTTCAGAAGGGCGTAAGGGAGAAGAGTTAAAAAAAAAAAAGTCGTGTTACGTTGAATTATTGCAGTTTCTACTTACAGATTTTTCTGCCTTGTGGTAGAACGGTGAACAGCTGTTCTGGGGAAGTAGATGGACAAGTTGTGATGCTCATTTAATTTGAGATATTCATCTGGACATGTGGCGACTAGCGCTACAACTGCGCATTTCGATCAATTTGACTGCAATCTGTAGCGCGTATAAACATCCAGGAACAAATTTAGATCCTTACATAAGAAATCTCAATTTCCCCAAATAAAATCATTTATGCTCTAGTGTTTTTATATCTCCATACGTTGTTTCACGTTGCTTTTTGAGCCTGAGCACGAGATTCGATACTATACAGTGCAGCCCGTGTTGTCCGTCCTGTAATATTTTTTTAATAATTTATTACACAATTTATGTGGGTCATATTGTGCGGACAATATTAATCCCTGGAGAATGGGAATGAAGGGGACAGAGCACAAACACAAATCTCCAAACACAGCCAGGTGACGGTGCGCGACCGAAAAACTGCGCCTGGTCCTGGTATCGAACCAGGGACCTCTGCATTTCAAGTGGAGCGCTCCACAAACTGAGCTAATTAGAAGCTAGACGTCAGTAGAGCAAACGGGTTTATCAGCTGCCAACACAAACAATGGTGAACGGCTTGCATTTTAAGGTCCACTGGAAATGGAGAGGTCCCTGGTTTGATAATAGGACCAGGCGGATTTTTTCGGTAGCGCACCAGTAACGTCGCTGTGTTTGAAGTTTTGTGTTTGTCCTTTGTCCCCCTTATTCCCCTTCTCCGGGGATTATTATTGTAATGCTTGTCTAGCTCGCTTGCACTTTTGCATTAATTGCGTTTTAATCATAATGTGGTGTTTTCTTCTACTAGAAGCACCTTTAAGCCGGAGTCACACTGCTTACATCGTACAAAAGACGGCCTGCAGATATGAGTCACCACAATATCCGTGGTTCGAATGCCGCGCGCCAAGTGCCTCCTTGAACTCGTTGCCTTGCGGCATTCGAGGCTCAGATCTCGTAATGACTCGCGTTCGAATATGTTCGCAGACTGGCTTTTGCATGATGTATAAGCAGCGTGACCCCGGCTTTAGGGAAAAAATTATGGCGGTGAGATAGGACCAGCTCTTAATGATTTCTCCATTTCTTTTACAGACTTCGTGATAATTGTTGGTGCTGATTCAAAAGGTAGGGCGTTATCTTGTAAACGTCTCGTTTTCGGCACATGTAGCACAGACCACCGCATCCTGTTATGCACCTTGTCATACGTAACTTAATTGATATGCTAACAGCCAATGAGATCTAAAGCAAAATAACTCTTGCTTATTTATAGATTCCAACCTTGCTGCAACCTGGCTTAGTCTGTATTCAAACTTCCAACCTGGTTTATTTACAGATTCCAAGCATTGAATGTTTAGATTAGAGGCAAAGTACTTTGCGATGCAGTGGCTTCGAGCAGTTTCTTCCGATACGCTACCCTGTCTGTCATAGTCATGCCTATGTTGGCCAGAAATCGCCGCACAAACTTCACTGCTGCAATTATAAAAGTTTTTGTTTCGTGGTCAATCCTTGCTGGGCACCCTAGAAGGGGGCATTTCTCTACATACCGCAAAATCAGTGGTGTTAACTTTTTAAGCAGTGCGTGCCTTCTAATATGTGAAACACCAATGTCAAGAGCTTTTTTGACAGTTACAAGCACTGCCATAGGTGGCGAGCGCGCTGTCAAATATTCGCATTTGTCGCCTGCAAGCATCTTTGCCTTTCCTCCTCACCATGTGAAAACGCTGGGCATGCGCACTTGCGACCAATCGTCGCGGGAGTCGATGGTCATGAAATTGCAAACGCTTTCCATGGTTTGAGATGGACGTCCCTCTCTGCAATCTAGGCTTTCTTTGCAATTACAGGGATAGCTAACGCACCTTCTCGAACCCTAAAGTATGCTTCTGGATCTCGCATCTTACGTGCAGGGAGCACCGCCAATGTCTGCTCGGAGAGTGACCACACCCATTCGTACTCATAAAACTATCCGCGTAGCTACGTTAGATTATGACGTCATGTGACATTATATCACATGACAGTGTGGCGGCACGTAAGATTGTGACGTCACAAAACATCCTGAAGTCACGTGACACGACAGACTTCCTGCATCATTTTGAATGGGAGAAGGGCCCATAAGAGCTGTCGTAAAAACGCAGAACACGCGTAAAGTGAGCTTTTTAGAAAGCTGTTTCGGCAGAGAAACCTTTTCGTTTCTCCCCTCGAGATTCCCATCCCCAACCACCTGAGATATTTCGGCAGACAAGGAAGTTGCCAAAATGATAACAGACCGCGGAGCCCGGCTCAACGCTAGACGAAGCCCGAAGCCAGTGTTGCCACACTGCCACTTCGGTTTTTCTCTCGTCGAGCGGCGAAAATTCCCTTTTTTCCCCACAGCACCTTTTAAGATACAGAAGTCGTTTTTAAAGTACGCGTGGCGTCAAGTATATTTAAGTGCAGCAACACCTCCCGTATGTTTTTGTTTTGTAAAAGTTTGCATCGCATAAATTACAAAATATAGAAGTTGAAATTCGGCACACCGCTCTCTCTTCCCCTTTTTTTCCGCACTATACATTGGTTGAACGAACCAGGGGAACTAAATGAAGGCAAGCGGGCCATTAACTACGCTAAACAAAAATCGCCTGCTCGTTTTCGTGTTGTGAAAGGGACCGCACCCACTGTGCAGTCTATGATCTATCGCACTGACAGGACGTGTGTCTGTATAGCTAGCGGTGAAGAAAGCGCACGACCCGGCAGTACTGTACCGGCAGGCTTGCAGCACACAGATGATGTAAGTCGTGATGAACTAGGTTGGCTCTTTAAAACAGAAAAATGTCTGAGTAGCTAGTGCCACTTCCTTTCTCTTGTTCGATGTAAATAAGAAAATTACAAAATTTTGTTTAAGTTTTTTGTTAAAAAATATTTCCCACGATTTTCTATGTGTTTAAATTCTGGTTTCCCTTTTTCCATTGGTCATGCTTTTTCCAACAATATGCGAAATTTCCCACGATTCGAAAACACTGCCGACGACGCCCTGACACCAGCCAACCGCGGTGGTTGCGACGCCGACGGCTCGTTGCTGTGTGATGACTAGGAGGACGTCGCCACCTCGCGGCGAGCGACAGAATTAGTGCAATGACACCCGTACCGCTGGAAAGCGAGTCGAATGGGACGGCCGAAGAAGCCTTCGCGCGCGCGCTTCGGAATCTCGGAGGTTATGCTTGATCCTGCCAACCCTGCCAATTGGAGGCGAGGTATTTAACTTTCTCACACGCTTCGCGACGCGCATTTTCGGGTTACCGTGCAACAATGTTCCTAGTAAGCTGCTTCTAATGAGCTCTTCTGCGAGCGTATTTTGCTTTCGTGAATGGTTTATCACTCCTCTGTGGCGTGCGGTGCTACAAAAAAAAATAAATAAATAAATGTGGCTTTGGGAATAGCGAAAGTAAGTCGTGAAATGCGCGAAGTGGCCGGGTTTCGATTGACTCTGTTTAACCTCGCAGTGTTGACACCTATATGACTGCGTTCGAAACTCAAGCTTCCTTACCTGCGCGGGGAGTTGGCTTTGGCACTATAGGAACAGTTAGCGAAAGGCACGTGTTCTGTTTTCAATTGCTGCTTCTCTCGCCCTGAAAGCGGTGACTTGTTCTGATGGGTGCGAAGCAGCCGACTGCTTCCGATAGCTGCTTGCAGGGACTGGGAAACCGTAAGTAACTCCAGATATTTGCCTGTTCGGAAACTGTGCCTACTATTTCCACTCGTTCCGGCACACGCAAGAGAAATGCGTGTCGGTTTGGACCGCGCTTTACTCCAGGCGGGTGTAAATCACATGTTAAGGCAGACAGCGGCGCTCTGCTCCGTGAAACGTGCGAGCTCCGGCTTCCCAATGGAATGCGCGCAAAAAGAAAACAAAAGAAAACTGACGCACACACACACAAAAAAAAAAGGCTCCTCTGCCGCAACGGGTTGAGGTTGTTCCGAGTGTTTGGTTGTCTTTTGTCGCGGGCTGGTGCCATGGCTCTTCTCGGCGCTGCCGCGTTCTAATTGTTCTGTTTTCCGAATGCTCTCTCCGCTGCGTCTGCTGCGACTTCAATAGGCTCTGAGAAAACGCATTTCAACTGCAACCACAGAAGATGGCACCCAAAAGCAAGGCATCAATGGAGCGCGTGCACGCTTGCCTTGCACGACACCGGGCCGCTTCGCGCCATCCAGTCTCCACATGCGCACACAGTTTATTCACACTAACACTTCACATTTAGTTTTACCACTGGCTTTGTCACGCTAGTACGGCGAAAGGGCGAATTTGTTTCTCCGTCCTAATAACGGAGAACATCACGCTTTACGTGGAGCATAATATGTGTCCCTCTGCGTGTTCTTTGACATCAAGAGTTCTTTTAGGTTGCCTAGACGGCCGGCACTAGGGCGCAATCTTGGCACCTCCGACGTGCCACGAGCTGTTAAAAGGACGAAGTAGACGCTTAGTGTTTCTTATTCTTTGAGTGACTTCGTAGAACTAAACTCCAACATGATCAAATCACATAATAAGCAGTTGAAATAGTAATTAAAATTTGGCGATTTTATTGCTAAAGAATTTTATAAACATTTTTGAGTAATTTATTCGCGTATTTTCAATTATGATATTACAGCGAGGGAATGTAGTGCCATTTTAGGTCACTTTCTTGTGAATAAAGTTTGCTCCCAACCGGCGGCTTCAGAAAGATGAATCGACAGTTTCTAAGCCACCCCCGGGAACAGTCAAACAGGTCAGGAAGGTGGATGCCTCTACTTACCCTGACCCCATCCTTGATGCATTCTTGCAGCGTGAGCAGGACGTAGGCCGACAAAGGCACCGGTCCGTCAACGCCGCCCTGCACAACGTAGCAGAAGCGGAAGCACTCGTATCGTTTAACACTCCGCAAACAGTGATCAAAGTATACCATCTATCGTAAGAAAATATTCGCTCGACACTGCCGACGGATGCTGGAGGACGTACCAGAAGTTCTTTGTGGTGCAGATGATAGGCGTCTTTGAAGCTTCCGTTCTGTTGCTGTTGCGTCATTATATACCGCAATCCGCTGGTTATCACCGCCTCGTCGATCATGGTTGACTTTCGGGCTTCGCACAGGTTCCGAAGGACAAACGCCGTCAGCCTGCGTGCCATTGCGAAGTGAAGCTATCGCCATCGTCCGAAATAAAAAGAGTCAATAGTTGAGTGCTAGCTGTAGAAGGTAAAATGCCGCATGGGGTGCCTTCATGATGCTAGGCCATAAAGAACGTCTATTCGAAACCTCCTTTTAACAGCTTGACGCACCGGGGACATTATGCAGGGCAGTCTTATACCCCTGTCAGACGGCGTTCTAAAGATCCGCCGTTTCACGTGACCTCGGAGAGGGGGGGGTCACGTGACCTTGGGGCGACCTTGGGGGTCACGTGACATTGGGGGTCACGTGACCTTGAGGTAACCTTGGGAGGGGTCACGTGACCTCGGGGAGGGTCACGTGATCTTGGGTTGACTTTGGGGTGACCTTGGTCACGCCGACGCCGACGGCGACGCCGCTCAAGCCGGAAACGGGTGCCTAAGAGCTGCGCTCTAAAAAGTAGCCACGGCCCGTCTTCCTCCCTTCTACTGACGCGCCCCCAAGCGGACACGAGAAAAAGGGAGGAACTAAAGGTTTTTCTCCTTCTCCAGGCAGACGGGAGAAAGCTCACCCCCCCCCCCCCCCCCCCCCCGACTCTTCTTCTTTCGGTTTCGGTTTTCAAGCAGGTCGCGCACGTTGTTTATAAATGCCGTTGAGTTTATTAAGCCTCAGCGAAGGCCGCCTGTAATTCCGTCTTGTAGTCCAAACGTGCAGAACATTTCGGTTGCATTGACGTTTTTATCACTAATTTTATCAAACGAGCAAACGGAGCCGCTAGAAACAGCGAAGTTCCGGAGCAGTGCCAGGAGTACTACGTACATTGGGTAAGACGGCCGTCTCTGGATTGCGGGGCCCACGCGGAACTACAGTCGCTACAGTAGCGGAACCACCCGGAACTGTGTCGACGTTATGGAAATCGCAGGAACTGCGTCCCAGGCAGGCAGGTTTTCCTGCCGGCTGCCTGGGTGCCTTCCGTGCTGAGTTCCGTTTTTTTTTTTTTTTCCGATGCCGAGTGCAACTAACGTTCAACGTGGTTCTGTATTTGTGCGTGTCAGCAACATAGCACCAACATCGTGATGGCAGTGTTCTGGGCTGTGAACAAAAGACTAGAATTACCGCCGAAGTGAACGTGTGTTCGCGTATCAGTGGTGTAACAACAAGATGAGATGGCGTAAACTGTCGGGCAGTGATGCCGCTAGTCGGGCCGTGATCGGAAGGGGCGGGGTGTCGCAGGTTGACATTCCGCTTTACATTAACAAGTTTAATACCACTTGAGAGATTAGGTGCAATCGATCGACGTGCGGATAGTCATGTTGGAACGTTGGTCTGAACATAGCTCCTATCGTACAGTGGCCAATGTGACTGTCGGTTGTCTCGTCCGCGAGAGCGATTGAGCTCTGGGGAAAGGACTCAACAGTACGAAATCGTGACGGAAAGTATGTATATTTACAGTATGGAATTTTAGCATTAAAAAAGAATACTAGGTAAAATCGAAAAAAAAGCTCCTTTTCATTTTGCTGTTTAAATATACTACGGTTCCTGGAGGAACTGCCCTCCAAGTGGCGCGCTGGGATGAGCGCTAGAAGTTTTCGAGCTCGCCACAGCGTAGCTCCGTACACTTAACACCTGCCGCAAGTCGCGGCTTTGACTGCATTCGAGTTGATCGAAAAGCGATTTCTCCGCCCGTGAAGCATCACTTCTAGCTGAGTGAATATCCGCTTTACAGAGATTAATTCAAGACGGCAATTGCAGCCTTGCGCAAACAGGACAAATAGAAAAACAAACATTATAATAGAAATACAGGCAACGACGTGCCATGTGGGGAAACAAACTCATGGCTTCGAACCCCATTGGAGCGGCTTGATTTACTGGCTTTCAAATAATTACGGCATGATCGAGCGTTTGTTTTTTAATAAGAGATTCATCCCCTGAGCCATTCTAAATACTCTCAGAGGTATGACATTGCTGAAAAAAAAATCTACTTGGTGGGAGTATTTCTTTATTGCTTATTCAGTCACCGAGAAATTCCGTACGTTCAAAACGACCAGTATAAGAGACGGAAACGCAGAGCTCGGCTGTAGTGTTCGGGTTAGTGTGCCGTTTGTATTGGTGTTTGTATGTGCCATATATGTGTATGTGCTCAATGTATGATCACCTGATGCTTGTAGTATGCTTAATATGTGTATAGTAGAGGTTCCCGAAGCTCTATGGTGGCCTGATGAAATACTTTTTTTATTTTATTTTTTTGTAGAACATGAATTGGGCAGTACCTAGCGCCACATAGCCTAGCTACTTGCAATTACTCTGCTTGACCCTGCCATCTGGTGGCAAACGATTTAACCTTCTTTCACGCTACGCGATAAACAGCGGCTTCGAGTTTGTTCTTTTGAGAGCGGCTTTTGGTTTCACGGATTGAGTTTTCCATTCCTCGGTGATGTGCGGTCGACGAAGTAATTGTGACCCGAGGAACACTAAAGGTAAGACGTAAAGTGCGCGAAGGAACTGGGTATCGGTTGTCTCCGTTTAACGTCGCAGTGCTGTCGACGAAAAGACTGAGTAACTGCTTTCGAAACGCAAGTTTTTGTACCTGTGGGGGGAATCTGGCTTCGGAAATAAACACAGTTCGCGAAAATCTCGTGTTACGCTTTTATTTGCTGCTCCTCTCGTCCCGTACAAGAGACGTAGCGTCCTCGTTAAGCCTTATTGAGCTCGATTTGCTCGATTCAGGGCCGCCGTAATGAGATGCAGGCGACGGAGGAACTAGTTGCTTTCTTGCTTCAGGGACGAAAGTTTCTCCCTTTCTAAAGGAACATAGGTTACAAGACCGTTCCTCCCCCTAAGGGAGGACTATCCATACCCTTTTTTCTAAGGGTGTACGCATTTTGTTGACTCTGATGTGATGTTCTGGTAAATTGGAGAACCATGTTGGTAATTCGAGGTTAGAATTTTCTACACGCCGAAACTTCTACGCGAATTGTTCCAGAAGCCCACGCGTGTACAAAAGGGGCTTCGCGTGGCAAGCCAGGGTAGTTTTCGCCCCAGCGTTCGACTCTGCTTTTACGCCGCATTCGACGCCCGCGACGCTCTGCTGTTATCTTCTGTTTCCCTTTTATTTTAGGACACAAGTTCGCCCCCATCAAACGTTTCAGTTTCCCCAGTTATTATTTATTTCACCTTGTCATTCGTGACATTTTGGTGGAGGTGCGGGGTACCACATGTCGTGCAGCGCAGCGCTCCGAGTTCCGGTAGTACAAGTCCGAACCCAAGCTCCCGAGGACTTAACGAAGACAAGATTAAGACCCGATAATGTCGCCGCACCCAAGGTCTACCCCCGGAGTACGGACTTCTGCCACCTAGGACCAAGCAGCCAACGAGGCCGACGATGGACAACCAGCCGCCACAGACCCCGGCCGCCGCCGCCGTCGTCTACCTTCCCGTCGCACCCCGGACTCCGACGCCTTTCCACGGGGAGGTCCACGAGGACGTCGAAGATTGGCTGCAACATTACGAACGAGTGGCCCGCCATAACGGATGGAAACCGGAGCAGCGCCTTCAAAACGTTTACTTCGTTTTGGAGGCCACAGCACAAGATTGGTTTGAAAACTACGAAGCGTCGATCACCTCCTGGGAGCAACTGAAGGCTGAGCTCCGAGGTACGTTCACCAACCAACAGCGAAAAGAACGCGCCAAAGATTTTCTTCAAGCGAGAATCCAAGGCCCCAACGAGAGCGTCGTAAGCTTTGTCCAAGATGTTCTTCGACTCAGCAACCGCGAGGATTCTCAAGCCTCCGAAGCCATGAAGCTGAGAATCCTGATGCGAGGTGTCAAGGCGAGCATCTTCGGAGGCCTGGTGCGATGTACACCTATAACCGTCGAAACGTTTGTAACGGAGGCAACCAACATTGAACGGGCCTTGCAAGTACGAGCCGCTCACTTCCATCGAGCTCCTTGCCAGCTGCGCGCGCGGCTTTCTATAGGACGGTAGTCTACAAGCCAGGCCGCAAGCCCAGCGACGCCGACTGCCTGTCCAGGGCCCCTGTCGAGACACCTTCCGGCAGCAGCGACGACAATGACGATGAGTGCTTCCTAGGAGCAGTGGCCAATGACGACCTGGCACGACGTCAACGAGACGATCCTGAGCTGCGCGCATTAATTAAGCACCTGGAAGAGCGCGGGAGTACCGTGCCCCTTGTTTTCTCACGAGTTGTGCCGACCTTCGCCATTCGACAAGGTGTACTCTGCAAAGAAAACTTCGGCGACACCAACTCACCGGGGCTGCTGGTAATCCCGACCGACCTTCGAGAGGAGATTTTTCAAGCCTGCCCCGACGACCCGACGTCCGGACACCTTGGTTAAAGTCGGGCGCTGGCCCGTATTCGTGAAAAGTATTATTGTCTCGTCTACCTTGTCGACGTCATAGTATCTTCAGCTGACTTCGACGAGCACTTGCAACGACTCCGTGCGGTTCTCTAACCCATACAGACCACCGGGCTCACCCTCAAGCCTTCAAAGTGCCGGTTCGTCTGTGAAGAACTGAAGTTCCTAGGCCACGTGGTTAGTAGCGAAGGCGTCCGCCCAGACCCCGAGAAGACTCGCGCCGTCACGGCATTTTAAAGCGCCAACAGAAAATAAGGCCTTGCGAAGATTCCTTGGACTTTGTGCCTATTATCATCTCTTCGTTCGGGATTTCGCAAGGATTTCCGCACCACTCACAAACCTCACGACGGACGCCGAGAAGCCCGAAAGGGCCGAAGAGCAGCAGCAGGCATTTAACGAGCTGAAGCGAAGACACTAGACTCCTCCTGTCCTTGGACACTTTGATCAAGATGCGAAAACCGAGATTCACACGGACGCTAGTAATGCAGGACTTGGAGCGGTTCTAGTTCAAGTGCAAGAAGGCACCGAGCGAGTCATCGCCTACGCAAGTCGGACACTGTTCAAGGTGGAGAAAAATTACTTCACGACTGAGAGTGAATGCCTTGCGGTCGTCTGGGCAATCACAAAGTTTCGTCCGTACTTGTACGGAAGCCCGATTTGCGTAGTCACAGACCATCACTCGCTCAGCTGGCTTGTGAACCTCAAGGACCCTTCAGGACGCCTTGCTCGGTTTAGTCTTATACCTCAAGAGTTCAACATGACTGTAGTCTAAAAGTCGGGCCGCAAGCACAGCGACGCCGACTGCCTGTCCAGGGCCCCTGTCGAGACACCTTCCGGCAGCAGCGGCGACAATAACAACGACTGCTTCATAGGAGCAGTGACCACCGACGACCTGGTACGACGTCAACGAGACGATCCTGCGCTGCGCGCATTAACTGAGCACCTGGAAAGGAGCGGGAGTACCGTGCCCCGTGTTTTCTCACGAGTCCTGCCGACCTTCGCCATTCGACAAGGTGAACTCTACAAAGAGAACTTCAGTGACACCAACTTGCCCTGGCTGCTGGTTATCCCGACCGACCTTCGGGAGGAGATCTTTCAAGCCTGCCACGACGACCCGACGTCCGGACACCTTGGTTATAGTCGGACGCTGGCCCGTATTCGTGAAAACTATTACTGGCCCAAGCTCCCCAAAACCACCCACCTCTACACCCGATCTTGCCACGAGTGCCAGCGACGCAAGAAACCGCCGACGAAGCCGGCAGCTCTCCTGCAGCCAATTGCTCCACCAACTGCACCGTTCCAGCAGATCGGAATGTATCTGGTTGGTTCTTTTCCGCTGTCGACCCTGGGAAACCGTTGGATAATCGTCGCCACAGATTATCTCACGCGGTATGCAGAAACGAAAGCCCTTCCTTCAGGGACTGCTGTTGAAGTCGCCAAGTTTTTCATCGAGTCCATCGTCCTCCAGCACGGCGTTCCCGAAGTGCTGATTACAGATCGCGGATCATCGTTCATGGCACAGCTGACCCAAGAAATCTTCTGGCTCAGTCACATCAGCCATTGTCGTACCACTGCGTACCACCCGCAGACCAACGGGCTGGCGGAGCGACTCAACAAGACAATAGCCGACATGATCTCTATGTACATCGACGTAGTTGACAAGACGTGGGACGAGGTGTTTCCCTACGTCCCGTTTGCCTACAAAAGGGCGGTTCAAGAGAGCACTGGATACACACCTTTCCAGTTGGTACACGGTTGTCGAAGGTAACAACCATGCTGGAAGCCATGCTGCCCCGTGAGCCATCTGACAATGAGAGCGACGACGCCCAGGTGGTTGCTCAACGGGCCTAAGAAGTCCGCCAGCTCGCCCGACTCCTGATTCAAGACCAGCAACGCGTCGACGCGGTCAGCTAAAACCTTTGTGGCAGGGACATCTACTTCCAGCCCGGAGACAGGGTGTGGGTGTGGACGCCCATCCGTTGCCGCAGCCTCAGTGAGAAACTGCTTAAACGGTACCTTGGACCATACAAGGTACTTCGTCACCTCGGGGAGCTGAACTGCGAGGTGATGCCCGACGGAACAAGAACATCATCACGCCGCCCACCAAGACCTGAAGTCGTCCACGTCGTGTGCCTGGAGCCGTACTAAGCTCGATAGGACTATGGACCTTATGTGTTCTTAATGACCCTTTAGTCTGCCGTTCTTTTTATTTGCTTTGTTTTGTTTTGTGGTACATCAGGGCGATGCACTTTTTATAGGGGGGAGTAATGCCGCGCGCGCAGCTGGCCAGGTAGGCAGTAATTCGAGGTTAGAATATTCTACACGCCGAAACTTCTTCGCTGATTGTTCCAGAAGCCCAGGCGTGTACAAAAGGGCTCCGCGTGCCAAGCAGGGGCAGTACTCGACCCAGCATTCAACTCTGCTCTTACGCCGACTTCGACGCCCGCGACGCTCTGCTGTTATCTTCTTTTTCCTTTTTTTATTTTTCGGCACAAGTTCGCCCCCATTAAACGTTTCAGTTTCCCCAGTTATTCTTTGTTTTCCCTTGTCATTCGTGACAATATATCCTAGAGCACTCCACGTGTCCAGCTTTTAAGGCCTGACCAGGCCCATAAGTCTTACTGACCCGGGCCCGGCCTGATAGGGTGCCCTCGTGTTTCGGCCCGACCCGAGCTTAGCCCCACTGGAGGTGCCTTGACTGTGGGAAATAAAGCACGCCTCGGGGGTCCGTGCACAAAACCCCATATTACAACTACACAAACTCATTCCTTCATCGCAGGGCACACCACTCACAGACGAGAATTTTCCTTGTCTTTCAAAATACACGTTTTCAATCAAACAATCATTCCCGTCTGTAGCTGAGACACCAGACGCCCACTGAGCCTGATTAGCTGCCGGCTGTCTAAAAATATAAGCAATACAATTACTTTACTTTCAATCAATCACGTACAGGATCTTGGTTATTTCTTCCATTGTGAAACTTCCGGTTATCAATCATGTCGCACGGACCCACACACGCACGCAAAGTAGAACAACTTGGAGGACACTTAAGCTTCGCCTTTAAGAGTGGAACACGATAGCGTTATTGAATCCGGTTCACATCGCCTTCTCCTTCGCTTCTCATGCTCTTTCTGGCAGTCTCAAAAAGAATTGCGGCGGACATGTCTGGTTCGAATCCCGCCTAAAGTTCTACAAATTTTCTTTAAGGCAAATGAATAACTTTATCAAGTAAAATCATATCGAGACATGTGGCGACTTTTAATTGGAATTACATGTCATGTTTTTCAATCACTTTCATTCCCTGCGTTACGCCACGTTTCACGCTAGCGTTTCGGTTCGTTTTATTTTCCCGCGCGAGGTCACGTGTCTGTGACGTTATGACCCTATGGACCAATCAATTTTTCCCGTCACAACGCCACCGACGCCGGCTTTTCTGTGACGCGGACTCCTTAACGCTGGCGCGTTAAAAAGAAAAGGAGGGGAGCGACAGAGGTGCATACCAGAGACTGGAAGGATGATCGGTCCAAACGGCGAAAGACCCGTCAGGTTTTCTGTAAGTCAGGATCCTCTTGTAGCCTGTACAGCGAGGACGAAAAAAAAAACAGGACATTTGTATCGCGACTAAAAGAGGGCACATTAATCCGCCAGTCGCATGTGATGTATGGACGAACTTGCTCAAATTTCCATCTCTCTGAATATTTCTAAAAGGATCTTATTCAAGACGAGCGTGTCGCACGTTTTATGAGGAGCTTAGCTAGTGACACTGAGCATGTGTAATTACACTATTAATATTAAAAACTGGTTTGAAAATTTCTCGAACGAAAAACGTTCCTTCGGAAATATAAGGTGATGTAAATATTTTCATTGACCATGTCTCCCCAGAAAGTGCGCAGTACCTTTTAGATATCGTCCTTTGTACGCTTCGATCAGTTTAATAAACAATATGTGACAAATTTTGTCAATGCGAGTGCAACAATTAGTCGCTGAATAGTGCAGTGGATGTTCTTTCCGTGATGCGCTGTTGAACTAAGGAGTGTATAGCGGATACATTACGCCAAACGTTTATATATAGCAAAGTGACTGACTGCCTAAAGCTCAGCGCAAATGAGTGGGAGGTAAATAGTCCCTGAAGGTTCCTCACATCTGAATAACCATACTACACAGCCCGGTGATGATCAAACACCACCAACATTGTTTAATATATTATGAACATAATATCATTTGCGACCTGATGTCAAGTGCCCTTCTCCATCAGAAGCGAACAAAATCCTCAGAGCTCTCACTTTGCCATGAACTCTTTAGTGAGCGTAAAATATCGTCCTCACCTTCACGAATGAAGCCGAGAGCGTGGTCTTCGTACGGACCGCCGATACTTCCCACGGCTCTCAGGTACTGGTAAGCGTACAGGGTTGGGGCCAGACTGATCATGGTTTGCTCTCCGCATCCGGTGGGCATACTCATGATGCTTCCGGGATTTTTGACCATTGTCTCTAGCGCCGGACCGAGTTTGTCGCCTGGAACGCACGAAAATAAAAACAGAACCGCGGCGTTTATTTCAATTCAAGCGGACTCATCAGGCATCGCATGCCTCATCAAGGCAGACCAGGAATGTACAAATCGACGCACGCCGCGGTACTTTTATGGATACTTTTCTATGAATTCTATGGATACTTTTAGTTTCCCGAACTTAAGGAACGATGTTGTGTTTCAATTACTTAATACACAATCTCGTATCAATGTTTTGAGTGTCTGAATAGTTAGAACGTTGATTTGCAAACGTATGCCTTTTATGTAGGCATTGGTAGAATTTCGCCACAGTGTTTCAATACAGCTAACCGAGGCATAGATGTTTCTAATGATTTTTTTGAAAATCTGTGCCTTACGTGCTTCACTGGAAAGCATACACTTGAATGGTTATTGAAATAAGTAAGACGAAATACGAATATGCATGGAGCTTCTGGTTTTTTTTTTCTGCCTGGATGTCTTTAACTTTATTGTACAACGGGTAACTACCAGAACCTTGAACCTAACCTATGATAAAATTATTCCTGCATATGTAACTAAACCAATTGCGCAAGAATACAAAACGAGCAGCCGTTTATCCAAACAAAACTAAGAATTTTTTTCTTCGTGGTCTAAAGGCCCGTTCACACTCTTGCAACTGAGTACGACCGAGAGAGACCAAACCGGTTTTTAAGCCTCTTGCGATCTCTTAGGACCAGCTCCGCTCAGCGCATCCGGTCTCAAGAAGTCTTTCTCGGTCGTACTCGGTTGCAAGAGTGTGAACGCGCCTTAAACATCAAACGTAAAACTATGTTCACGGCACGCGTATACTCGCTCCATCTTTTGTAGAGGCGTTATTTGTGATTCCAAGTTCATGCGACCTTTTTGTTATCACATTCTGATAAGCTTACTCTTCTTTGTCTAGGACGTCTATAAACATTCATTTTGAACGAAAAAGAAGGAGCAATGCTGCCACACTTCTAGGGTTGACTGGCCCAGCGTGGATCAAAAATCGTTTCGTACCGATAATGCCGATCTCGCAGTGCTCGGAACCCGGAATTGCGATGTCCGGACTGGGCCGCCGGATCTGAACAAGCTGCCGGCCGTTGGTGGCGTAGCTCTCTGTAAACAACAGCGCCGTGAAGGATTATTCGTTTGCCAGTAGAGGAGTTATACCAGAATTGTGCGTGACGCGTTGCTTGTATCTGGCTACTTTATTCGCTAACAATAGGACGATTTGGCTAATTTTCATCGAAATGAATGGACGCTTTATTTTCGTGACATTTTGACCGAGTAAAAAGTATCGAGTATTTAGTTACTTTTAGGGGTACGTGTACACCACACGTTGCACAACCATGGACTCTCCCCATCTTGGGTTTGCAGCTCTCACACTTTAGAACCGCTACATGGGCAACAAAGAAAAGCACTTGTACAAGATATTGCCTCACATAAAAAATAGTAGACGAATGCAAAACTCAAAAGAACTATTTAAAAATGCGAATCTGTGCATGCAACCAAGCAAGAGGGGCATCGTACATTGTGCGACGCAAAAGTGGCGTTCCTTTTATAAACGTGGGACCTTCAGGAATGTTCCTTTAATTCTTTTATATATTTACGTGTCTTAGAAAGAGCTCGAAGTGGTCCACTTTCCAACTCTTGTTGAACTTCGTCATGTTTTCCAAATCAGAACACAGGACGACGACCTAAAATTGGTCGGAACTTTCCAGAAGTATACAAATCAACAAAAAAGAGAGAGCCTGGTCAAGCGGTGTTTGATCCTCGTTCCGCCTCACGGCAGCCGCGTGGGCTGCCAGCTCCGTCCCGCTAGCGGCAACGTGAGAGAGTACGGTCACGTCTTTCAGTGTACATCCTGACCAAACTCTACACTGAGATGGTGTCCTCGCGATAAGTCTTCCAAGTAGAAACAAGATTATGCTCTATTGAAATATTCTGTTTTCCGTTTTGTTGTTTGTAAGTACACTAGGGGACAGTCCCCACAAACAGAAAGTCGACCGCCCATTTCTATTTTGTTTATGGTATCCTGGACAGTTTGTCTTCTAAACAATGACGTCTTTCAGTGAGAAGTATTATTCACTGCGTAGTTCCCAGTACGGCTTTTGCCAAAACGCAGTCACACAATCATTACGCGAAGACCTTTTCGATCATATTCACGAAAATATTGATCGTAACAATTTTGTGCCAAATCTTTTTCTAGATCTCAAAAAGGCATCTGACAGAACTGACCACTGGTTGCTATGCATAAGTAAAAACACTTGGGTTTTGGAGGCCCGTTCAATGATTTCCTGGCTGACTACCTTTAAATGTACACTGACACCCCTCAAATAGTTTTTTTTTATCTTTGGCCAGGCGATTCATTATGGTGTCAGAAGGCTAACCAATCAACATTTTGATACAACGTCACATATATTTTTAATAAAGCCAAAAAACGCAACTGCTCGAACCTGACACCGAAACGTTATCAAATGCCACGTGGCTCTGCAAGTTTTTTTTTTAACGTGTTTGCAGCATTTTCGGGGCCACAAAAAATGGATATTATATTTTCTATACATTCGCAGTACTATGTGTGCACCTTCAATGACCCGTGACCTTGATTATCTTTGAGGGTTGTGTCTAAACCATAAAAAACGGCACGTGATCATGGAGAAGAGAGTGAGCGCGACTCAAACGGCCCTCGTCTCGATCGGCGGTTTTCGGGCTGAAAGAAAACGAATTTCGAACCGCCAATTGTGTTCCGGGTAGTTGGGCTTTCATATGTTATGTACAAAGAAAAATCTTTGCGAGATTAAATACCCTGTCAGTGTCCTCTTTAAGGACGTCTACAGCTAGTAAATATTTCTTAAGCTAAGAGTAAGTTAGTGAAACTTAATTACAGTTTCTCCAGGGATCTATTTTAGGACCTCTCCTTTTCAACACGTACGTTAATGTAATTGGGAAGCTTCACTTTCCCCGCGGAGTTTTCAGTACGCCAACGATACCACTTTGGGTTTATCTGAAAATGACGTATTCGAAGCTACATCATGTTTTCAAAATGGCATATTCCACCTAAAGGCATGTTTCACTCGCAACCAAATTTTCGTAAACGTCGACAAAACGAATATGCTTTCATAAACACACAAAATTATAAAACTTTCGGCCCCTTGGTTCTTCCCTTATACACTTGTAAAATCTTCAGGTGCGCACCACTAGAATACGTGTCATCCACAAGGTATCATGTGCTTTTTGATGAACATCTGTCATGGAGAGCGCATATCGACTACCTGCGAAACGCCATGAACGGTGTCTGCTTATATATACAGCCTTCGTTTTCTGACCGATGCGCGTACTAGATATAGGACTTATCAGGCACTGGAATCGTTTCTACTATGATACGGCATAATGGTTTATGGTTCCTCTTCGTAATATAAAGAAAAAAAAGTTAGATATTATTCTGCGAAACCTAGCGAGAAACATTGCGTATAGAACTAAATTTGCAGAACTCGAAACTGACCTAAAGATGCGGTCGCTACGGATGTTGCTAGTTGACATATTGCATATTTATATCATATTAGTAAACAATTACTATAAATACGCGTTTAAGCAGCCACTAAAAAGGAAAAGTGTCCCGAGAGAAATAGAACGCTTAGTTTTTTCAAAGGTTTTCACAAACTTCTGTAAAAGGGTACGGCAGTTATGCTCCACAATATGATAACATATTGCCAAATCGACTTTAGCACTGCCAGTCACTTTGGATTGCTAAAAGAGAGCTGAGATAGTGGTCTAATAACGTTGATGCATAACCACACTTGTAACCACATAACGTTAGTTTTTTTTGTTTTTTTTATGTTGGATGTAAGTTGCTGCGTCGTTCCGTATAAGCGTTTGCATGTTGTGATTTTCAGTTTTAAATTTACCGTGCTTGTAACTTGTTGGGTTTTGTAAGACGTAGCTTCAAATTTATTTCTTTCCTTTTTTTAGGCCGGAAGCATGCGGGTACGTTGCTTTGTGTACGAGTAGTAACATCCCATCCATTGCAACAGTGTCCCGCCCACTTAAACACACGTGCTTTTGTGGCTCTGTGAAATTTATGTACTCGTTTATTATGCAATAAACGTTTGTATGTATGTATGTCAGGCACCAAACTTTTGCCCATGATGCTGGTGTCCTGAGTCGGCACTTTTCACCTCTCTAGTAGTTCTGATGACAGCCCTTAGATGCTAAGAAAAAGTCTGCCAATTCCAAAGTTCGCTTGGTCGCGCTAACAGTGCCGCGCAGTGCACATTCGTCTGTTTAGAATCGCTCAACTCATGCGAAAGGATTTTTTCAATTAAGAGAAAAAGCGTCTGCCACGTTTTGGCAAAATTTAAAATGCAGGCGAACTAATTTAATATACATTTTAAGTACAGAAGAAACATAACAAACACAAGGCTTCGTGCATGTGTTTGTCCTCTGTATCCTCGATTCTTCATCCATTCTTAAAATGTCTATTTTTATTTTGGTGGCTCCCAAATTTGAGTGTGCTATGAGCCATGGGTTGACAAATCTTATCCGCAAATACCGCTGCGATGCGGTCAAGATGAAATGTTACAACCTGCGTCCGTCAACAAATAGCAGAAAGCGTTGAAACATTTTTCCAGCTTTTTTTGTTTAAAAAAGGAACTTGCATCCTACAACTAGTGCACCCGAATTTAGGCTTTCGGTATTCGAGCTAATAAGAATCTTTCCAAAAAGGGGCTTTTTTGGCGATTCGGCAAAAAGAGTTAGCCTATCCAGATCAAGTATTCACATCTTGGGCGATCTCACCAAACACTTAACATAACGGAAACATAAAAAGAGAATATGTACCAATACAGGACTAGAAGCCAAGCAAGTCATTATAAATATCCCTACCAAAAGTGCATGAATTTAGCAGCACATTAATATTAATTCTGAACATCCTAATTGCTTAAGCGTTCCCTTGTCACCTGAAATCACTGTGCCCTAGGTCATATTAACGGGATTATTTTGACAGAGTATTTTATTCCAAACAATTTCGTCCAGACTCCGCTACCACCAAAAAAAGAAATGTTTCGAACCGCAGATTACAGATATGCTACAAAATATTTCCAACTATTACCTTTTACCATTTTTTTATTTTATTTAGGCCCGAAAAGAGCACAATATTACGTTGAACGGTTGCCATAGACACAGGGCACTTACCGCACTACTTTTAAGATAAGGGCGCGTGTTCAAATTTGAAAGCTCGGTAACTAGTAACGTACACAGTTACTTTTCGGCAAGTAATAAATCACAATCATCACTTTTAACTAACGTGCAGGGTACCATTCAAACTCACCCGTGTAGTGTTCGTGGAAGATGCTGCGCTGTTGTCGCTTCTTAACGTCGGTGGGATTCAGGGGTACGTTGAAAGATTCGTTTCGGGGGGCACCATTGTGCTGGAACCAAAAATAAGAAAAGTGATGAACCACGTACAAGAACAGACGAATAGAATAAAAGGAGAGAATTATCCTTTTGTTCAAGTTTGAAGGAGAATGAATCTAGCTTTACGTGTCGACCTGTAAGTTCGACACGCCATTCTTACATTCTAGGATTGTGGTTGTGGCGCTTGAAGGAGCACTGACCAGTGTCCGAAATCCTGGTCACCAGTGACAAAAAAGGGAAATAATAAACTCAAATGCAAGCTCTTGTGAAGAGAGGGGCTGCGCATAAAACAATATCTTCTCTTTTTACAGCACTTTTGGCATCGGTGTTGCTCTAGTTACGTGACTATGCTTTTCTGACGTTCTTGCACTACGATAGTGCGAAGGTTTTAAAAAAGGGAGTCTGGCAAAAAGCTCGGCCCCCCTTCTCTGTCATAGGGTCAGCATAAACAAGCAGGGCGGCGCCCATGGAACAGACCGGATTCTGGTCTATAGGCGTCGCCATTTTCTGTTGGTGGTGGCGACATTGAGTTTGAGACTTTATACACGAACTCAGCTCTGTTACGTCACCGCGCGGTGGTGCCGCGTCAGGCGCACTTCCGGTTTGGGCTGCGGGCGGAAGTCGCAATACGAGACTATTGTCCTGTGGTATTTTGGAAGAAACCAGACAAAAACCTGCCTTCTCGTAAAAACGCCGCGATTAGGGCTGTATCAAAAGAGTCGGGAAAGGTTTGAAGGTCTTCATGCGTTTTCTGCCTGCTCGGCTCCTACGAGAACGTTGATAGGTGCTGCGAAAAATAAAAACCCGACTCAGTCGGACCATGATTGCTTGTGCGGAAAGCACATTGGATGGAAATCATGGATGCTTATGGTCGTCCGATTTATTTGTTTTGTTCCAACATGAACGCGGGAAAACCGCCAAGTTGTACGGATCACATCCGGACTACGTTTAGTGCATCTTCAAGCTCAAACAGCTGCCTGATCGTTTGAACTGTCGTGTGCTCCTTCAAATGTTTCCGCTTGTTATCGTCTACTCGTTCAAACGACAGCTGCCTGTAGACCAAGCGTTGACCCGTTAATTGCGATAAGAGGTAATTGCAGGACTCAAAAATTTTTTTGAGATTGAAGGTGGGTTGGGGTAGGTAGGCTCGGTGTAAACGGTAGGTACTAGGAGAGGCTGATCATTGTTACCAGTGGCCATCACCGACTTGCTATGCCGGATTCACTTGGGCCGATTTTGGTTGTGATTATCAGTACCGACGTTGACCATCTCAGCAACGGCCCACGCATTTGCAGCTTGAGCGACGTCGCGACTGAAAATAGCGAGCAGAATCTCATCATGTGAATCAAATTTTAGCGCCCATTCTGCGGCGTCCACACGGAATGAATCGCTGGATGTCACATTATTCACGCGACGTTTTGCGGTGTAGCGAGCATTGTTAATTTCGCTGAGGCCGCTGCAGTAATCAGACAGTGGCAGAAAGACGTGGATTTAAAACTTCTATCGTGGAAAAGGGGGACGATCCTTTGGAAGCGAAGGATCGTCCCCCTAAAGAAAAGGCTCAGGGACCTGTCTACAGGATCACCTGTGATGACTGCGCCTCCTCCTACGTTGGGGAAACTAAAAACTTCCCCGGAACGTCTACGCCGGCATCAGTATGACGAAAAAAAGAATAACGTGCAGGGTAGTGCGCTGGCAGAACACGTCCAAAAAGAAGGTCACACGGTTGGATTGAACCACTGCTCTCTTCATGGCACGGAAAGAAACTGGCAAAGACGCGTTTTATTAGAGTCCTGCACACTTTAAAAAAAAAGGGTGTAGTAGGGTGCATCAGGCGCACATGCACCCTTTTCCTGAAAGATGCACCCTCCGCCACCCAGCCGGTGTACTTGTACACCGACAATGAATATCCTTCACTCCTTTAAAAACCTCTATGTGTATTAGTGCACCGCCACGCTAGCCACGCGCATCGATCAACTTGTGCTTCGATTCCCCCTTGGGGGTCACTTTTTGGGTTGGGCAGTTTCTTAGGAAGTATGGGGCTATCCTGTTCACTCGGTATTGGCAGTATAGAGTAAATGGTATGCTTGTTTTAGGCCAATTATGTGTCCGGGTAGGATCACGTGACTACACTCTCCAAACTAAATTTAAGGCAGAGCACGGCACCTCCTGAAGGCCAAGGCCATGGATAGCATCCACTGCATTATTAACTGTGGGTCAAACTTTCAAGAGGATATAACTGACAAATCCTCTCGTTGTGTTCATTGTTCGGACGCCCCCCCCCCCCCCCCCCCCCCCCCGCCCGCCCTGAAGATAAGCCTTTGCGAGGGCGCCCCCCTTCTGGCCTTGAAGGAGCTGCTATTTTTTTAGTGCACTCTTTCTCTCTCTCCCTAAGCTGAAAGCGTGGAAGAAGGTGCGCAGTCACCGGACCAATGCACCGGAGGCTTTTTTAACCCTCGACTCTGCTGTCTGGGCGCGGGTAACGACAGGAGCGTGATCATGCGGTGAAGGTTTCACGGATGACGTAGCAGCTTTTTCCGACCTCGGAATGTCTGCTTCCCGGCCTAGTTTCTTGTATACTGTGCTGCGACCAGCGAGGCTGCCGTATAGATTTCGTCCGCGACAACGTATTCGAGTGTACCAAGATTTCCAGTGTTTGAAAAGTCCTAGGCGTATATCGGTGACAAGTGATTTCTTCAAAAAAGCCCGAGGAATTCCTGTGATGCGTTTAGTGTTCGATTCGGCAAATTACTGCTTCTGCCACATCGTGTTGAATCTTCACGGACCCCTTTCTTTTCGTTTTTGTGTTTGTGTGGTTCTGCAGTGCCCGTGTCGACATATATCTCGGATTACATATTTCAAGTCCAGTATTTTCATCGTAAGTGCACCGCAACCTACTCCTTTGCAACAATTGACCGTTCCGTTCCGGATGACTTGTAGTATTAGGCAGTGTCTATTTTCTAGCAGCCGGAAGAATAATTTCCCCGAAATTCTATCGGCAGTCACCTGCCATTAGCTGTCTGCAACCATGTGACAACGGCAGGTAGAATACTGACTTTCTTATTCTCCCGGCGTTTTGTGAAAACACGTTTTCGTTGGTACACGTTTTGTAGACACGTTTCATCGTCACTCGTTACGCGAAATGCACGCTGTAGGGACATTTTGTCGCGCGTTTATCTCTGAGGCGAGCGCTCACCGACCCAGCCCACCCTTTCAAGCCGCTTAGTGGCGACAGTCTGCGGCGGCTCATTACGAAAAGTTAACCCACCTGTCCCACCCGTACACGTCACTTCGCGGATACATTCTGGGGCGGCTCATTACAAGCAAAAAAAAGAAAGAAGCTAATATAGGAAAGCTAATCTCAGCTGTCCATGAAACGTCGTTCGATGAATGAATGGCGACTACCGGTGGAATTTCGTGGAAATAATTCTGCCGGCTGCTGGGAGAATAGACGCTACATAAGACTCACCCCGGTTTTTGTTTGCTTAGTAATCTTCTCAGTTGTGTAACAGCTTCTTCGTACCTCTTCACATGTCACGGATTGCGTGCAAGTTTGTACTTGTTTACGAAATAGGCTGTCTAATAAACTTATATAAGATTTCGAAACAATCCCGTTTGCCCGTTTACCTGCCTTTTTGCAATCACTTGGCGCATGCATTCTTTAATGGTTTCCTTGATGCCTTAAATGGGTTTATGAAGTTAGTTATGAAGCGGGTGCATAAAGTGGTGTGACCATGCGCCTTCGAATGGGGTGCATCTGTGTTCCCTTTTATTTTATTGGGTGCAGAAAGTGGTGTAGCCGTACACCAATGAATGGGGTGCACCTGTGTTCCCTTTGAGTGAGATTTCTGTAGAAAAAGGTGTACATGTGCACCACACGAACGGGTGTACACATACTCTCATATTTGGCGTGTAGAAGTATTCCCCCAAAGAGTGTAGTATATGTGACAAGCACTTACACCCCCTATGGGTGTACCCCATAACACCCTTTTCTTTAGAGTGTGGTACATTCAGAACACCGAAAATAACGTCAACCGGTCACCTGGGACATCTCCAAGCGCCTACGTGTCCGGTTTGCGATGTGTCATGTGAGGCGCTACGAGCCATAAAGTACGTGCAGATACAACGGCCGCTTTAAAGAAGCGAACAACACCGGGCAATTTGCAAGACGGCGACAAGGACAAAAGCAGTCACCCGTGATCAAGGAGCCGAACTGGCCATACAACGTCGGGCTCCGTATCAATTTTTTGTTATACTTCTTCTTTCATTCTCGTTCCGCCAGCCAGAGAAAGCACGAACTCCGGCTTACCTCTCCATGCTTCAATAAATATCTATCTATCTATCCTAACCAGGTGGATGTCAACCAAAAGGTTTAGGTTGAATCCTTCCAACATCTTTGTGTAGTTGTTTTATCGCTCACTTTAATGTTGTTAATTTGACTATTTAAACACCTGTTTCTTTTCACACACGTATCCGTCTGTCTGATTTTTATTCCTTCAATCCCTAAGAGAAACGTGAGACGGAGTAAATTCGTATGTTATTCATTGGATTTTCTTATATCTTTTTTTTAATATTGCCCCGCTCGGACACCTATTACTAACATACTAAGTGACGGTTCACATCAATGAAAGCAATGACAAATTACACAATACATTTTTAGAAGCGTGAGGTTAGTCTGTCAGGGTTTGACGACACTGATACATGATGCAGATAGAAAAAAAACAAATTGGCCAGTACAATGTGACTGCTAGAGTGTGGTTTTAAACGTGCATCCCACAGTTGACACAGGACATGATGCCGATACAACACTGACCCCATCGAAATGGGCAGGGGAGCAGACTGAGCGTCGTATCTCCGCCTCTTGCAGCACGGGCTATCGCTCCGGCCGAGAAGCGGCGCGCGAACGCCCTCGGCCACCGGTGGCCCTCACCTCAATCTTCAGCTTGACCCTGGCCGAGTCACTGCCCGCGCTGCTCACGGCGATCACTTCGATGTAGCGCTCCCCAGTGGCGAGCGGAATCACCGGGAAGATAACGGTCCTGCCGTGGCCGCTCGGAACGTCGATCCTGTGAATGGCCGACCTCTCGCCCTCCCTGGTGCCGGAGCAGATGTCCTTGGTGCCCCGGAGCGCCACCCTGGCCTGCGAGTGGTGGATACCGGGCCCGCGTCAAGTCTGCGTTGCGGCAGAGCGCGCGTAGAGGGAATTGCACCCTGATGTGTGGATTCAAAGGCTTCGGGACGAAACACTTCCTAGAAGGAGGGTTCCAGTGTAACCGCTCTTCACAGTGTACCCTGCTTAGAGGCGTTCCAACTGAGCTATGACGAAGAACAGCGCAGCGTGCAATTTTCGAAAAAACGGTTCGAGACATTTTGGAATTAAAACGGTTCGCGTTTCATGAACTCGCGAGTGGGCATGACAAACGTTCAAGCAAGAGGTACGTGCCGGGGCTCGTAGTGTGCGGGCGTGTTTAGTGACGTCCTTTTATAGTTCATACCTTTGACGTGAGGGTCAGGATTATCAGTTATGAACGACAAATTCGATAGTGCGTGTTCAAATCGAGGCCGCCTCGGTGGCTCCGAGGCGAGAGCGCCGGCCTACGGATCCCCAGGTGGCGGGTTCGAATCCCGGCCGAGGTGCCCGCAATATGACGGAGGCTTATTGAGGAGAAGGCGCCGTGTAACCGAGCTTTCGGTTGCACGTCAAAAGATCCCCAGGTGGTCGAAATTAATCCTCAGTCCTCCGCTGGGGCGTGCCAGATGCCCGTCGTAGGTTTGGCACGTAAAACCCCCAAATTTGACTTTTGTGTTCAAATCGACGGTGACAAGTTTGGTTGTGTACGATGGAAGCTTGGTGTCCTCGCTTTCTTGAAACATCACCGGAAATATTGACAACCTGACATTTTTTTCCGTTGATGAACACAGATTTAATCCCTGCTTGGCTAATCTTCGAAAGTCTACCCTAAAATGATTTTATCCCGCCAATGAGGGGACAACTGCCCGGAGGCGAAATCCGCCCGAAAGTGGACAACGCTACTCAGCTGCTTGTGACCTAGCCACGTCGGACTACACTTTGGTTAGGCCGATTTAAATAAAGAGGAACGGCGCGGACGCTTTTTAGTAAATTTTTCTTTATCGGTGGAACTAAGAACGACTTCAGTGACGCAATCGCGGTACTGCCTACTGAGACACGTGAAGCAGTACCGCGATTGCGTCACTGAAGTTGTCTATGAGATACCCCTGTCGTACGGGAGAGTGTATGTTGGCCAGACGGGGAGGTGCATTAAAGATAGAATCAGGGAACACTCTGCGTCAACTAGGCAATCCCCGTCTGGCCACTTGGCAGTACACTGTGATCGATGCGAGTGTGACCCAAAGTTTGACGAAACAAGAATTGTTGGAAGCGGCGCAACAAAAATCGCTCGCGAAATCTTGGAGGCCTTCACCATACGATCTCGTGGCACCGATGTCTGTGTCAGCGCCCCATCTTTATCTCTATCTGATAGGGAGTATACGTTCCTTCAAAATGAACGTGTCACGTAGGAAAACGCGCTAGGCTTCGTTCTATCTTTGTTTCTTACCCATGCGCACGTGTACATTGGGCATCGCTTGCGTTTCTGTGTTTTTCTAAAATAAAGTTCAGTTGAAAGTGCGCCTCGTCCTGTCTGCTTCTCTCCTTGTGTCCTCATTGTTTTGGCGCCTCACTTCAAGGATCTGTGGGTTTGTGAGAAAAGAAATCTTCGTAGCAATCTTTCGGCTCCTCCCCCCACTGTGTCATAACACAAAGAATATTTGGGTGTGACGAGTTCAGCGACAAAGGCTGCGTTCATGGTGGCAAACTTGTTTTTCGGCCGGCAACTTTAGGATCGTGTATTATTATTTGCTACATAAATTCGATATGTATGAAACAAAGCAGTAAAACAGCAGTAGCATCTTAAATCCCTGATTGGAAGTGTTCTTGCCACTAGGCCAGTCGTACGTTTTGGGGCAGCACAGTACAAACTTTGCGTCATAGGGATCGCCATCATGCTCGAGCCGGTAGTTTCGATTCGCCGTAGACCCCCGAAACAAAACTTTGCGTTAAAGACGCACTCAAATGGTTTTTGGGGAAGCTATTTTTTGGTGCGATGGCGTTAAGGAAGTGTCAGTGAATGGGTATCTTCAGTTTTAGAAGGCAGAACCGCCTATTAGTCACGCAGGAATAAATATGTGCGCAGTCCTTTCTGTTCCTTCGCCGACCAATGAAATTATCGTATGTTTGAAAATTTTGGCGGCATTTGTACAGTTTCGCTTAAGGGACAATTTTCAGTTCAATTAGATATGCTCTGCATGATAATTTCACAAGACGTAAAATAGTTCTAGTTTAGAATACGCGATACTGCAATTATCGTTTCCCAAACAAGGGACTACGTTTTCTCCTTGCCTTCCTCCGCGGGGGGTGAATTTCCCGTTCCCTCGAGATGCGCGGAAGCGCACGTATCATGAACTGCAAACATGGCGTTGATGGTAATCGTCGACGTGGACGGCGTGGTGAAAGCTCATCGTTCCGCGTAAAAGCACTATCCTTGACTGTGAATTTTTGTCGTGTGTCGCTATGATAACCCAGCACGTACTAAAAGGGAAGATCCACCTACTCGTGCGGCTATATCATGGCGGCACTCTCAAGACAGCAGAAACGCCCGCGCCGTCCTGTTTGTTTACTTCGACTACAGTGGTGCTTTCTAAGCATTTGTGCCCTCGAGCATCGCACGGAATTCATATTTGGCGCATTTAATGCGTGTGCTCATGTTCAAGGTATTACTGGCGCGTACCGTATAAAGGATGCGAATTTTCACGCATTTTCATCACCGGAAAAAAGTGATTAGTGTTAGCAATCCTGAACACTCGCAACGTCTATCTGATCACGAAATCATATTTCTACGTTGCTATATCGCTGCTAAGATTACATCGTCTTTTACAATCGTAGGAAAGGCGTGTGGCGATATTTGTACTATTGGCAAAGTCGTGTATTAGAGTCATGATCGTCTAAGACGGCGTACTGCATCTTTTTCTGTTCTTTTTTTCATCCACTTTACCTTGCAAGCCTACCATGAAAAAAAAAATAAAGCTTTAGGCTATAGAAAACTGTCTGTCTATATTCTGTTACGGCATTGAGTGGCAGTGCGTCCCCTTTTTAGAGGCGCCGCTGAAACAGCTGGCGGCGGCGTAGAAGCGGTCGCCGTGCTGACGACCCGCTGCACTTGTTGCAGTGGTTGCGGGTGTAAGTACGCGGGGCGCAGAGCGGTCGTTCCGGTCGCTCCGGTTGCAACGGAGGCAGTCGTAGGTAACGCACTCGTTGCAAACGTCTGAACCAGCCTTCCCCGTCCTCCCGAAGCGAAAGTCAACGTGGCGACATCGTTTCACATCACGTACCATAGGTTACGATGGTATGCCAAACGTGGGTATGGTTACGACTTGCCCCAACCGCAAATCGAAGAACGCCCGAAAAGGTCTGCGCTTCGTCGTCCTCAGAACCCGAATACGACTCCGAAGCGCTGCTATTGTCCACATCGCACGTCGGAGTGGCGTCATAGGAAATCTTCCCCAGGTCGGCTGTCCGCCGAAGAATGTCAACCTCTAACGGCGTCAGGTCCTCGAGCGTAGAGAACTCCGCCATGATCAAAGCTCGAATGACAAAGAGGTTCGGCCGGTGCGGCAACCTCGGGACCGCTGTGCGACGGAACGTCGTTCAACGCCCTTGGCCCGAGATCGTTTTGTTATGCGTGTGATGACCAATGAGAGTGGTTTCGTTTTCGGATAGGTCCGAGGTTTGGCGGCCTTCAATTACATTTTTATTAAAGAAATAATCACCGAATGACTATACATTTTGGTTTTTAGGGATACTTAGGGCGTCTAAATTCAGTTGTCATCATCAAAACACGAACTCAAAAACCACTGGAGTGCTCCTTTAAGACATCTACAAAACTACACAAGGCATCGAGAACACAAAAGACCACCGCGTAAATCGGGGACACTAACTTCCCTAAAAATAGTTCTAACCTTAATATTGAGAAAATTTACCGGAATTACCCTTTAACTTACTTAAAGATGCCTTTTGGAGAAAACCAATATTTCGGGAACCTTCTGTGCGATGCTCCCTTCTTGCAGAAGGAGCAATTTGACCAGCGTTCCGTGGAACACCACGTAAGTCAGTTAAAAAAGATAAGCACGACAGAAGGATTTTTGTCAGACTGCCTGGCAGTGCGTGACGTCCAATGACCTTGCGAAATTGACACCAGTTGCGTCAAGCTCGCTTCAAAGTTGCGAGCTGCGTGCTCTCGTTGCCCGTCACTGAGCGAATGCCCGTAGCATCAAGGCGTATTGTCGTTGCCCAGCGGGTTGTCGAGGCCCCTTTTGAGAGCCTTGGTTTCGGCACAGGCTGAGTTCTCCGATACGCGTTACGATTGCTGCGTGGCGTGCGCCGCTAGGCCGTGCACTCGGAACTTTCAAGGACTCCAGGCGTTTCTCACAATATCTGGCGATGCACCGTAAGGGAACAAGAACTACAGACCTATCCTCCTTTCTATGCGCGCTGACATTTTGTAATATCGTGATAGGCCCGCCATAAGGTGCGTTCAACTTGTCGCTCCTCTCGAGCCCCTCGATGAAGCCGCAGTAGTCGTGCTTTTCGTGGCGTTTTATCGCGATTTTCCCCTTGCTTTGTGTAGTGTCGTCTGATACTTGCTTTTACTACCTAACTGCTTGCCATTATTATATGCACAACTAACCTTGATTTTATAGCCCGTTTTGACTATCGGCGCCATCGGCGTGCCATAAACGTTTGAGTAAAAAAATCAGCGCTAGCACTGGCACGCATTGAGCATGTAGATTACTCTAAGACAATCGAGGGGCCAATTATTTACGAAAGCGCAAATTAGGCTTAGTGCTAGGGGCGCAATAACAAGCGCAAGGTATGTTTATGATCGCGCGTTTATGATCTCAAAAAAGAAGGCAAATATAGTCAACGCAAACCGTCCCTCTGTGTGTTTCTTGAAAGCATTCTGCGTTGCCTTCATAACAAAATCAATACTATTAGCTTTGAATATGTGTGGGAATAATTTCTTGCTATATAAACATTCGCTTCATCTATTTATTTACGAATTTAAAGAAACTATACATTGTGTTCGGTCCCATGTCGGCAGCCATTCAATTTTCTTATGAGGCCCAATTCACTTAATTCACTTAAATGCAAAGGACTGGGTTCCCCCGGTGAAAAACGTGTCAAAGACAGCTTGTGAGTGCCTGACAAAAGCGCGGGAGGCACGCAGTATGTGACGCCGAAAAGGAGCCGTCTGCAGGGAAATTTCTCGAAAACAGCGTCGTGGATGCCGGATTCATCCTCGACGCCGCTGAAAGTGAAAAGCGTATCTATTCGAACGGATACGCATATCTGTCCACGCAAATCCATGAAGTCGTGCCTGGCGTTTGACTCAAGCCGAGCTTGCTGGAAGTCAATTCTTTTGCGCCATTTAATTTTATTTTACAAATAATAAGGAAGACACACGTCAGACTTCAATGCACGATTTCGTTCCATATCTCATATTCTAAATACGTTTTTAGGAAATTTCCGTATAACAAGTAGTTTGCTAAGGTCAACATCGCGAAATGCTGCTAATGAACACTTTAGCAGGGCCAATACTTGAACAAATTTCCTACTCGGCTTAGCACGGATCATCGAAACATTTTTTGAGCACCTAAATTCTTTAAGGAGATCTGTGGAGATAATCTCGCTGCTTCTTGCATTCCATGCGTTATTACAGGGCGGTTTCCCAGTCGGCAACTTTTAGAAAACGTTTGTGTCATCGAAATTTGAACAGTGAGCACTAAACTCGCGAATTCGTCTGTTATCTTTAATTCAGCACATTGTTAATCAAGTTCTCGATCTGTAGTTTCACTGGGCCTCCATGCATTTCTCTCTTCATTCGTTAATTTTATGGAAACTAGTATCAGCGAGTGCGTCCAGAACGGCCATAAACATCGGTAATACTCCTCCCGTATCATTCCAGCCCTTTCGCCACCGAACCTGGACGAACGACGAATAAGATCAGATAAAAGTGTTCGTAAAAACGCCGTCAATTTAGGGTCCTAACTACGTCGTAGTTCTCAAAGTGACTCATTACCACTGTATTATTGTTGTGTACCACGAGGGTTACAGTTATGTCACAAAACTAAGCAAAAACGACCTAACACACCAAAGCAGCCGCGAGCCTGCTGAAACCGAAAACAACCAAATTAAAGCCACCTTATGGCACATCGTGTGTCAGGGCGCTTTGTCCACCGGTCAGGTAGCTAGCGAGATTAAAATGTATATACTAATCGCAGAACTTGCTGGATTAGTGTCAATCTGTTACACTTGCTCTTGTTTTCAGTTTGACAAATCAAGGGGTCCAGGCGTTGGTGAAACGCCATGGTGCAACGCGGAAGTGAAAACAAAGGGCGAACCTCCTCACCTTGATGGTTTTCTGGCCGTAGTTGTAAACGGTGGCGGGAATCTCGACCTGCTCGTTCTTTCGCACCGAGTAGGGCACGTTGATCTCCACGAAGACGTTCTTGAAGGCGACGATCTCAAGAGGCTCCGAAGCGCAGATGCCGCCTAAAGGGGCTGTGCTCACTGCGTTCACTTCCCACGTCGTGATCGAGTCCGGCAGCGAGTACTCAACTTCCACTCTCCGGTCGTTTCTGGAAAGACCAACAACGTTCACGTCGCGTATCGTGGCGCAGCTTTCTGATGTCGACGGTCACGGCCGTTACTTGCACTTAGACACGTTGTTTGGTAACAAAGTAACGACAAGGTTACTTCTTCAGCGAAGGAGCAAGAAGCATATTTTTGTCACTTTTCAACGAAGTAATGGGTAACGGTATTTAGTCACATCCGAGAGGAGAACCTGTGCAACACAACTAACCAACCTAGTTCTGACCCCAACCCGCGACTTTATTTGCACGGCTCTGAGACCATAGATAAAGGTGCCCAAGGATTGTCAGTATAGCCATTGTTATTCCTGAGGAAACTCGTTAAAAAAGGAGGAATTATGAATTACGACAAATATTGGAAGCCTCTACTGCATCATAAAGACGACAGAGTGAGGATAAAATAACGCCTTAATTTCAAGCTGAGGCATCTTTTGGGTCGCAGTCACGAGTAACGCACTGAGTTACCTTCTAAGTGAGGAACGGTATTTGGTTACACTATTTCAGTAACTCGTACATATCTGCTCCAAACACGCGTTAGACAGTGTTTCGAGACTGGAGTCAAGAAAAACACTATGAAGACATAGTACCCGCCCTTGTCCCCGTCTCTTTCATTCTTTATATAGTTTTTCGTATGATATGTCCAACATATTTATGCTTTATTGGTTTCCTTTTAAATCCAAAAAAAGTTATGCACAGAAAGGTAGGTGAAATCTGGTTTAAAAGTCTAGTGATTTTATACTAAAACCCTTTACACCAAGTGGCAGGCACGTAGCCAGGATTTTGATCGGGGGAGGGGGGGAGGAGGGCGAGCCCCATGACCCCCCCCCCCCCCCCCCCCGTCCTCCCTGGCTACGTGCCTGCCACGTGGCAAATTAAGACCTCCTCCCTCTTTCGGTTAATTGTTCTATGTAATCCGCACGTTTTGAAGTAACAGTAAGCTACCTATGTAAATATTTGTAAATATATTAGCTTGAACTTAAGAATTATACTTAAACACGAAGAAAGAAAGGACAGGAGATGACAAACAGCTGACAACCCACGGTGTTTTAGTGTAAACTTCTTCCTTGAGCGTTTGCTTCTTCATTCAGAGGCCAAAGAGAACAAGTGCTCCACTTGTTCTCGTTCCCACATAGCCTCTGGAAGGCCAGTCATTAAGATGCCTCGGAACGCGTCCTACCAACCACAGAGCCCATAGTTAACGGTCTGACTCCCAAATGAGAAGCGTGCAGCGAAGCTGTGCGTCTGGAACGCCATGCTTTGTTCAAAATTGTGCCCGAGGAGGAACAGGTGGAAAGCTTATCCTTGTTCTGCTCGCAGCACGCCTTGAAGGCCGCGATATATTTACTGATATATGTACATATATTTATATTATACATTTACAAGTATGTACGAACGTGTGACTCCTAACCGCTATTCGGTAAACTATGCCCGAGTTCGAGATGTCTGGTGAGTTTCGTCGCGTTTCCGTTTGACCATTTGAGGTGCCTATGTTTGGACTGAAACCGCTCCTTACCCGATGGTGTACTGATTAAAGAGCGAGGTTTCTCTGAAATCATGGCGTACAGTTCCGTCGTATTCGAATTCCCCGTCGTCCAGACTGTCGCCGTCCTTGTCCCCCGATCTGGCACTCGCCTCGAGCTCTGCGAGGAAGCAGCACCATGTGAGATAACGCGACAGAATCAACACGAACGAGTGATCGCGTCTTTTCTTTTCTTTTTATAACGGAGCTTTTCGGAAAGTCCGTCTAATCGCTTGTATCAATATCCTCATCTGAGTGTACTGCGTCTGTCTAATGGCGGTCTCCTGGCGGATGGAGGACGTTGAAGGCGCGAGCCGCTCTGGGTAGGTGCCAAAAAAGTTTTTTGTAATGGGCAAAATAAGCACAAAGCAGAGCCTCTGAATTCTACACAAAACACAGTGCGATCGACGCCCAATTTGTAATAATTTTGAACACGCATCTAATTATTTGGCGGGCAACCACTCCCTAAGCTTCTTGATGCGGATTTTTTTTGTCGAGAGCTTAATTCTGGTCATCACTTCGTACGGGGTGGTGGTTTCGTCAACGCATTTACTAAAATGAGTCGGAAAAAAAAGTACAAAGAATAAACTCCCATCAGTGGTGGACGTAAGAGATTGACGTCCACTGAAGCAATACCACATTTTTACCTCTAGTAGCATGCGAAATGTTGTGCCTATTTGTGGGTCATTAGATGGCACCAAATTACGGAAAGGTTATTTTAAGGGATGTTATTAAAACTACTAGTGCTCATTATGGTACCCAATGCAAGCGGTAAAATTTATGGCCTTGATATTTCAGCTCCATGTTCCACGGGACAAAAACCGGCCTTGAATGGCGAACAAAACAGCGTATGTTTCGTCAATGGCTCGTACAAATATTAAGCGAGGGAGAACACCAACCCCCCCCCCCCCCCCCCCCCCGCTTTAAGTCCTTATCTAGAACTCTTTTTTTCGCGTTCTGCAGATTGAAATGGACGCTGAACGAGCCCAAGTACGCACCTGGTCTTGCCACACTACCGTGTTCTTCCGCACAATAAAGTCCCTATGCTACGGTTACCGAATGTCAATAGGCGCGCACGCGAACGCAGCGGATGAAGCCAGTTACAGCCGCACCATATTCCGAATGCCGTCTGCTTCCAACGTGGTAACGCTAGCTTGGGCTCCAAGCTAGGCTGCAAAGCAGACCGGGCTGCGCGCGGTCACCGTCGCTTTGCTCGGAAAAGGTCCGAGCATGCTCCAAGGCTCGTCGAAACAGCGAGGGGTTCACCAGACGACCGCTTTCGGCTCCCAGCGTCCACCTCCAGCGTCCACCTCCAGAACGGCGCGTCCGACTTTGGCTAGCGTTGCGGCGTTCATAGAAGCAGGCGACCTTCGCCATAAAAATATTAGCGCGAAAGACGACTAAAGCACAAGGAAGGTCAAGCACTGCTTTGAAGTGACATTTTAATAAATAAATAAAGGAAGAAAAGGACGGAAATAAATTTATATATATGGAAGATAAAAAGAAAATTGAAAAGAAGGAAAGGATTCAAAAGAACGACTGAGATAAATAAAAAGCTAATAATAAATAAAGAAATAAACAAAAATATTTTAAAAATTCAAAAACAAAAGGTTGAGAAGCGCAAATATTTTCTAAATAAGGATGGTTCTTTCGGTGACGAGTTTTCTAATGGCGCGCTTATGCAGGATTCACGTCTCTCTGCGATGGCCTGGTCTTCGTAGATTTCTCTAGTTCTTTTGTTGTGTAAGCGCCTCAGAATCCCTGCATCATTGAACAACGGGGCGCACCCACAGTGTCTCAAATATAAAGCTAGGTGACCTGACGGCGAGGATTTCAAGGAAAGTTCATGCTCGCTGAGCTTGCTCTTGGCGCTTCGTTCAGTATGGCCCATGTCAACGTTTCCACATGAGAACGGTATCCCATACACAACTTCACAGTCATAGTGTATGTACTTGTGGACATGTCTAACGCTGCATTCGTCCGCCTTGTCGCACTGCGAGTTTATTTTGGGAAATAGTCTTCTTCGTTGTCTGGAGGAGATAGCACCTCCCGGACATCACACTCGGATGCGACTCTCCTGAAGCCGTGGGAGATGGGATGCATGTATGGGACGACCGCAGGTCGGTCTCGTTTCTCTCTAGACTCTCTTGGTCGGTTAGATTTGAGCATGCATTCAGTCACATCTGATAGGGTAAGGAATTGTTTCCAGTTATTTCAGCGCGGCCCTAAAGATGTCCTGTTTTCATTAAGCAGCAAAGAGTTACGGCTCGAAGCTTCTAGCTTCCCTAGTTCTGACCCTATGAGATTGTGGCTGAATGCATGATCCAATCTAACTGACCAAGAGAGTGTAGAGAGAAACGATACCGACCTGCAGTCGTCCCGTACAAGCATCGCATCTCCCACAGCTTCAGGAGAGTTGTATCCGAGTATGATGGCCGGGTGGTGCTATCTGCTCCAGACAAACTAAGAAGACTCTGCCCCACAATAAACACGCAGCGCGACAAGGCGGACGAATGCAGTATTAGACATTCCCACAAAGAAATGCGCTATGACCGTGGAGTTGTGTATGAGATACCGTTCTCGTATGGAAACGTTTACTTGGGCAGGACCGGAAGATGCGTCAACATCAGGCTCAGTGAGCATGAACTTCCTCTAAAATTCTCGCCGTCAGGCCACCTGGCCTTACATGTGAGGGACTGTGGGCGCGTCCCGTTGTTCTCTAGAGCAGGGATTCTTTGGCGGTTCGACGACAAAAGAACTAGAGAAAGCTGAAAAGCACAAGCCATCGCAACAAGAAGCCAACCCTGCATAAGCGCGCCATCAGGGAACTTGTCACCCAAGGAACTACGATACCTCCTTATTTTCTAAAACACTTTTTCTTCTCAACCTTTTGTTTTAAATTTTTATAAACAAATTTTATTTTGTCTTTTTTGCATTTTTGCATGCATTTCTAATGTATTTTTATTGTATCATGTCCCTCTGACCGCTGTTTTTCATGACGTTCTTTGAAAATATTCCACGAAGTACTTCCGAATAGCCGTATGTTGGCTGAATTATCAGCCACCCATGTTATTTTCTGTTTCATCATTCAAACATTATCCGCTTTTTTTTTTTACTGTATCCCTTAAATTATTTGTCGCAGAAAGCGTTTATGAACTTCTTTTCTTTTTTGGCAACAACGCAAATGCAGCAAACTAATGTGACACAGTTTTCCCCCTGAATTCAGCGGGGGAGCTAGACGCAGGATTCTTTGTCAGTTTTTTAGAATCTCGCACATTTCTAAAATCTCCCGAAAAGTCAAAAAGAGCAACACATATCTGAAGGTATAAAAGTGCCCAGAAGGCAGACGCTAAGATACTTGTTAAGAGACGGAAAATTTGTTATCAGCTCTATAGGTATACTTAACGTGAAGTTGAAAGTATAATTACCCTCCCTTTTTTCGTTTTCCCTGTTTTGTCGGTCATTTTCTTGCAGTTTTCACGATTACGTACTCCACTTGTTCTCGTCCCGGCATAGCATGCAGAAGGCCAGTCATTAAGATTCCTCGGAAAGCGTTCTACCAGTCACGGATTCCATGGCTAATGGTCTGACTCCGAAAACAGAAGCGTGCAGCAAAGCTGCACGTCTGGAACGCCATGCTTCGTTCAAGATTGTGCCCGAGGTGGAAGAGGTGGAAGGATTACCTTCCTTCTGCTCGCAGCACGTCGCAAAGGCTGCGATGCATTCTTCCGTGATCAGTGACTCGTCGTGATCCCTGTACTCCCTTAGCACGTCCACACGTTCGGAGCAGGACCTCAGGAATTTGTCGCGCTTCAGGCCTCGCGAGCAGCACTCGCGTTCCACGGGATCCTGATAAGTGTCCTCTGAAAAGAAATATGAAAAAAAAAAGAAATGGTTTCTCTTTGCATCCAGCTGTCGGTTATATGATACATCCATGCTTTTGATGAAACGCTGGGGTTCATGGCGGGTGTGGTGCGGTGAAAAGTGTTCAGATGTTTGTGGTGAGGATAAAAAACAACGACCAAAAAGAAGAAAAGAGATGAAACTAATAGCTAAATGTTAGACAAGCTCGATCTTGCACATAAAAATCACAGAATATTGAGCTAGCGCACGCATAAATTGAGTGGGTTATCAATGCTGGGCGTGTGTCATGCAGAACGGGACTGGTGTGTCCGGGCTAGCGCAACAACATACTCGATGAGTATTGTAGCCCAAGACATGCTGCATTCCTGGGTCTTTGTCAGCATCCTCAGGCCATGTTCTGTTGCCGGTTAAGGAAAGGGTGGCCAGCTCATCCCGCGAGGCCCTCCACTCTTTTCCCACTATACATCGTTTCAGACGCTGCCGACGCTGCCCACGCTGATGGATCAATCAAGCAGCGACAAAAGCGCAAGTCACTAGATTTTTTCTTATTATGATTGGTTGAGCGATAATGAAACGCGCACAGAAACATGACAAACACCATTATGCCTTTGACGCTGTCCGACTGCTCCCACGAGCTCGTAGCGTCGGCTTCGTCTGGACTCAAGGTGAAACCAAGTATAGAAGAGCGTATTCGTAGAGATACGAAGGGAAAGAGAAGTGCCAAAGGAGAGGAGGGGAACGACGTTTCGACCAAACGGTCTTCTTCAGGTATACTATAGTCGGTTACAAGTTAAGAAGGTTGTAGAAGCTCCTCCCCATAAGCGTGATGCGCCCGCTTCAGACGCCTCCGCAGTCGAGAAAATAGTTCGCTGAAAACGCCCCTTCTGCTTCAATGGATAGATATTGACTACAGACAGACCTTGTGGCGGGCGGCAGCTTGCGCCACCTGGCCGAGGCAAATTATGGATTTTAGGCTTCTATATTACTCGCTCCGGAAGGCTGAAGTAAAAAGAAGGCTTCAGTGCAACGAAAATTGTAACTTTTATCAATAATGCATATATGGTTGCTGGTTTCAGCTTGATAACCGTCCTACACAAATTATGTACATTCCGTGCATTTGCTGCATTTGTTAAAACAAAAGCTGCGTTTCGGGTTTTGGAAGCCCCTGTGATTTGTGTTTTGACAAATCCGAAGTCGTCGTTTTTTTCCGTTATGAATCTTAACGTGAAGACAGCGGAATGCAATTCCTCCGATTATTCTTCGTCAAGAGAATCTGGTGCAGCCTCGCCGTCTACGCCAAGGCGTCTCTATAGGAAGCATAAGAGTGGCGATGTTCTCAACCGAGTTGCACGGTAGCTGATAATGAACGCGTACGTTCAGGTGCGACACGAACCGCCCGCCAAGCCCGGCCAGCCCGGCCTCACTGTGGAGGAGTCCTGCATCAAAGTCAGCTAACTGCTTGGCGTTGGTGTACGCACCATCCTCGAGAATAGGAAGCAGGTGAAAGAAACCGAGGGCCAAGTTGTGACACCTTCTCGGAAGCGCCCAGCAAGTGAAGGCAAGAGGCGGTGCAAAGTCAGTTACGGCGACTTCCCGTTGTGCGAGCTGAGATCGCGCGTCCACCGTTTCTTTCGACGGAACGAGGTCCCAACGGTCAAGAAGATAACGGCCGAATTCTGCACGAGCACTGAACTTCCCTCGTTGAAGGCTTGGACTGTGCGTCGCCTTCTCCACGACATCGAATTCGAGCATGACAAGAGGGAACGAAACTCGCGGCTGATTGAACGAGCGGACATCGTCGCCTGGCAGCAGAAGTACCTGCATGAGATCGCACGTCACCAACAAGATGGTCGGAAGATCTACTTCGACGAGACGTGGGTGACAGCAGGGCACACTGTCTCAAGGGTGTGAGTAGACACGATCGTGGCCTGATCTCACGACGCCTTCATGCGTCGTTTCTCGACTAACCTCAAGCAGCCACCGGTTAAGGTGGCTGCTTGAGGCGAAGGCTTCGTCGACGGGTGCCTGGGCGTGTTCCGTGGACAAAAAACCGTTGATTACCACGAAGAAATGGATGGCGCCTGCTTCGAGAATCGGTTCGACGGTGTCCTCGACAAACTGTCGACAGGAAGGGTTATCGTCATCGACAACGCTGCTTACCATTCACTGCGGTTGGAAGCAGTGCCGACGACGAGTTCCCGCAAGGACGACATCCGACAGTGGCTGAAGTCTAAAAACATTTCATGGGACCCCAAAATGCTGGAGAAGCAGATGCTCGAAATTGTGGTCTTGGTGAAGCAACACCGCCTAAAGCATCGTGTGGACACTGCTGCCGAGACGGCTGGCTGCATTGTGGTCAGGCTCCAACCGTATCACTGCGAGTTCAACCCCAATGAACTGATATGGGCGCAGATCAAGAACGGCGTTGCTGCCCGAAACACGAAGTTCAAGATTGTCGACGTGGGGACACTCCTCAAAGAAGAAGTTGACAAGGTCACTACTGACAACTGGGTTAATGCTGTCAGGCACGTTATTGACATTAAAGCAACGTTCCGACGAGGCGGCGCCACAAGTGCCTACATCCAGCCCATCGTCATCCAGCTGGATGGAGAGGACACCCCATCCCAGAGTGACCTGTCAGGTGTCGAGCCCTTCGACGAAGCTTAACGCCACCATTATGGAGAAAGCGTAGAACATCTCGGAACACAAGAACGGTCCTTTTAAGGATCACTCAGATGCTTTAAAATCAGATTGTTGCTCTTGTCCACCACTGACCTCCCGTGTCTCATGTTGCCATGCTTCTCTGCTCGTTGCCGTATAGCATTTCGATATGCAGCCACCAGACAAACTTTTTATTTTTGTTGCGATAATGTCTAAGCTGGTATATACATTGCACTATACCATATATCACCAGTATAAATTTCAACTTCGTGAAAACAAAAGTTTGCATTAAAATCATCTTGTGGGCTAGTTGGCTAAACATAATGAGAAAATTAGCGCAAATACACGGAAGGAAGAACGTTAGGACAGGAAAGAGCGCTCAGGAAAGTTTGCAGCCTATCTACGGCAAAAACATCAGATGCCATATTGGCCCTTCCCGCTGTCTAAACATCTTTGCTGCGCAACAAATAGAATTTTTATTGCAAATAAGCTTTTTTTTGTCTAAGAAAAACGACACAGCATATCACTGCCAGTGCTCTGCTTTAAAGCATAAATGGGGCGTCTGTGGCCATTCACACGAGTGAGGCCTCTGAGAATAACAAAACCGTGTGTTAGCACAGCGGAGAGCGAAATCGCAGTATGCTCTGCTTTGAAGTCTAAAGGGGACGCCTGTGGTCATTCACACGACCGAGGCCCCTCTTAAAACAACATTAACGTGCGTCAGCACTATGGGCAGCCAACTCTTACTGCCAGTGATCCATTTCGAAGCATAAACTTAACGTCGGTGGCCATTCACACGACCGAGGCCACTCTGAGAAAAACAGTAACGTGCGTCAGCACTGCGGGCAGCTAACTCTAACTGCCAATGATCTGTTTCGAAGCATAAACTGTACGTCGGTCGCCATTGACAGGACCGAGGCCACTCCGAGAATAACAATAACGTGCGTCAGCACTGCGGGCAGCTAACTCTAACTGGCAATGATCTGTTTAAAGCATAAACTGGACGTCGGTGGCTATTCACACGACCGAGGTCACTCTGAGAATAACAATAACGTGCGTCAACACTGCGGGCAGCTAACTCTAACTGCCGATGATCTGTTTCGAAGCATAAACTGGACGTCGGTGGCTATCCACACGACCGAGGTCACTCTGACAATAACAATAACGTGCGTCAACACTGTGGGCAGCTAACTCTAACTGCCGATGATCTGTTTCGAAGCATAAACTGAACGTCGGTGGCCATTCACAGGACCGAGGCCACTCTGAGAATAACAATAACGTGCGTCAGCACTGCGGGCAGCTAACTCTAACTGCCAATGATCTGTTTCGAAGCATAAACTGGACGTCGGTGGCCATTCACAGGACCGAGGCCACTCTGAGAATAACAATAACGTGCGTCAACACTGCGGGCAGCTAACTCTAACTGCCGATGATCTGTTTCGAAGCATAAACTGGACGTCGGTGGCAATTCACACGACCGAGGTCACTCTGAGAATAACAATAACGTGCGTCAACACTGCGGGCAGCTAACTCTAACTGCCGATGATCTGTTTCGAAGCATAAACTGGACGTCGGTGGCTATTCACACGACCGAGGCCACTCTGAGAATAACAATAACGTGCGTCAACACTGCGGGCAGCTAACTCTAACTGCCGATGATCTGTTTCGAAGCATAAACTGGACGTCGGTGGCTATTCACACGACCGAGGTCACTCTGAGAATAACAATAACGTGCGTCAACACTGCGGGCAGCTAACTCTAACTGCCGATGATCTGTTTCGAAGCATAAACTGGACGTCGGTGGCAATTCACACGACCGAGGTCACTCTGAGAATAACAATAACGTGCGTCAACACTGCGGGCAGCTAACTCTAACTGCCGATGATCTGTTTCGAAGCATAAACTGGACGTCGGTGGCAATTCACACGACCGAGGTCACTCTGAGAATAACAATAACGTGCGTCAACACTGCGGGCAGCTAACTCTAACTGCCGATGATCTGTTTCGAAGCACAAACTGGACGTCGGTGGCAATTCACACGACCGAGGCCACTCTGAGAATAACAATAACGTGCGTCAACACTGCGGGCAGCTAACTCTAACTGCCGATGATCTGTTTCGAAGCATAAACTGGACGTCGGTGGCTCTTCACACGACCGAGGTCACTCTGAGAATAACAATAACGTGCGTCAACACTGCGGGCAGCTAACTCTAACTGCCGATGATCTGTTTCGAAGCATAAACTGGACGTCGGTGGCTATTCACACGACCGAGGCCAATCTGAGAATAACAATAACGTGCGTCAACACTGCGGGCAGCTAACTCTAACTGCCAATGAT